AAAAAAAAAAAAAAGAAAGACTATGGAGACACTAAAGAAAGTTTGGCAGCCTCTGAAATATAACAATTATGAAAAACTAAATGCTAAAAAATTCAAAAACTTAGATGAAATGGATAAATTCATAGAAAAATGATAAGCAGCTTGAATACAGTATGAAAAACATTGGAATGGTAATCAAAGATCTTCCCTTCCACAAATTAGGTATGACTGTATAGGTAAGGCCTACTAAATTTCAAAGGAAAATTCATTTCTCTTTTACAGTTACTACAAAAAATGGAAAAAGTGAAAACTGCCTTAACTCTTTATGAGCCTGATATAATCTTGTTTTCAATCCCTGATAAATTCAAGAGATTCTAAAGCCATTCTTTTATTAATGTAGCTGAAACGATCCTAAATAAAATATTAGCTGTCTGAATCCAGGAATATACTAAAAGAATAGTGCATCATAATCAAATGGATTTTAGTTCAGGAATCTAAATAGTTCATCTCTGAAACAATTATTAGTGTAATTCACCATTTTAATAGAGAAGAAAACTTTTTCTGGGATGATTCTGGAAAGCATTTTATAAATTTCAGTAATTGTTTATGATATAAATTTTAAGCAAACTACTGAATATTTGGGTGTTGGATTTTTAGAAACTTTTTGTTACGGACATTTTCAAACATATTAAAAATAGAGTGAATGAATGGTATCATAAATCTGACATGTACTCATTGCTCAGCTTCAGCTATTACCAATATATGGCATCCCTTTTTATGCACACACATAGACACACACTTTTTTTTCTTGCCCTGCCAGATTATTTTAAGAGAGAGCAGGGATACCTGGGTGGCTCAGTCAGTTAAGTGTCTGCCTTTGGCTCAGGTCATGATCCCAGGATCCTGGGAGAAAGAGAGCAAAAACGTGGGGTGGGGGGGCAAACAGAGAATTTTAAGCAGGCTCCATGCCCTGTGTAGATCCTGATGCAAGGGACTCAATCTCATGACCCTGAGATGACCTGTGCCAAAATCAAGTCCGATGCTTAACCAAGTGAGCTACCCAGGCGCCCACCTGCCAGATTATTTTAAAGCAAATTCCAGATAGCATGCCCTTTTATTCAGAATATAGCTTTTTTTTCTCTACAACCATTAACATCCTAAAAAACTTAACACAATTCCTTAACATTATCTAGCATCTAGCCTGAGTGGGGTTGTCCTGATTGACTCACATGTGGATTCAAAGTCCACACATTGCATTTGGCTGTTATTCCTTATTTTTTCTTTTAATCTGTAATAGCTCCTCTCCTTTTTTTTTTCTTCTTTTTTCCATTTATGTTACTAAGAAACCAGGTTATTTATCCTGTGGAATTTTCCAGTCTGGATTTGTTTATTGTGTCCCCATGGTGTTGCTTAACATGTTTCTTCATTCCTTGTATGTCATCTAAACAGGTAGTTAGGCATGATTAAATTGTTACATGGTATTGGGGGGGTGAATAATAACTTCATAAATATTGATGTGCTTAATTCTTCATGTCAGGAAGCACGTGATGCTTGTCTGTTTTTTTTTGTTTAAGATGATCAGTGGGTTTAGGTACCTGGCAGATGCAACCATTAAAAAGGTCTTCATTAGCCTTTTTATCTAATGTTTTAGCAGTCACTGATGCTTGTTGTCTAGATCATTATTTTATTAGGAGGTAACAAAATATTCTAACTTACCATTTCCTTATTAGCTTGTCTTATAAAAGAAACACAGTCCTTTGATTAGCTTCAAATACATTTTATATAGGAAAGGCAAGATATATGCTTGATTTTTTTTTTCTAGAAGGTCACTTTCTTAGTAAACCTGTGAGCATAATACTAATGGAGAACCTTTAAATACGTTTTTCTTTAATGTCTAAAGCAAGACAAGGATGCCTACTCTTACTGCTGCTGTTTAATATATCACTGGAGGTCCTTGTCAACAGTATAAAGGAAGAAAAATAAAAAGGTGTAAATATTGTAAGGAAAGAGATAAAATTGTCGTTATATACAAGACTATATATTCATTTACCCTGGGAGAAAAACACAACAGAATTCAACAAGCTGTTAGAACTGCCTTGAGTTCATCAACGGTACTAAAAAGTAATGCTATTTCTTTTCATCATCCTTAAGCAACTAGAAAAAGATTTTTTAAAAATATGTATCATTTAAAATAAAACCTAGAGAGTATCTAGATATAATCTGATCAAAAATATAGAGAATTCATATGAAGAAAACTTTTTAACTTCAGTAGAAAACTTAAGAAATAATCATGGACATGATGATTTTCTTTTTTTTTTTTTAAGATTTTATTTATTTATTTGACAGAGACACAGTGAGAGAGGGAACACAAGCAGGGGGAGTGGGAGCGGGAGAAGCAGGCTTCCTGATGAGCAGGGAGCCTGATGTGGGGCTCAATCCCAGGACCCTGGGATCATGACCTGAGCCGAAGGCAGATGCCCAACTACTGGGAGCCACCCAGGCGCCCCGTGATGATTTTCTTTTATAACGATGTTCTTACTCCTGAAGTTTATCAATAAATTCTGAGTAACCTCTGTCAAAATTTTAGCTGGGTATTTTTGAGAGACCCTATACACTTACCCTAAGTGATATATGGAAGAATAAAGAAGAGTTTGTGAATAGCTAAGTCAACATTTTAAAAAAAGGAATAAAAGGGAACTTACCCCGCCAGATATTAAGATCTACTACAAAGCCCTAGTAATATAGTGTGGTATGGTGTAGGAACAAATAGACTACTCCCACCTATTAGCTTAGATTTAGACCCAAGGAGATGTGGGAACTTAATATAAAGATGACACTACGACCGATAGATAAAAAGTTGTTTAGTAGATGGTGTTGGAAGAAAAGAGCTCAGTATATATTGAGAAATAAAACTTTATTCTGCATCATATGCAGAGGTATAATGTATTCCACCTAAATGTGGAAGATAAAACCAAAAGGTTAAGAGAAGAAAATAAAGGATATTTTTGTGACCTGGGTTTGGGGAAAGAACTACCCCCTTTTTTTTTAAGGTTTAATTTATTTATTTGAGAGAGAGCACAAGCAGGGGGAGCAGCAGAGGGAGAGAAAGCAGGCTCCCCGCTGAGCAGGGAGCCTGATGGAGGGGCTCAATCTCAGGACCCTGGGATCAAGACCTGAGCCAAAGCAGACGTGTAACAACTGAGCCACCCAGGCGCCCCAGGAAAGAACTTCTTAATACCTCAAGATACAAACCAATTGGGCGCCTGGGTGGCTCAGATGGTTAAGCATCTGCCTTCGGCTCAGGTCATGATCCCAGGGTCCTGGGATCGAGCCCCACATCGGGCTCCTGGCTCAGCCGGGAGTCTGCTTCTCCCTCTCCCTCTGCCTCTCCCACTGCTCATGCTCTCTCTCTCTCACTGTATCTCTGTGTCTCAAATGAATAAATAAAATCTTTAAAAAAAAAAAAAAAGATACAAACCAATTACATGTGTATGTGCGAATTTAATTGCATCAAAATAGGTAGTTCTATTTAACAAAGGACCCATAGGCAAAATTAATACACAGGTAACAAATGGGAGACAATATTAGCAGTGTTTAATATTGCCAAGTGATTATATCCTCTAGATTAGATTGTGCAAATAAAATAAAGCAATCCCAGCAGGAAAATGGGCAAAGACAGGTTATAGAAAAGGAAACCCCAAAAGCAATAAGCATATGAAGAGTTGATCAAACATATTAACAATCAGGGACATGCAAATTAAAACAATAAGATACCATTTCAAATATGTTGGCCTTGCACATATTAGAAAATTAGATAAAACCGGGGCGCCTGGGTGGCTTAGTGAGTTAAGCGGCTGCCTTTGGCTCAGGTCATGATCCTGGGGTCCTGGGATTGAGCCCCACGTCCGGCTCCCTGCTCAGCGGAGAGCCTGCTTCTCCCTCTCCTTCTGCCTGCTACTCTGCCTACTTGTGCTCTCTATCTCTCTGTCAAATAAATAAAATCTTTAAAAAAAAGAAAAAGAGCCTGCTTCTCCCTCTCCCTCTGCCTGCCACTCTGCCTACTTGTGCTCTCTCTCTCTCTGTCAAATAAATAAAATATTTTTAAAAAAAGAAAACTAGATAAAACCAAATGCAATGAAGATGCAGGGTTATAAAAACCCTCATACGCTGGTGGGGGATATGTAGCCACTCTGGACAGTAGTATGGCATTCAGATTAAGAACTTGACATGTATATGACCCAGCAATTCTGCTCCTGAGTTTATATGCCAAAGAAAGTCTCAGACACATCTGTAAGAGAACATTTATACTGTTTCTATTACAGCATTTTATATGGTAGAAAGGCATTAGAGGTAATTCAGGTGTCCAGTATAGGGAGAGTAGAGAGAGAAAATACTTTGGAAAAATGCCATGGCATATTATGTAGTGATTAGAAGCAGCAGATCAGATATTCACTTACAAAATGAATGGACTATGTTATGGAAGTGAAAAAGTAACAGAATGAGATATACAACACAATAAGAGTTACATGTATTAAAAATACATGCACTCAAAAACATTTTGCAGGAACATATATAAATAAAAGGTCACACAGTAAGCACAGAAGAATGGTTGTCTATCAGGTTACAGTAACTAGGATACGGGGGAATTTAAAGATTTTCGTAACTCCCCATCTCATTTCATGGAAGTATAGGGATTCTCTTCTTTAAGATACAATCTGTAAATGTATCTAACTGGCAGTATGATGAAAGCAAATGAAACAACTGAAATGAGATAAAAATGTGATTTCCCCAAATCTAGTATGAGATATAATACACATCCAGTAGTGTGAGAAGCAGGTTCTTAAGTTGAATTCCTTGCTCAAAGATCTGACAGATCTTTGGAAATAATATTCCTTTCTTCTAACACCAAGGCAGTTCACTATTCTGGCTCTTCTAGGATGGATTCCAACTGAAATATTATGTTGTGGAATACACAGTTATTTTATGACACTCTGATTTTTTTTTTTTCTTTAACTTTACAGAGACTGTGCAGTTGATCCAACTTGTGTTTTATGCATGGAGTGCTTTTTGGGAAGTATTCACAGAGACCATCGATATAGGGTTAGTAATGTCCAGATAATAACCATACCCACTATTATATTTTATGTTAGATACCTTTTCTGCCTTTTTTAAATTCCAAGATTTAACATTATAATGGAGGAGAGTGGTTTAAGAAATGTATTATTTAAATACTGTTAAACATGCTAAATTTCTATGCTAACAGTATAGAAATGAATTGTGAATCCAGACTGCTTGAACACATGGTTTAGGAAAGACAGCACAGATACCAGTTCCTACATTTTGGTTTTCAGCTAGTTTGTTTTGCTATTTCCTTATGTTTATTACTTTCATAATTCTAGGTTTATGCAGAAGGTTATCAAAAACCAGAGGGTAAAGGTGAGAGGTAAAAGCGGGAGGGAGAGTCTGAAGGGAAGGATGTGTGAGAAAGGAGTAAGGAAAAGTGTCAGGAAATTTAAGAAATATTCTATCTGTTGGTCATCTTCTACAGAAGATTTGTCATTTCTTAATATTAAAGAGGCATCTGCTACATTGTAGAAGAGGGCCCAACCCCACAATATGACACCCACCAATTTTATTATTTTTCTACTGTTATAATGTAGCCAGTACTTTTCCAAAAATCAGGTATGTTTGCTTTTAAATCGGGGATATGAACAAAGGCAGAGTATTGCTAAGCCTATCCTGGTTGGTTCCTCTACTGGATATTGAAGACAAAGCCTTGAACATTCAGAAGTTAGGGAAGTGTTAGTAGCTAGAACTTTGCACCATAATCTCAAATGAAATCGTAGAAAGGGAATATTGCAATCTTGTTATTAATTCAGGAGCCCTGTTGGCTCAGGACTTTTCCTCCTGTTTGTTTTTCTTCACTCTACCCAAGTATTGATAATAATGACTAAATACTAAAATACTAAATTTTAGTATACTAAAATATACTAAATATACAAATATATATACAAATACTAAAACAGATACAAAATTGGACCCTTTGGATCTTTGTATGTTCTCTTCAGTTTCATAAATCAGTAAGAGAATCCCAGTTTCCTTTAAGCTGCTCTACCTATCTTGGGTAACCGTAAGAAGCACAGAAGCTGTAGGGTTATCATTTTCCAAATGGCTGTCTGCCCATGTTTCTTGGCATATATCATTTCAGCCCCTGGGAATAACTGTCATTTGAGGGTTTACGTTAATTATATTGTGATATATAACACAGAGATACTTTTTTTTGGGCAGAATATGATAGGGCTCATTTTAAAATTTGCATCAAATACCCGCTCCTAAACTCTCACAGTATTTTTTTTTTAAAGCGGAATTTCTAATAATTAAATAATAAGTTCTGTCTTGCCAGATTCCTTGAATCATTGCCCTATCTTAGGGAAGTATGAATAATTCTTGAACCCTGCAGGTGGTGAAAACTTCCTCACTAGACAGTCTTACTTTTACATTTCCTGAGCTTCTTTCCTTGTCAAAGAATGCTATTTAGAGGGTATTAGAAAAGAAAACAAACTAATTCTATAGTTTTTGTTGGTCACTTTCTCTAATGCAGATGTAGCACTCTCATTAGACTCTCCTGGGGGAAAGCAACTATAGGTATCTTTATAACTAGAATCTGTTACATTACATTAGAGTACTATAACCTGGTGGCATTGATACCAGCATTATACCAAAACCCAGCAGGAAAACCCTCATGACTTTCCTAATTAAGGAAGTCCTGTAGGTGGACACATTTTACCTCTTTAAAATATCTGTAGTTTATTAGACATTACAGAGTAGCTTATTTTATTTCAAAATCGCTTAAATTAGCTTAGGCTTATTTAAGCTTTAAAACATTGAGAGGTTTGCCTTTTATTTAATTTTCCTCCTCCAAAGAAATTAAACACTTTAGCATTGTTATTTCCTTAGCACTTGATATTCTTATTTATAATCTGATAGCCCTCAGTAAATACTTATTGACAAGATACTTTACAATTTTTTTTCAAGATGACAACATCAGGAGGTGGAGGTTTCTGTGACTGTGGTGATACTGAAGCTTGGAAAGAGGGTCCTTACTGTCAAAAACATGAACTTAACACCTCTGAAATTGAGGAAGAAGAGGTAAAAACATTTTCACAAAGTTGTTTTTAAGGAAATACTGTTTTATCCACGAATTGAAATACTTTCAGACATAGGAATTAGGTTATGAGAAACGGATAAGCAAAATAGTCCCGACACTATTACCAGTGGCCAGATATACTTTGAAAGTTCTTTGCATTTTATGGGTGCCATACATTGCTGGTAGTACTCACTTGAAATTCTGGAAATTTAATTTGGATTTATTATTGGAGTTTTTGCTTTAAGTCCTCATTTATCACTGAAGGATTATTTTTCCTATACGTAGAGACTAGTTAACTTGTTTGGTTTTTATATATTTGTTGTGACTAAGATTTGGTAGGCTAGATACCTTTCTTTTCTGTAAGTGTACTGGTAGCCAGTCCTAATCACTATCTAGCCTATCAGTGTCATTGGATATGTGATGGGACCAAGTATAAAGATAGTATACTGCTCAGTACAGATTGTAGTCACTCCAGCTGTAAATATGTGCTTTTTAAAATTGTTGATTCTGCATTATTTTTCTCTAAATGATATTTGTAATGATGTAGTAGACTTAATAAATACTTAAATCTCTGCTGCTATTTCTGACAGTTTGATGTTTGATTGAAGATCCTTATTTCAGATTTTATTTTTAAATGGCAGAGAGGTAGGTACATTCGAAGTACTTATGCATTGTTAGTAGGTCTGATATAGATTTGGGACAAAGGAACATTAATTAATAGTACTTCCTGGTGCACATACCTTACAGGTATCAAAATTTGACCGAGACTTTATGGTGTAAGACAGTGTCTTTTAGACTGTGTTCCACTGTGTTTAGGACAGATTAAAATTTGTGTGAAATGATTGAGTGCTATGGAAAACATATATTTTGTGTTTAATTTGCTTTGTATAAGTGTTTTAGGATTTATGACAGATAGATGCCCAGTGATTAGGATTTCAGATTTCTCCACTTCTATTGGAGGAGCTCTGTTGTTATCTCTTTTATATATTGTATTGGACTTCCATTTGTAAAAATACAAATAGACAAAGCTATATTTGACAAAAAGAGCTGTGCTTTTTAAAAAATTGAAAACTGGTATAAAACTATGGGAGAAAACGTCTACAAATCATATCCAGTAGTCTTACGCATGGAGGATATGTTCCAAGACCCCCTGTTAATGCCTGAAATCATGGGTGGTACCAAACCCTACATATACTATGTTTTTTCCTATACATACATATCTATGATAAAATTTAATTTATAAATTAGGCACAGTAAGAGACTGACAGTAACTAATAATAAAATAGAACAATCATAACAGTATATTATAATAAAAGTTATGTGAATGTGCACGCACTCATTTGCTCTTATAATATTGTACTGTGATGATGTGAGGTGATAAAATGCCTTGCCTACTTTGATGAGATGAAGTGAGGTGAATGCCATAAGCATTGTGATGTAATGTTAGGCTACTGTTGACCTTCTGACCATGCATCAGAAGAAGGACTGTCAGCTTCCAGTCTGCAGTTGCCCTGGGAGTGCCTGAAGCCGTGGATAAGGGGGAGCTTAATGTATCTGACAAGTGTCTAGTACCCAGAATATATAACAACTCAAGAACAAAACTGCAAACAACCCCATTAAAAATGGGCAAAGGACTTGAATAGACCTTTCTCCAAAGAAGATATAATACAAATGATCAACAAACACATGAAAACATGTTCAGCATCATTAGTTATTAGGGAAATGCACATTGAAACCACTTCACACTCACTAAGAGGGCTATAATCAAAAAGAAGGAATGTACATGTTGGCAAGGATGTAGAAAAATTAGAGCCCTTGTACATTGCTAAATGGGATGTAAAATGATTCAGTAATGTAATATTACTCCGACATAAAAAGGAATGAAATACTGATACATGGTACAACTTGGATGAACCTGCCAAAACTTGCTAAGTGAAAGAAGCCAGGAGCGAAAGATCACATATTGTATGATTCCATTGATATAAAATACACAGAAGAGGTAAATCTGTAGACAGAACTCATACTGGTGATTGCCAAGGGCCAGGGAAGGAGAGAATGGGGAAAAACTGCTTAATGGGTATGGGGTTTTACTTTGAAGTAATAGAAATGTTTTGAAATTCTATAGAGGTGCTAGTGGTACAGCAGTATGTATGTAACAAATACCACAGAGTAGTTTTTATGTTCTGTGAATTTCATCTCAATAAAATATTTGAAAAAACCTTAGAACTTTTATCTTTTAATGTTTGTTTTAGAGTAGACTTAAATAATTTTCTAAGAAAATTTGCTTGCTTTTACTCTGTTGACTATCCTTGTACATTAGTGGGGTAGCTATCAAATAGTGTCGACTTGAGTTAATTTCCTGAATTTTAGGAAGATGTTAGCAAGATCACCTTCCTGGCTGAAATTATATGATCTTGCCTGAGAATACATACTTCAGCAACTTGACAGAGAATAAAACCTCCGGACTCTGCCATTTAATTCCTATTTAAGAATTCAGTTAAGAAAAATGAAGTCCTCAAGGATAAGACTGTAAGAGAAGCTATTTTTAAAATAGTATTATGTTTAGCATTCCTGGTCCCCACTCACTAAATTTATACATCTATCTAGGTTTTTTTATATTTTATGCTTGAAATGGAAGAAAGCTATATAATATTTGCAGCGTACTTTTTAAAATCTGTCTTAGAATTGTTTTTATTGAATGTAATTTTTGTTATACATTTGGCTTGCATCTTAAGAAAAAGTTGGAAAAAACTTGATAATATACTTCTGAGGGATAATGCTTAGCAGTTCCATAGGTCTTCTCAACTCTTGGCATTTGGGATGGGACATTTTTTATTGTATAGGCGAGGGATCAGCAAACTGTGGCTCCACGGGCCAGATCTTACCTTCAGTCTGTTACTGGCACCACCATAAGAATAGTTTTTATATTTTTAAATACTTGGAAAAAATCAATAGGATGGTATCTGTGGCATGTGAAAATGATAGGAAATTCAAAATGTTGGTGTCTGTAAACAGAATTTTATTGCAACACAGCAATGATTTTGTTATTGTTGATTGTGTTTCCTTTTGTTGAAGCTTTTGGGAAACGGGAGTCAAATGTTTGGAAACAGAGCCTGTCTATAGTAGCTATTTGGAAATTATATGATCTGCCTTTATAATAAACATGTTATCTTGATTTCATTTTATTTTCCTACCTTTATTCTGGTTTTGCCCTCTTTGTACATCTATTTTGTAATACTGTCTTCTTACATTGGATGTATTCTTAAGTTGCTGTAAATCCTTTTTGAAATGAAACTTAATTCAATAACAAATGCACTGAATGAACAACCTCAGTGAAGACTTTTCTTTTACCTGAAATTTTCACTTATCAATGCTGCTCTCATCTCAAATGCAGATTTGTGATTATTAACTAAATATTATGCTAAGTACTATATTGTGTTTATTTCATTTAATTCTCAAAACAGCCCTATAAGATAAATACTGCTGTTATGAATATTTTATAGCTGCAGAAGCTTGAGTTTTAGAGAGATTAAAAAACTTGCCCAAAGTGTCCTCCTTGCCCAGAGTGTCTTAAATGGTAGTATGGACTCCAGTAATGGAATTCTTTAACAGTACCTTGCACTGATTTGATTTTATTCTCCAAATTTTTATTTAACATGCAGTGTAATATTAGTTTCAGGTGTAGATTTTAGTGATTCATCACTTATATACAACACCCAGTGCTCATCACAGCAAGTGCTGCCTTCCTTAATACCCATCACCTACTTAACCCATTCCCTCACCCCCTCCCCTCCAATAACCATCAGTTTGTTCTCTAGTTAAGAGTCTGTTTCTTGGTTTGCCACTCTTTTCCCCCGTGTTCATTTGTTTTGTTTCTTAAATTCTACATATGAGTGAAGTCATATGGTATTTGTCTTTCTTTGACTTATTTCACTTAGCATAATACTCTCTAGCTCCATCCGCATTGTTGCAAATGGCAAGATTTCATTAGTTTTTATGGCTGAGTAATATTCCATTGTGTGTGTGTGTGTATCACATCTTCTTTGTCCATTCATCAGTCAGTGGACATTTGGGCTCCTTCCATAATTTGGCTATTGTTGATAATGCTATGTTACACTGATTTTATAAATTTTCAGCAGTGAAATTGTTTTTTTAATAAAATTCTGATTTTCAAATCCCAGTAATAAAACAGATAAAAGTAGAATTTTTTTATTCCAGCATAATTAGCATACAGTGTTACATTAGCTTCAGGTATGCAATATAATGTTTCAATAGTTCTCTACATCACTCACTGCTCATCAAGATAAGTGTACTCTTAATCCCTTTCACCTGTTTGACCCATTCCCCACCCACCTCCCCTCTGGTAAACACCAGTTTGATTCCCTATAGTTAAGAGTCTGTTTTTTGTTTATCTCTTTTTTCTTTTCACATTTGTTTTGTTTCTTAAATTCCACATATGAGTGAAATCATTTGGTATTTGTCTTTCTCTTATTTCACTTAGCATTATACCCTGTAGATCCATACATGCTATTGCAAATGGCAAGATTTATTCTTTTTTATGTCTGAGTAATATTCCATTCTATATATGCCACAGCTTCTTTATCCATCTATCAGTGGACACTAAAAGCAGTATTATTAATGAATTTATTTTTTATCAGTTGACATGTATATTAGTTACTTGCTAGAAAGTCAACTTTGAAATAAGTGAGGTTGTTTCGATGACTATTTAGTTTCTAGTTTATTACTAGTTTTAGTTGGGCAGTATGGAGAAAGTCCTTATTCATAGCTTATTTGCATATGACAGTAGTTAAAACTGTTATTGTAATACAGTATATGCTTACATTTTAAAAATTCAAACATAATAGAAATTATGACAAAAACTAGTTTTCCATTATTCCCACTGCCTTCTAACATAAGCACAGATAACCTTTTTAGTAATATGCCTGGTATTCTTCTAGTTTGAAAGAAGAGTAACTCACAGTTGACTCACTGACCAAGGTTTGCTTTCTATAAAATAAATGTAATCAAAGAACTATAATTATTAGTCATAATTGATAATACATTATAGAATGAGATGATCATTTATTTACAAATTCCAACTGACTTATGCTATCATAAGGGCACTTTGAGCAGAAGTCTTTCTTAGCATTTAATTTACCATTGTACATATGAGTAGACTTACATAGCCTAACATCCTTTCACTGCAGAAATTTTTTTTTTAAAGAGAGAGCACGCATGTGAGCAGGGGAGGGAGGAGGGGCAGAGGGGGAGAGAGAGAATCTTAAGCAGACTCCACGGTGTGCATGGTGTGCTTGGAGCCTGACGGGGCGCTCAATCTCACGATCCTGAGATCGTGACCTGAGCTGAAACCAAGTCAGATGCTTAACCGACTGTGCCACCCAGGTGTCCCCAGAAATAATTGTTTTTAATCAGTGACTATTTTTCAAGATGTTAACATGTGTGCACAAAGACGGCAGAAGAATCTTTATTCCTAGCCCTGCCCCAAACTGGGTTAATGTAATAGCAAAATTACTAGTTGGTAATCCCCAATATGTAATATTACACATCTTAGAGTGTATTTTTATATTACCATTTTAAAATATAGATAATTATATATTTTTAAGCTGGCGTGTAAGTCAAACAAGAAACAGCTCTACCAGGCCCAGCTCTACCTGGGATTTTGTAGAACAGTTTGAACACTACTGGCTTGGATTCTCAAGAATTGGCATTTGTTTCTGTTTCAGGACCTGTTTCATTCTTATAAATTCTGTTTATCGTAATTCTTTCATTCTCTAAATGTCTTGTATTATGGGACATAATTGTGAGAAATGAATGACTATATAACAAGGTAATATCACCAAGGAAACTGAGCTTTGATTCTACTTTCTATTTTGGTATAGCAAGAGGTTCATATTATTATTATTATTTTTTAAGATCTTTTATTTATTTGACAGAGCGAGAGAGCACAAGCAGGGGGAACAGTAGAGGGAGAAGGAGGCTCCCTGTTGAGCAGGCGGCCTGATGCAGGGCTCGATCCCAGGACCCTGGGATCATGACCCGAGCTAAAAGCAGATGCTCAACCTTCTGAGCCACCCAGGCGCGCCACCCCCCTTTTTTCTTAAGATTTTATTTATTTGTCAGAGAGAGCGTGCACAAGCAGGGGGAGTGGCAGGCAGAAGGAGAAGCAGGCTCCCCACTGAGCAAGGAGCCTGATGTGGGACTTGATCCCAGGACCCTGGGATCATAACCTGAGCCAAAGGCAGACATTTACCCCACTGAGCCACCCAGGCATCCCAAGGTTCATATTATTATTAATACCCATTCTTTTATCAATCCCCAGGAGGTACCAGTTCTAGTTCCTTCTTTGTATGGATGGTTTCACTATGTTAATGACTTCTAGTCTCTATAAGAAATAGTAAAATAAACTTTGCTAGTAGGATAAAAAAATTTTTTTTCATGTGACATATAAAGCCGACCATTGAGAAGAGTTGTAGGTAAAAAGTGCTGTAAGACTTAGAAAAATCTTCTTACTCTTCTTACCTTTCTTATATTCTTCAAGCTCCATACCCCTTTCTTTTAGGAGTCTTTGTCTTTTTTCCTCCATTCTTTTTATTCCTCATCTCAATGTATTTTGTATCCGTTCCACTAGGCTTATCTTTGGTGAGGATGTACAAAAATACTGTATCCTTTATGTATATTTGCAATAATTTGTTGATTCCCATTCCACGATGTTGGAACATACTGATTTGCCTTTTTTTTAAAGAGATGTTTATTTATTTTAGAGAGAGAGCATGTGCACAGGCAGGGGGAGGGGCAGAGGGAGAGAGAATCTCTCAAGCCAGCTCCCCACTCAGCACGGAGCCCGATGCTGGGCTTGATCTCACAACCCTGAGATCAGGACCTGGGCCAAAATCAAAGAGTTGGGTGCTGAACTGACTGAGCCACACAGGCGCCCCAGAACATAACATACTGATTTTCTTATTTGAGAAATGAATATAATACTGCCTAGCCATTAAGCTAAATAACAAAGCATTAAGATTAAAATTGTGTAAGACATTTTGCCTAAAAGGTATGATGAACTTAGTGTATATTTATAGTAATACTTTTTCACATTAACCTAGAATTTTTGTGACTTACTCCCTATTAAGTAAAGGTGCAAAGTTCTCCATTCCATACATATACGATGTGCATTGCTGAAAGAAAGTAGACAAGGGAGTGATTTCTTATGGCATCAAGGGGTGGTTTTCTGACCTTGTTGGCTTATCCTCTTTAAAATCAGGCTCTCCTGGGGCACCTGGGTGGCTCAGTTGGTTAAGCGACTGCCTTCAGCTCAGGTCATGATCCCAGGGTCCTGGGATCGAGCCCCGCGTCAGGCTCCCTGCTCGGTGGAGAGCCTGCTTCTCCCTCTCCCACTCTCCCTGCTTATGTTCCCTCTCTAGCTGTCTCTCTCTCTCTCTCTCTGTCAATTAAATAAATAAATAAAATCTTTAAAAAAAAATAAAATAAAATCAGGCTCTCCTTTATACCTATAAAACTAAATTTTGCTGGTCTGTCCTTAGATAACATTCCTTTGTTTATTCTGGAAATTGGGGATTAGTAGGATATGAAGCTATAAAGATGGCTTGATGTTAGGTTTTGAAGATCCTGAATGCCATTCTAAAATTTTTAGATTTATTCATTAGGCATTGGGGTGCCATTGATTATGTTCAGTTTATTCAGTAATTGGAATCATTATGAACAAAATGTTTCAGGAAGCTTGATTTGGTAGGCTGTAATGTACAGGATCAAACTGAAGAGAAGCTGAAGCTGGAAGATCAGTCAGCTGTTTACAGTAGTATTTTCTGCGGTGGAGGCAGAACAGGAAAGAGGAGAATTAATGTGCATTTAAGATGGTTGCAATTTTTTTTCTGTTCTTTCAGGATCCTCTTGTGCATTTATCAGAAGATGTGATAGCAAGAACCTACAACATTTTTGCTATTATGTTTCGATATGCAGTAGAGATACTAACCTGGGAAAAAGAAAGTGAATTGCCAGCAGATTTAGAGATAATGTAAGTACAACCCATTTATTCTTTGTATTCATATTTGCTCAAACTCTCTTTTAGCCATTTTGATTCTCATTCCTCAAATTAAGTTTAATACAGCTAGGATAGAACATACTTTTCTTTTTTAATAATAATAGTTTTCAATAATACTTTATTTCATAGTTTTTTAATATGTGTGATCCACTTAGTTGGTAGAAGTTTCTCCCTGTTAATTGGTTAGTTTACTTAAGCCCCGTGTTTCAGGCACAGGCAGTTTTCTGTTCTTTGTGTGATAAACCTGGTAACTCTCACATTTTTACTGTTTGCATTTCGATTATTGAGGGGTCACAAACTTGTGACCAGAGAGCTGGATTCTGCCATAGCTGTATTAAGGTTAAGGGCTTACTTTTCCATGTGATGTGCTTGCTTCAAGCAACCTTCCCTTTAACTTTTAATTCTAACCAAGTTTGTTGGAGTCCTATTCATATTTAAGGTTGATTACAAGTTGAAGTGAGGGTCTGATGAACATCAATGGTTTCTTTTTTGCTTTTTCAGTAGTGTCCTAGATACTTAGGTGTGGGTTAAGTGTTTTTTAATAAAGTGAGGTGTTAACTATACTTTTTTGGAAATGTTAAAAATAGTGCCTTATGAATTTATCTTTACGTATATCCATATGTGCCATATGAATCTTCACATATACCCATATATATCCACCTGTATCCATATATGCCATATGAATATATCTTCACAATTTCTTGCAGGTATTGCAGGTTGGTTTCCAGACCACTGCAATAAAGCAAGTCAAATGAATTTTTTGGTTTCCCAGTACACACGAAAGTTATGTTTACACCATGCTGTAGTCTGATAACATAATGTATAAAAAACAAAGTACATAACCTTAACTTAAAAATACTTTATTGCTAAAAGATGCTAACCATCATCTGAGATTTCAGTGAGTCATAATCTTTTTCCTGGAGGAGGGTCCTGCCTCGATGTTGTTGGCTGCTGACTGATCAGGGTGGTGGTGGCTGTGGGTTGGGGTGGCTGTGGCAGTTTCTTAAAATAAGACAACAGTGAAGTTTGCCACATTGATTGGCTCTTCCTTTCACTTGAACACTTAGAGGCCATTATAGAGTTTCAGTATTGTGTCTCAGAATACGGAGGCCCAGGGAGAGGGAGAGTGACGAGGAAACAGCTGGTCAGTGGAGCATTCAGAACACATACAACATTTATACTTAAGTTTGCAATCTTTTTTTTTTTTTAAAGATTTTATTTATTTATTTGACAGAGAGAGACAGAGTGAGAGAAGGAACACAAGCAGGGGGAGTGGGAGAGGGAGAAGCAGGCCTCCCGCAGAGCAGGGAGCCCGATGCAGGGCTCGATCCCAGGACACTGGGATCATGACCTGAGCCAAAGGCAGACGCTTAACGACTGAGCCACCCAGGCACCCCTTAAGTTTGCAATCTTAAATGGATGTGGTTCCTGGTGCTCCAGAACAATTATGACAGTAACATCAAAGATCACTGATCTCAGATCACCATAACAAATATAATAATGATGAAGTTTGAAGTATTGTAGGAATTACTAAAATGTGATACAGAGACATGACATGAGCAAATGCTGTTGGAAAGATGGCATTGAAGAGGCTTGCTCAACACAGGGTTGCCACAAACCTTCAATTTGTAAAAAAAAAAAAAAACAAACCCCAAACCCACAATATCTTCAAAGCACAGTAAAACAAGATGTGTCTGTACTTCAAGTTGGGAACCATTGATCAAAGATCCAAATTTAGACCCTAGAGAATAGAAGAGTTTTATTTTTATTTTTTTGTTTCATTGTAGGTTCAAGACCACCAGTATAGAAGGGAAAAGAATGTAACTTGCTTCTCTTGTACTGTTTTCCTATCTTAGTAAATGGCATTCCATCTACCCAGAAACCTGAATCACCTATACCCATTTAGATTTCAAGTCCAGCTGGTTCTCCCTACATCAAATCATTCAACTTCTGTTCCTCTCCATTATTACTCTCCTACTCCAAATTAATTAATTTCATCATTGACAACATTGCCTCCCTAACTGAACTGCCATACCTGTTTTTGTCCCTCACGATTTATTCTCCACATGGTAGCAAAATGAACTTTAAGGCAAATTTGACTGTTATTTTTTTAGTATCTCTAATGTAAATCCCAATGTGGGGCTCGAACTCCTGACCCCGAGATCAAGAGTCACATGCTCTTCTAACTGAGCCAGTCCAGTGCCCCAGTGGATTGTAGAATATTGAACAGGATCCCTGGTGCTTACCCACTAGATGCCAGTGGCACTCCTGCCCCAATCATGACAACAGAAAATGTCTCTAGACATTGCCAAGTGATCATCTATGGGAGATAGAGGAAAATTGCCTCCACTTGAGAACCACTGATGGCCAATTTTGACTTTAGGTCTCAGATTACTTCTCTGGCAGTTTTCTGAAGTCCCAGAACTGTTTTACCCTGTTGCAGCATTTTGTTTTTCTTGATAAAAGCCAGTTCACTTAGAATTGCATGTCTAATATGTATCTTCCCCAACAGATGGCAGTGTCATAGAGCATGGGGATGGGACTGCCGATGACTTTGTTACAGATACGTGCCCAGTACCTAGCACATTCCCTAGAACTAGAACCAAGTATGCTCTTACTTAATCAGCCTGGAGCTAGAGAATATGCAATTAGATAATATATAATTAATGTTTTATGCCACAGAGAGAAGAGGGATACCTACTATTGCATGCTGTTCAATGATGAGGTGCATACCTATGAACAAGTTATTTATACCCTTCAGAAAGCTGTTAACTGTACACAAAAAGAAGCCATTGGCTTTGCAACTACAGTAGATCGAGATGTAAGTAATTTCATTATATTGATGTGACATAATAAATTTGAACTTTTATTACAGATAAGCTATTCTGGGAAAATTGAATAGTCTAGGCTATTTTTGTTTTAAAGATTTTATTAATTTGAGAGAGTGAGTGAGAGAGAGAAAGAGCACAAGTAGAGGGGAGGAGCAGAGGAAGAGGGAGAAGCAGACTCCCCACCAAGCAGAGAGCCCAATGTAGGGCTGGATCCCAGGACTCTGGGATCATGACCTGAGCCAAAGGCAGATGTTTAAACGACTGAGCCACCCAGGTGCTCCTAGGCTATTTTTTTGTTAAATTTCATTTGAATATTGGTGCAGATATATATTGGGTGTAAATGTAAGCTGTTGTCAGATAGAAAGTTTAGGAGGAAATGTAGATACAGTTGCTCTCATTCTACCCAGTGATTAGAAATCCTCAGTTACGGGGCGCCTGGGTCGCTCAGTTGGTTAAGAATCTGCCTTCAGCTCAGGTCATGATCCCAGGATCCTGGGATCGAGTTTCGTGTTGGGCTCCCTGCTCAGTGGGGAGTCTTCTCCCTCGCCCTCTGCTCCTCCCCCCAACTTGTGCTCTTTCTCTCTCTCACTAATAAATAAATAAAATCTTAAAAAAAAAGAAGTATTTGGTTATGAAAATAGAAATTATAGCAACCTAGAAGAATAAATGTTATGTCATTTAAGGAAATATACTTATTAATGTTTTGGAAATATTAGGATGGCTTTGAAGGAAAATAATTTACTTTTCATCATTGAATAGAATGAATGTTATAAATATTAAAATTGACCAGAGTTGTTATATGCTCAAATATGTTTGTTTGTTTACTGGATGAAAAGTTATTAATACTGAATATAATATTTTTACATGTTAATTTAAAATATCTTCATTTACCAGGGACGTAGGTCTGTTCGATATGGAGATTTCCAGTATTGTGAACAAGCAAAATCAGTAATTGTGGTAAGTAATTTAAAAACATGCCTACACTGTTATTTTTTTTATTAGTTTAAAGCTTGTTCCATGTTTTGGCATTTATGAAAACATTTTTCTGCCTTCATGAATGTAAAGCCAACATCAACCAAAAATCATGTGTAATAATACGTTTCTTGAACATTGTATTATTGCTCTATCTAGTTTTTTTAAGGTATATAAGATTAATATTGAAAATGAATGTTTACATGAGATGTAGATGTTCTGCCTTCCAATTTCTGTATCAGAAACATCTTAATGTTTCATTTTTGTTTTGTTTTTGATAGGGTGTCACGTTACTTTTTAGAACTTAAACTGACCTTTAGCACCAAGATTAGAATTCAAGGGAAGTTGTTTCTTGGTAACTTATAACAAGATATGCTGCATATACTAATAGTACTTAGTGTATTATTTCTCTAAAGAAAACTATTCCCCACATTTATATTTATTTTAAAAAGTAAGAATTATTTTAAGCTATTCCATGTGAATGAATTTTATATAAATGTCTTTTTTTGGTAAATATTTTAAATTGCAGATAAAAATGCCTGTATGCCCACATTATACAGCATTTTCTTCATACTTATTTTACGTAAATAGTATAGAGGACCCTGTATTATCCCTTCTTTATCCTATTCCCTTTTCTCCTACCCTAGAGATAACTACTTTTATTAATTCATTTGTTCTTTCTTCTGCGTGCCTTTATACTTCCTTTTATTAAATCTGTCAACATTGTATGTATTGATTTGGAGGCCTTTAAACATTAATTCATAATGTTTCATAACAAGATTCATGCTGGATGTATTATACTGCAACTTTTCATTTCAGTGTTGATACTAGGTTTATGTGTGTTGATGCATGTACCTGTGAAGTATTCCATTGATAACTTTACCATAATTTCTCCATTCTCTTGCTGATGGACAATTAGGATAATTCCTTTTTTTTTTCTTTTTTGCTGTGACTAACAGTCCTGCTGTGGACATTGTTTTGTTTCTTTGCTGCATAGATGCAAAAGTTTCTCTAGGGTATATACCAAGAAATGGGATTTCTGAGTTGTTAGGGTATGAGCATTTTCATCTTTACTAGATTTTGCTAAGTTAGTCTCCAAAATGGTGGCACTAATATGCATGCCCACCAGAGGTGTATAGAGAGTTCCCATTTCTCCACAACTTTGTCAAAACTATATGTTGTCAGATTTTTTAATTTTTGCCAATTTCATTTGTATGAATGGCATCTTGTCAATTAAATTTGTATTGCCTTACTCATGAGTATCTTATTTCATATATTTTTTTAAGATTTTATTTATTTGACAGAGAGAGAGAGCACAAGTAGGCAGAGCGGTACACAGAGGGAGAGGGAGAAGCAGGTTCCCCATTGAGCAGAGAGCCTGATGCAGGGCTCGATCCCAGGACCCTAGGATCATGACCTGAGCTGAAAGCCGATGCTTAACCAACTGAGCCACCCAGGCACCCCATCTTATTTCATATTTATTTATGTTTTCTGTGAATTTCCTATTCATACCCTTAACCATTTTGGGGGCTTGTCTTTTTCTTACTCTTTTCTTAGGGGTTCTTTGTGTAACCTGAATTGTAGTCTTTTGTTGCAAATATCTTTTCAGATGTGGCCTAATTCAAGTTCGTCTCTGGTGCTTTTCATTGAGCAAAAGCTTTAAATTTTAATGTAGCAAAATACATCTTTTTCTTTATGATTTGTACATTTTATGTCCATTTAAAAAATTCTTTCTTGATGTCTGGACATACTCAATTTAATAATGCACAAGAAACTATACTGTGGTTGAGTAAAAGAATATTTCCATTTTTAGGAAATGCAGACTGAGTATTAAGGGATAAGGAGGCATGATGCAGGGTGCATATAACACACCCTCAATCGTTCTTCAGGTTTTTTTCTTTTGTTTTTTTTTAAGTGCATATATGTGTATCTGTGGAGAGAGAAAAATAAGGTGGAAATGAGAAAGCAATTGAAGTAAAAGGTTTATAATAGATGAATCTGAGTAAAGCTCAGATTTTTCCTTATATTGGTTGCTTTATAACTTCTTATATTTAGTAGTATCATTTCAGTTTTTCCTTTTAAAAAAAATTAGTATTTATAATCTCTAGTGGCATTTATGTAGATATATTCGTAATATAGAAAAGAAAGACCAGAAATAGATACTAGCTAGAAGGAAAATCTAGGAAACTATAGGTACATTCTAAGGGAGGAGGAGAGCTTCTTAACCAATACTAGAACCCCAGGAGTTAAAAAAGAAATGTATTTTTTGGCTACATAAAAAATTAGCATAGCAAGATATTCCATAAACAAAGTCAAGAGACAAACAGTAGATTTAGCAAAATTATTTCTAACATAGAGGATGGACATTTAATGTTTATGATAAACAGAATACTCATAGATTGTCAAGTAGGAACAAACAACAAAAGAGAAAAATGGACATAGGATATGGAAAGGCAATTACAGCAGAGAAAAATCGAGGCAGTCAGTATACATGAAGAGACTCACTCATTAGTAATCAGTAAAATGACAGGGAGATTTCATATTCATTAGGTTGGAGAGGTTAGAGTGATAAAATACCTTACTGGCAGAGATGCGGAGAATAGGAATGCTTGTGTAGAATAAATTGCTACAGGATTTGGGGAAATAATTTAGTAGCATCTATTATTAAAGCTTTACCTTTCCTAAGAATTTATCCCATAGAAATGTAAGCACTAGCAAGTGTGTATACAAAGATGTTCAGTGCTGCTTTTTTTGTAGTCAAAGAAGACTGAAAACAAAGGGAATATGAATGCCCTTCTCTAGAGGATGTTTGAATAAATCCACAACACAGAATATTATGAGTCATTAACCCAAAAAAATCGGTTAACGCAGAGATGCACAAGAGTATGTATAGTATCCCATTTTTGTAAATCAAATAAAAATCTTTATAAATGTATACATATATAATATATAGATAGAGAAAATATGCAAAGACATACTGTGTTAATGTGGGTTATGGGGATGGTATGAAGTTGGGGGTAGAAAGATGATCCAAACAAAAAATGAGAAGGGGGAAATAAAAATAAAAAATTGTGATACACTTAAGTAGACATTTCTTTAAAGAAGGTATATAAATTAACCAATAAGCTCATGAAAACATGCTCACCATCACTAATTGTTAGGGAAATGCAGATAAAAACCATGATGAGATACCACCTGATACCCATTTGGATAGCTGTTATAAACAAAGAAAAACCATAACATCATCACAAGTGTTGGCAAGGATATGGAGAAATTGCAACCCTTGTGCACACTGCTGGTGGGAATGTAAAATGGTACAGCTACTATGGAAAACTGCAACGTGGTTCCTCTCAAAATTAAAAAGAGAATTACCATATGATTCAGCAGTTTTGCTTTTGGGTATATGCACAAAAGAATTGAAAGGAGGGTCTAGGAGATATTTGTACACCTATGTTCATAGCAGCATTGTTATTCACAATAGACAAAAGACAGGAACAACTCAAGTGTCTATTGATGGATGAATGGATAAATAAAATCTATATACATACAATAGAATATCATTCAGCCTTAAAAAGGAAGAAAATTCTGATGCATGCTACAATATAGATGAACCTTGAAGACATTATACTAAGAGAAATAAGCCAGTCACAAAAAGATAAATACTGTATGATTCTGTTTATACGATACCTATAGTGTTTGGTGGGTATAGAGTTTGGGTTTTTCAAGATAAAAAGAGTTCTGGAGATTGGTTACACCACAGTGTGAATGTACTTAACAATTCTGAACTGTACACTTAAAAATGGTTACATTGGAAATTGTAGTTTATTATACAACAGGTTTTTTTTTTTAAGTATTGATGACATCACTTCTGTACAGTGAAGCAAATTACTTAAATAAATATGTAATTGCATTTAAGAAATTAAAGACCTAGAACAAATGTAAGCATTTAAATAATTTCTAATTGGTGGGGCAGATTTTCAAGTATAGGACCAAAGATTAAGGTTACTCATAAGCTATAACTTCTTACTTTTTTGTAAGAATCTTAAGATTCTTTCTAGATCCTAAATTAGGATCTGAGTAAAGCAAGCCAAGTGGTATTTTTCTTACACTCATACATGAAAAAAAAATTCTCATGTAATGATGAGAGTATAGTTATATTAAATAAAAATACTAGCTTTTTTCTATAAGATAGCCTTTTTGTTTTTTTCATTCTGCCATTTCTTTTTAAGAGAAATACCAGTAGACAGACAAAACCACTCAAAGTTCAAGTTATGCATTCGTCTATTGTCGCACATCAGAATTTTGGTTTGAAACTTTTGTCGTGGCTGGGAAGTATTATTGGATATTCAGGTAGGTTCAAAAAACTATTTTGGAAAAAATATCAAGTGAAATAATTTCTTGCTTTAATTTCACATTTTAAAATACTGTCTCAGAATATCTTTATGCACAGAAAAACCCATGTTTCTCAAATTTTGATCCAGAGGATTTTTTTATATGCATACAAAGGATTCTGTGTTCAAATAAATGCAGGAAATATTGGGTTAAACAATAGTAAATGACTTTAATATGCTAATGAAATCTAAATCTCACAGACTTAATAAAAGAACCTTTTTTTTTTTTTTAACCCCATTCTGTGGAACTCTGTTCTACTGAGCAAGCTGGAAAATACTACTGTAAATAAAACCTCAATGATTAGCAGTTTAAAGGATGCAACACTAATGCTGATATCTTTTGTTTTGACTCCTCCAACTTTTGATTACTAATAATTTTCAACTCCAAACACTTGCAGATTTGAAGTTACTGATTTATATTTGATATTTTTTGTCTTTCCACATTCCACAAATTAGATAATCTTTTTAATGTGGTAACAGAATGAAGAACCCACATGGCTAATGCCAAAAATACAAGTTTGGTATATAAAATATAACACTAAAGAGAAAGATAGGAATAGATCTAAGCTATCTGTCATACTGTTCTTTAGAAAGCAAGAGAAGTGGTTTGGATAAATGACATTCTGATGTTTATTATAAAGAGAATTCTAAAATAATTGTATTGAAAGAGCATTGCCACATTGTGAACGGACAGTTGAAAAAACATGTAGGTATTGAAATTTAGGAGACCATGTTTGCTTGCCTTTTTAAATGTCTCTCCAATTATTTTTCTTATCCTCAATCTTTTTAGAGTTGGTGTTTTCCATTGGATACCTATGCACCAAGTTCTGTGCTAGAGTAGTAATGAATAGTATCACGGAAGCAATTTCCTGCCAAAATTTTTTTTGAGATATTTACCCTTAATTATTTAAAGACTTTGTCTCTTATTTAATATTTATATACGTATTTCTCTTTAGCTTTATAAACAATTTCTGTTTGATCGCTTTTATAATTTTAAAATTACTCCCTTTTTTTTCCTGATTATTTTGCATGCTTATAGAAGACTAAAAACTGATTTTAATTATAAAGTATGAAACATAAAGGTATTAAAGTTTTGGTTATGTTAATGCTTATGTTAATATTTGAAGAACTTTTTTTTTTTTAAGTTCAGCATTTAGAAGATGTAGGACTTTGTCTTCCAGGACCTTTCACATAGTAGGTACACATAGGCTCACAGGGAACATTTATTTAATGAGTAGATACATTTTGCATAGCACTGATAAATGGACTGGTATTTATTATAGTACAGAGGCCATGCATTCTTTTTTTTAAATGGCAGCACAATTATATATTATACCTACCTTCAATTATCATGAGATGTAACAATTTTATTATAATCTGGTTTAATTAACATAGGTGCCTAAAGAACTGTATTTAAATTCTTTACAACATAAGAGGTCGTTGCCCTTCTGATAGGCTTATATTTTGGTATTTTGGAGTAAGTGTTGGTGTATAATGCGAGATTTGGAATTTTTCTCCTTTTTGTGAAAATGTTAATATGTTTACTTTTCCTGAATAAATTTGACCGATTAGTAAACATGTAAAACTCTATAGGTTCACTGGAACATTTCTATTAAAATGTCATTTTATTTTAATACTTGAAGTTCCTATTTCATTGACTACTTTTCTTCCTGTTTTAAGATGGGCTTCGCCGAATTTTATGTCAAGTTGGTTTACAAGAAGGGCCAGATGGTGAAAACTCTTCTTTAGTGGACAGATTGATGCTTAATGATTCCAAATTGTGGAAAGGTAATCTTTTAACTACTCTCAAGGTATAGGAGAACCTTAAATAAGTAATTGGGAAAAGGTTTTTTTGGGTTTGTTTGGTTTTTTTTTTCATTTGGGAAGGCATTTAATAAATATATTTATAGTTTTTAGAATTAGCACATGCAGTCTTATTCTTTGGAAAAAACATAAACAGATTTTGGAGTCCATGACCCAAATTAAATAACCTTTATATTTTGTTAGAAAACTATTTTTAGAAGAACTAATTTTTTAAGAAACAGTCTCCTTCTCTCTCTGCCTCGCCTCCCTGCTTATGCTCACTCTCTCAAATAAATAAAAATAAAATATTTTTTTAAAACAGATTGCAGGGACGCCTGGGTAGCTCAGTCGTTAAGCGTCTGCCTTTGGCTCAGGTCATGATCCCAGGGTCCTGGGATCGAGCCCCACATCGGGCTCCCTGCTCAGCGGGAGGCCTGCTTCTCCCTCTCCCACTCCCCCTCCTTGTGTTCCCTCTCTCTGTCAAATAAATAAATAAAATCTTTTAAAAAAAAAAAAAAGCAGATTGCAAACATTTTATACTGAAGAACACATTTAGAGTTTTGCTCTTGAGACTTAAAATACAATTGAACATATAAAAACTTCGGAAATGTAATTTTTGGCTTGTTTGATACATTCTTAGTTTACATCTACTCTTTTTGTAAAAGGTGCTAGGAGTGTGTATCATCAGTTGTTTATGAGCAGTCTACTTATGGATTTGAAATACAAGAAATTGTTTGCTGTTCGATTTGCAAAGGTAAGTAGTCTCTCAGTTTGAAATTTAACAAAATAGGTTATATACAGAGTAAATATAACCCATGATTATATCCAGGCTTTATAGTATTAGCAACCAATAGTAATATGTCACTGTGTTGATTTTAAGTTCTAAGAAACTTCAGTAGATGATCTTATCTTTTATAAATAGAACAAAATTCCAGCAGTAAGGCTTTTCCTTTTCATCACCTGGATACAAATATCCAGCTGTGAAATGTATATGATATCAAATGACAAATGAAGAATTTAAACCTATACCGTTGTGAATTATGTATGATATTATTCCCATTAAAATTTGTATAAGGGAAAGATAATCTTAGCTGAAATGACATGTAGATACGGATGTTGATTTAAGAATCATGAACTCTTGGTTGTTGATATTATTGAATTATGTTCTCCCTTTTCATAGTATGTGCTTATTTTTTAATTCACCTGAATTAGGAGTTCTTAATCAAAGAAGCATGTAAGGATAATATGGGGAGCTCTTTCAAAATATATGTCTTTGTGTCCCATTCTCAAACTTAATGAAACAAATTCACCAAGAATGGGGTCCAAGCATGTGTACTCGGGAAGAGCCATCAGGTGATTCTGATATACATCCATAAGAAACAAAAATCTGGTTTCATCAGAGACCATGTAGAGCTGCTGTGGTTTAGCCCTACTGGTGTACAATAACATCCCAGGATTTTAGAAGCTGTTACTCCTATTTGAGCTCATAAATTGCCATTGTGCTGAAGATTATATAGTGAATCAGTATTTATACAAAACTTACTGGTAGAAGTCATTTCGTTATCATTCTCATAGCAGTGTTATCTTATTGACTCCTCCAGCACTGACTTTTCATTATAATCCTTAAACATTTGGTCAATGTGGATTAGAGGTGAATCTCCCCCTTGTTGTTTAGAATTACCAGCAGTTGCAGAGAGATTTTATGGAGGATGATCACGAGCGAGCAGTGTCCGTGACTGCTCTGTCTGTCCAGTTCTTCACCGCACCTACTCTGGTGAGTAGTGCTTGCCTTTTCTTTGTAACTGATAGCTGGCACTCCTTGCCTTTTTTTGCCTTCTTAATAGAACTATGAGCGTTTGCAGAGTGATTATGTGACAGATGACCACGACAGAGAGTTTTCAATCGCAGACCTCTCGGTTCAGATATTCACGGTTCCTTCACTTGTAAGTACTAAAAGACTAAGAAGAACTTTCTTGTTTGCCATTGACAGAAGTAAAGCCTTAAAATACTAGAGAATGAAGACCTGTATATTCCTGAATAGAATAATATTTTATTAATGGGTGATTGGACTTCAGACACCTTCAGCCATACTAGAACATAGCCTTCAGTATGTAATCTAGAAAGAAAAAATCATTTAAACTTAATCTGTACATTTTCATACTACTTCCCCGAGGTTTTGAACTGGTAAGTTAAAAATTAAGCAGATTGGTTTAACAAATGTATACATTAGAAACAGCATATTATATACAATCTCACATTTTGAGAAGCTCCCTTCCCCCCAGTAAAGGAAGGGGTAGCTAAGGCAATTGAATCACAGTGATTGTGGGTGGTCTTACACTAGTTGCCTGGGAAAGCATCACTATGTTTTAGTGCTATTCAGTAATTGAAATTCATATTTAAGTTATTTAACATGTTTTGAGATCTATTATTGATTGGGCACAGTTCTAAGCTTTGGGAATACAGCGGTGAACAAAAACAGATGTGGTCCTTGCCCTCAGGGAACTTAAAATAATGGGAAAGACTCACAGAATTGGTTAATTAAGATTATAATGAAAACTCTAGAATTTGGTTTTGCAAGAGAATAATAGAGAGATCTGACCTTTTCCCAAAGTTCAGAGAGGGATTCTATAGGGAAGGCACCTTTATGTGGGGTCATGAAGGAAAGTTCATTTAAAGGGACCAACACTTAAGCAGGTCCTGAAGTAGGAAAGTTCCTATCCAGGAAACAGACAGAAAGCCAGCACAATTGAAGATCCTTGAATATGGAATAAAATGAGACCAGAAACGAAGGCAGGTGCTTAATTGTATAGTATTCTATTTTCCTACAGGGTGCATTTTCCAGTTTTTTTGTTTATTTATTTGTTTTTAACGAGTGTTTTTCCCAGGATTACCTTTATGTTGAAGGATGTATTCTAGTACAGTTGAAGCTGTCTGTATCCACTAACGAGATATTATAGGCCAAGTGAAGGATTTTGGTTTTATGGGAAAGCAGTGAAGAGTTTTAAGTGGCATTTACATCATCATGTTTGTGATTTTTAAAAGATCGTGCTGTTTGTAATTTGGAGAACAAATTGGCAGGGGGGCAAAAGTGAGTGTGGGGAACCTAATTAGAAGCTGATGCAATGATCCAGACAAGAATTGGTGGTAACTTGAGCTGGGATTTTGGCAGTGGATATGAGTTGTGAGAGAGATTTAAGTAGTAAAAGCTACAGAATTGGCCAGACTTGGGTTTGAGGGATCAGTTGGTGATTGGTTGTTCAATTGGAGGGAAAGGGTAAAGATGACTCCTAGGTTTGTGACTTGCAGCCCAGTGGATGTCGTGCCACTTGGACAGGGGGTTTTGGAAAACGAGTAGGATTTGTGAAGAGAGAAAGCAATGCTTTCATTTTAGTCAGGGATGTTTGAGAAGTCTCTGAGATAATCCCATGTGTGTTCATATCTGTGCTTCCTCCATTGATCTGTTTGTCCATTTCCATGTCAGTACCCAGTTTTAATAATTTTAGCTTAATACTCTGTTTTGATATCTTGTAGGGCTAAATCTTCCATTATTCTTTTCAAATAATTTCTTTAATGTTCTCAGGCTTTTTTTTTTTTTTTTAAAGATGAACTAAAATCACAAAAAAACACATTAGGATTTTGATTGAAAATATATTTAAAGATACTTTGGGAAGAACTCATATCTTTGCAATATCGAATATCCCCATCCAGGAACATAATTTGTCCTCATTTATCAAGTTTTATATTATGCTCTTATTACAGACTTCATAGCTGTCTTGTTATGGGTCTTACACATTTTTAATCTGGCTATGTCTGGTATGTAGGAAAAGCACTGATATATTTATGTATCCATCTTGTATCTGTCTGGTCCTCTTAATTAGCATTTCTTCTAATATTTTGTGTTGATTTCTTGGGATTTTGAGTAATCTACAAGTAATTTTTTTCTTCTAATATTTCAACTTTTATTTTTTGTTTCTTGTCTGATTCCTTTAGTTAAAACAGTACACAAATAGCATATGTACTCATTTATTCAGAACTTACTTATTTAGCACCTTTACTGAGTAGGTACTGTTTTGGGCTCTGGAGATAAATACTGCAGTAAACGAAGCAGACAAAAGTCCCCGTTCCCATGGAATTTATAGTCTAATTGGGAAGACAGATATACAAACAGTTGCATACCATTTGTAAATCAAGTGTTGGTAAGTGCTATGAAGTAGAAAAGCAGGTTAAGGGGATAGAGAGTGACAGTGAAAGGGTCATATTTTATACAAGGTTATCAGAAGGCCTCTCAGAGAAGTAGTGTTTGAACAGGAACCTGAAGAAAGTGAGAGATGAGAAATGTGACTAACTGGTGGAAGAGCTTCCTGGGCAAGTACAAAAGTTCTGAGATGAATGTGCACTTGGCATTTTGGAAGAAAGAATCCCAAACAGGCCAGTGTTGCTAGATAAATGAAGAAAATGGTTAATGACATCACTGAGTTTGGGGATAGGGTTGAAGGTGGAATGGGCAAGGCCATTGTGAGAGCTTAGGTCTTTTGTCTAAAGAAAGTAGAAAAAGGGAAATAATAAAGAGCAGAAATTAATAAAACAAAGCAAATATACATAAGAAAAAAATCAGTACAATCAAAAGTTGGTTCTTTTAAAACAAGGAAAAGGAATAGATACCTAGAAAGACTAATATAAAAAATAGAAAAACTTTAATTTTAAAAAGGGCTACAAAAAAGTACAGGCCTTACAGATATTAAGTAGAAAATAAGACAGTATTGGGACCAACTTAAATCAGTATAATTGGAAATTTGGGTGAAATGAACAGATTCCTAAGAAAACCCACAGGTTATTGAAAGAGAAACAAGAAATAGAAATTTTTAATTATTATAAAAGTCTTCTCACAAGTCCCCAGGCCCAAGTGCCTACACTGGAGAATCCTTCCAAATATTTAAGAAATAATACCTGTCTTACATAAATTTTTCCACAAAACAGAGAAAGAGAATATACTGGCCAATTTAATTGAATTCTCTGTTATCTTGATACCAAAACCCAACAAGGCAATTTATAAGAAAATTACCATCTAATCTCTCTCACAGATGAGGTTGCACAAATCAAATCAGGCAATATAGAAAAAGGATAATACGTCACAACCAAGTTTGGTTTTTTCCCTTAATGAAAGAGTAGTGTAACATTTGGGGGAAAAATCAGCTGGCATAACTCACCTTATTAACGGACAGAAAAAAATTGTATCAAGTACTTTTTCCAAATTAATGAAAATTCAGCACTCATAATTTAAAACAAAAAATACCTCATACCTACGAATGAAAGAGAACTTTAATCTAATAGAGTACCTAAGAACAAAACAAAAAATAAAAACCTAAAGCAAACATTCTACATAATGCTGAGTATTAAAAGCTTTTCCCCTGAGATCAGGAATAAGAAAGATTCCTGCTTTTATTCAGCACATGATGACTCCCATTCTTTCTGTAATTTCTTGAGATAGATATTTAAATCGTTGGCTTTCAGCCTTTCTTTCCTGATAAGGGCATTTAATGCTTAAGTTTCCATCTAATCGTAACGTTAGCTGCATCCCACAATTTTGTAATGTCTTATTTTTATTATACAGTTCCAAAAATTCACTGAGTTCCTTTGTGATCTCTTCCTTGACCCATTTGTTCTTCTTTGTGATTATACTTCTTAGAGATATATTGCTAAATTTCAAAACAGCTGGGCATTTTCTAATTATTTTGTTACAAGTTCTAGCTTAATTTCACTGTGGTCAGAGAACATACTGATTTCAGTCCTCTGTTGAGTCTAGCTTTATGGCCCAGAATGTTTTCAGTTTTGATAAATATCCTATGTGAACTTGAAAATAATGTATATTCTCTTATCATTGGGTGCAGTGTTTCTGTATGTCGCTTAGGTCAGGTTTGTTCATTTTCATTGTGTAAGTCTTATATACTTAATAATTTTCTGCCTACTTGTTCTGCCAACTATTGAAGTATCTTAAGAGTTTCCCACAATGATCGTTGGATTTGCCTTTCTCCTTTTAGTTCTGTTATTATATGCCTGCTTTATATATCTTTATGTTATGGAATACATACAAATTTAGAATTGTACCTCCTAGATTAACCCTTTTATCATCATGAATTATCTTTTTCATCTCAGATAATACTCCTCACTTAAAGTAATTTATCTGATACTACAGCAACAACTCCTTTCTTTTGGTTAGTGTTTGCATAGTATGTCTTTTCCATTGTTACATTTTTAACTTTTTTTTTTTTTTAAGAGAGAGAGAGTGTGGGGAGTGGAGGGAGGGGCAGACGGAGAAGGAGAGAGAGAATCTCAAGCAAGCTCCACGCCCAGCGGTGACTCAGTCATTTGAGCTTCCGATTCTTGATTTCAACTCAGGTCATGATCTCAGGGTCATGGCATCGAGCCCCATGTCAGGCTCTGTGCTCAGTATGGAGTCTGCTTGGGATTCTCTTCCTCTGCCCCTCCCCCCTGCTCACACGCACATGCTCTCTCTCTCTAAAATGGATAAATAAATAATATCTTAAATAAAGTCATAGTCTGATAATGTCATTATCTAGATCATTTGTAGTTCTATTCCTATTTAATTTCTTTTATATTTTTGCCCCTTTTGATTTTTAGTCACTTGAAATGCTTAATAAGCAGTCTTGCTATGATTTATGTAGGTTTGGTTTTCTTTATAGATATTGGAGTTTGTAGATACTGTATCCCTATGCTGGTGGCTTTCTCAGTTTTGGAAATTTTGGAGTCATTCTCTCCTCAAATACGGTTTCTGGGGCACCTGGGTGGCTCAGTCGTTAAGCGTCCGCCTTCGGCTCAGGTCATGATCCCAGGGTCCTGAGATCGAGCCCTGCATTGGGCTCCCTGCTCGGCAGGAAGCCTGCTTCTCCCTCTCCCTCTCCCCCTGCTTGTGTTCCCTCTCTCGCTGTATCTCTCTCTGTCAAATAAATAAATAAAATCTTTAAAAAAAAATATATGGTTTCTGCCCCATTCACTTTCTCATTGCCTTCTGGGAGGATGTGTTTTATTACAAAATCTTAGACACTGCATGGTATCTTTATCCTAAGAAGATTCCCCTTAATGTTAGGCAGCTGGAATGAGGCCCATCACCTTAGTCTAGTTAGGAATTAACATGACTCCAGGTTGTTTTGGCTAGACTCTGTCTTCTGAGTCATCCTCACCCCTGCAACATTACCCTCTAAGGGTTCCCAGTCAAGAGCCTAAAGGGTTCACTTGAGTTCCTCCCCTCTCTAGGGTCCCGAACTCGTTTTGTGTCCTCCGCTTGCTAAAACTGCCACATTGCTCCTTTGCTCTTCTAGTCTTTCTGCTCTTAGACTTCTAAGGCCTGCACAGCTTCAGAATTTTGTAGATGTCTTACGGGGAAAGCTGAAAGAACGTTGGACTCCATTCCTACCCTTCTGTTCTTACTAGAGTCCTGGCCACCCCACTCCCCACACCAGCTAAACTTAGGTTTTTCTCCCTGTTAGCAGTTTTGTCAGACTCTTTCCTGGGATCTTCTATCTCATTTTGCCCTGCTCCCAGAAGAGTCAGATGCTGAAGGAAAAGCAACTGCAGGATGTTGGCTCATCTCCCTCTGCTGTGGCCCTTCTCTATGGTTTTATCCCCTCGAATTCTTATTGCCTCAGCAGCTCTCTAATGATTTCAGACTTTTTCCTAATTGATCTTTTCTGGTTGTTCTTGGGGAAAAATGTTGGTCAGCCTCAAGTTTCTTCCCTCATGACTGGAAGCAGAAGAGTACATGGATAGTTTCTTGGAAAAGCACCATTAGTAATTCATCTGCCTATCCCTGCTTAAAAATCAATTGCCTAGATATTAGTGAAATGTAATATATCAGTAATACAATCCCATATATTGGTCTTTTGGGTTAACTGAAAATTCAGTCTTCCATTTTTAAATAGCCTGGTCAAGAACCAATACTAATAATTCAAGTGATTAACAATATCTTACTTGTTCTAATTTGTTTTTATTAAATGTGCCCTAATTTATAGTCATCATTACCCCTGTATGCTCTATCATGTTTAGTTTAACTAAAAGTATGTTCACAGGCCATTATTATTCAGTAATGTTTTTCACAGGGGCACCTGGGTGGTTCAGTCAGTTTGGTCATCCGACTCTTGATTTCAGCTCAAGTCCTGATCTCAGGGTGGTGAGACTGAGCCCCATGTCGGGCCCTGTGCTCATTGTGGAGTCTGCTTGGGATTCTATCTCTCCGTCTGCCCCTGCCCCTCCTGCTGCACACGCTCTCTCTCTCAAAATAAATAAATAAATAAAATCTTCATAAAAAATAAAGATTTTTCAGAGTTTTAGCGGGGACTGTGGCCCATTTTGAATATGTAATGAGCCTTGCAACACAAGATTGAATACAAATTACATAAAATAAATAAAATTGTAATTAAGGTGAGTAGCAGAAAAATGTTTTTTTATAATTTTTTTTTAAAGATTTTATTTATTTGACACAGATAGCAAGAGCAGGGACACAAGCAGGGGTAATGGGAGAGGGAGAAGCGGGCTTCCTAAGCCTGATGTGGGACTCAATCCCAGGACCCTGGGATCATGATCTGAGCCAAAGGCAGACGCTTAATGACTGAGCCACCCAAGCACCCTCAGTAATTTATTTTAAAGCAAAGAGAATTGTAGGCATTTAAAAATTAAGCAGTTTGGGGGCGCCTGGGTGGCTCAGTCGTTGGGCGTCTGCCTTCGGCTCAGGTCATGATCCCAGGGTCCTGGGATCGAGCCCCGCATCGGGCTCCTTGCTCCGCGGGAAGCCTGCTTCTCCCTCTCCCACTCCCCCTGCTTGTGTTCCTGCTCTCGCTGTCTCTCTCTCTGTCAAATAAATAAAATCTTTAAAAAAAAAAAAAATTAAGCAGTTTTTTAGGGTGATGAGAAGTACTAGACCTATATAATAATGTTAGATATTTAATGTCAAAGATTACCTTGAAAGTTTAGCAACAATCTAGGCATGAGGTGATAAAGCCAAGCACTTAAAGTTTTTTATTCTTCTTTTCTGTTGTAACCTTGGAAAATATGCTTTCTCTAGTTTTCTTTTCAGAAGTAGAAATGGCTGAATAACTCCCCTCTTTCAGTGGGACAGTACTAATGGGCGTCTTACTGATTTTTTTTTTTTTAAGTTGGCATCCATGACAATCATAATCCAAAACAAAATTATGCAGTGGATAAACCATCTCTTTTAAGAATTTATCTGAAACTGAAAATGCTAAATAAATGCTTTGGTTGGTGAGATTTACATTCTACCAATATTAAATTGTCTCTCCCAGGGGCGCCTGGGTGGCTCAGTCGTTAAGCGTCTGCCTTTGGCTCAGGTCCTGATCCCAGGGTCCTGGGATCGAGCCCCACATCGGGCTCCCTGCTCAGCGAGGAGCCTGCTTCTCCCTCTCCCACTCCCCCTGCTTATGTTCCCCCTCTGTCAAAAAAATAAATAAATAAATCTTTAAAAAAATAAATTGTCTCTCCCAAACTTCCTTCAACTATTGGTTGTAAGTCTTGTAAGCATGTTCTACAGTTTTTTCTTAGGTCAGTCAAATTGTATTATACTCATTTAAGTTTCTCCAAGTCAACTAATACAGCAAACAAAAAACCAAAAAGGAATATCCTTTTATCTTAACCTATCAACACCTCTTCTTCTTCAAACTTGACCTTAGTCTTCACTATGTAGGAAAATGAACAGTAGTTAATGCTGTTGATTTTTGAGGTTCTTAGGGCCTGTGTCAATGTGATGATGACTTTTGAGTTTTTCAAAGGAATATTTAACTATATAGATTTTCTCTTTAGCTGATGACCTCAGAACTTTTACATTAGAACACAACTTTACTATAGTCTTAGACTTCTATCTTCTGCACTTTTTTGTCCTACTTTTTTTTTTTTAAGATTTATTTATTTGAGAGAAAGCGTGCGCGGGCAGGGGGAGGGTCAGAGAGAGGGAGAGAAGTATGGAGCCTGACAGGTGGCTTGATCCCATGACCCTGAGATCATGACCTGAGCCAAAATCAAGAAGTCAGATGCTCAACTGACTGAGCCACCCAGGCACTCCTGTCCTACTTTTTGATGCAACTTTCTATATTGCTGATTGATTAATGAGAGACCTAGTTAAATAGTTCCCCCAATACCACTAATAATACCCTTGAACCTAGTTAGGCTAGAAAAGTAGGGGAAAATCCATGATCTTTTATAGCAGAGTAATAATGTATTCAAATAATATTAGACATTCTGACTTTATTATGGAGCAGAAAAGGAAATGCAAATTTTTATAAAATAACATCCAACTTCATTCATAGTAAGATGCAAGTTAAAATCATCAGAATGGCAAAGATCAAAATGTTTAAAGTTGCATTGTGTTACTGAAAGCATGAGGGGAAAGGCAAACACTGTAGATGGACATATAAATTGGTACACTTCTTTGTGGAGACAATTTGATGATATCACTAAAATTTATAATGTACATACACTTTAACCCAGTAATTCCACTTCTAGAAAATTATTCTATAATTATCCTTGCAGTTGTACACAGCTAATATTCATTGCAACATCTTTTGGAATAAATAGCATTAAGACTGGAAAAAACCCAAATGTCTCATGTCTCACCATTAAGGGCCTGCCTGGCTAAATAAAGTATGATAGAAAAAAATACCTGGTGATGGTTATGACAAATGAGGGAATTTACATGAACTGATATGGGACAATCTCTAAAATACATGAAGTTAAAAAACAAGTGAAGAACAGTGTTTATAATACGCTATCCTTTAAGGGTGAGAAATAGATAGAATTAAATATATGCATACTTCTATCTACTTAGTAACACTTAACCCATATATTATAAATGTATATATGTATTCTTCCATCTCTGGAAGAATATGCAAGAAAACTGCTAACAGAGATTGCCTTTGCAAGGGGGACCTTAGGAGCTAGGAGACTTTTTACCTGTTTTTGTTGTTGTTTTTGGTTTTTGTTGGGTTTTTTTGCATCATTTAAATGTATTTGCTTATTCAAAAATACATAGATATGTATATCTATACATAGAAACAAAACCAAAAAAATTTTAAAAGATTAAGAGGAAATAGAGTTTCATACTGAGTTCTACAGAATCTGTGATATGAACCTCTGGATCCTAGAGTAATTATACCATACCATTATAGGTGTCTAAATGTCTCAGTTAAGAAAAATTTGCAGCCTGGTTCAGAGCCCCCACCCTGAATTGTCTTTGAATAATGAGGCTTGGATCTGTCTCCTAACATTCTGGCATCTTTCTCCGTGATATAATTGTTGCTTCATACACGTGGCAATTGGAGTAAGTAATTGTTATTTAGAAATACACAGTAATGCATTTATAATACTATATAGTTGCATTGGAAAAGGTTTAAACTTCAAAGAGCTAACCAATGTTGATGACTTTTTTTTAGCTTTCTAGTTAATACATTTTGATTACCAGTGTACTCTGATATACTCTGTTCTAGGCTCGGATGCTTATCACAGAAGAAAACCTGATGACCATCATCATTAAGACTTTTATGGATCATTTGAGACATCGAGATGCCCAGGGGAGATTTCAGTTTGAACGATATACTGCTTTACAAGCCTTCAAGTTTAGGAGAGTTCAGAGCCTTATTTTAGATCTCAAGTAAGTTTTTGTTTAATTATCCAACCACTTGCAACTTGTAATATGTCAGTGTTTACCCATATGTTCATTGCTATTTTTATCTTGTTCAGGTATGTGTTAATTAGCAAACCAACTGAGTGGTCAGATGATCTGAGGCAGAAGTTCCTAGAAGGATTTGATGCCTTTTTGGAATTACTCAAATGTATGCAGGTATGTATAAATGGAACATTTTAAAGAGGAGCACCTTTTTTTTTTTTTTTTTTTTTGGTTCATTGACTTGAACATCTTTTCTGTCTATGTATTCTTTTCATTTGGGGCACATTTCCAAAAGAATAATTTAGATGACTACAATTTGGACCAAGAAGCTCCTTTTTAATTGGAAACCCTTAGAATGGTGTAGAATAAATGACATCCAAGCAGAAGTTCTGGCATCTACTATTCTTTTGTATTTGGTTGTTCTTTTGGTTACCATTAACATTCTTTCTTTGAGGATTGCAAGTTTACTATTTTTAATATGCTTACGTGGAAGTATTGTAAAGTTAATAATTAAGAAACTATAATGTTTAATTTTTATTTTTAATGTTTCCATAATTCTTTTTCTCTCCTTGATATGATATTTATATAATACAGTATAGAACTTGCTTCCCTCTGTTTAATTCTCTTTTTTGGAAACACCCCCATATACAGAACAGAATCTAGCAGAAACCAACTGGTATATGGTTTTAACTGTAAGAAGGTAGATGTCATCCCAAAATATCTGAGCCATACCATTATAATTCTTTTAGTAGCTGTCTGGCTTTCTTAAGCAAGAAATAAACAAAATCAACTTATCATTTTTGGAAAGTATTCTGGTTTCTGTGTTGGGTTGGGATGTTTAATTTATGGTAATACTTCTGTGTTTTTCTATCTGTAGAAACTTTGGTCATTTTAAATACTTGAGGTATCCTCTATTTTCTATAATCAGTTCTGACACACCAAGAGAGTAGTTAGGCTAGTTTCTTTTTTTTTTTTTTAAGATTTTATTTATTTATTTGACAGAGAGAGCATGCAAGCAGGCAGAGGGAGAGGGAGAAGCAGGCTCCCCGCTGAGCAGGGAGCCCAATGCGGGGCTCAGTCCCAGCACTCTGGGATCATGACCTGAGCCAAAGGCAGACGCTTAACCGACTTATACACTCAGGCACCCTGTTAGGCTAGTTTCTGAAACATATATTCTTATTTAAAATTCTTTCAAAACTGTATATTCTTGGGGCACCTGGGTGGCTCACTCGTCATGATCCCAGGGTTCTGGGATTAAGCCCCGAGTTGGGCTTCCTGCTCAGCGGGGAGCCTGCTTCTCCATCTCCCTCTGTCCCTCTCCCCTGCTCATGCTCTCTCTCTCTCCCTCAAATAAACAAATTAAATCTTTTTTGAAAAATGTATATTCTTGGGGCGCCTGGGTGGCTCAGTCGTTAAGCGTCTGCCTTCGGCTCAGGTCATGATCCCAGGGTCCTGGGATCAAGCCCCGCATCGGGCTCCCTGCTCCGCGGGAAGCCTGCTTCTCCCTCTCCCTCTCCCACTCCGCCTGCTTGTGTTCCCTCTCTCGCTGTGTCTCTCTCTGTCAAAATAAATAAATAAAATCTTTAAAAAAAAAAAAATGTCTATTCTTATAAAACTATTTTATCTTTTTGTTTTACATTTCTGGGTTTTTTTGTTTTGTTTTGCTTTCTTTTAGTCTGTGAGAACTTTTAGTTGCAGATTAGGAATAAATATGAAACCTTTATTCTAGTATATCATAAAATATACTTATAAATTCAGTAACATTTTAAAAGCCTGTCTAATTTCTTCTAACAGTTTGGCCTATAGATGATAGAGCTAAAAAATAATTTGAAGGCTCGTTGCAGTGAAGCATACATTTTATGGTTTAAAACATATGCAGGATTGCCTCAAAAATATTTGTTCTATACTGGGGTTTTTAATTTATATTTTAGGGAATGTTAATATATAAACATGTAATTTAGGGAGTTGAACTTCTTATACTACTTGAAGCTTCTTGTTAAAACTTTTATATGTTTTTATAATCAATATATATTTTTTCTATATTATTAAGTTTCCATGTAAGAGGACAAACATAATTTTAATCCATTTAAAATCTTTTTGCTTCTTTTGGGGCACCTGGGTGGCTCAGTCTGTTAAGCATATGCCTTCGGCTCAGGTCATGATCCCAGGACCCTGGGATAGAGCCCCGTGTCGAGCTCTCTCCCTCTTCTTCTGCCTGCCATTCTGCCTGCTTGTGCTGTCTCTCTCTGTCATATAAATGAATAAAATTTTTTAAAAATTAAAATAAAATAAAATCTTTTTGCTTCTTTTAAGGGAATGGATCCAATTACACGTCAAGTAGGACAGCATATTGAAATGGAACCAGAATGGGAGGCAGCCTTCACGCTACAAATGAAATTAACACATGTCATTTCAATGATGCAGGACTGGTGTGCTTTAGACGTGAGTTTCTTCCAGGGGTAGGCAGTAGGAGATAAATGGAAGATGGGGAATAAACAGATTCCTAAGGATTCTGAGGAGATTTGGAGAAGATAGTGGTGATACTTACCTCATGAAATAACATCTTTTCCTCTCTTACCCATAAATTCCATAAAAGTTAAAATTCTGAAGCCTTAGAAAAAACTTGGAAAATAGAGGAAGAAATGATCCACTCTCTCTTCTCTTATGTTATGATCTACATTTTTTCCCCATAATCTCGTCTAGATTTTGAGCATATAAAAAGAAGAGTTTAGAAATGTATCCAAAAATAAGGCTTTATAACTGTTTCATTTGTTCTCCGTCTTAAAATTACTTTGCTTTCCTTTGGCTATAAAGTCTAGATAAGAGCCTGTGTAAGTTAAGAGGTAAGAGAAGACTTCTGTGAGATCTGAACTATGTGTAAGAGTTAACTGGTCAAAGAGCAAAGAATATTCCTGACTGTGAGACAGCTTCATCATGCTCTGCGATGAGAAAGAGTATGGTTGGTCCAGGAGCTGTGAGAAGGCTCAGGTTGGAGCACAGAGGTTGAAGGTAGAGAACTGGACAGGGGCCTAACTTTGCAGGCCTTGGAGGCCCTGGAACGAAGTTTGGGCTTTATTCTAATAGAGTTGGGATGCCACTAGTGGCTACCAAGCTAGAAAAGGTGACATGATCCAGTTTACATGTTTTTTTAAAAATTACTCTGGGAGAATAGATGGAGGAGGGCAGAAGTAGAAGCAGGGGATTTAATAGATGGTTGGCTTTCCTTTGAATTACTGGAGATGATCAGTGGCCAGGTTTGAGAGAAATTTAGAAGATGAAATTGCCAGCTTAGTATAATAGATTGGGCAGTGGGAAATGAGGGAAAGGAGGGTATTGGAATGACTTGTAGATTTCCAGCTTTATGGAGATGTCATTCCCTGAGACAGGGCCCTGGAAGAGGGACCATATTGGGGGAGGGAAGATTGAGTTTGGTGTTGCCTATATTGATATCTGAGGTACTTACTCACTGTTGAATTTGAGGTGCTTATTCAATGTTGTAGAAACCCAGCCTTTGAAGTAACTTACAGAAAACCCTCTTTTTTAGGAAAAAGTGTTAATTGAAGCTTACAAGAAATGCCTTGCTGTATTGATGCAGTGTCATGGTGGTTTCACTGATGGTGAACAACCAATCACGTTAAGCATTTGTGGACATTCAGTGGAAACTATCAGATACTGTGTTTCTCAAGAAAAAGTTAGCATTCACCTCCCAGTTTCTCGCTTACTTGCAGGTAAAGCATTTCTCCCCAAAAAAGAACCCTGAAATTATCTTCTAAATTGTTGTTTGTGGTTAATATTTATGGAATACTTACTATACATTATACTGAGAGTTTTATAAGCATTGACTTATTTAATCACCACATCAGCCTACAAGGTAGGTATTGTTACATTTGCTTCACAGAGGGGAAGATGAGACATAGAAGTGACCTCCTTAGTGTCATGCAGCAGGAAAGAGTCAGAGTAGGAATTGTGAGGTGCTTTGGCCCCAGAAGTCATGTTTATAATGACTGTACCATGGTCCTGCATCAGACTTCTAAACTGCACATACCACATGCTTACCACATATATACCGTATGCCTGACTCAACTCACATTCAGAGTCTGTCGTCCCCATTCAGATCACCCTATCGCTTAAGGGATTGCTGATAAATTGAAACCACCCTAAATTTTTTTTTTCTTTCCCTCTAAGCTGTTTTTTACTCATTTATTGATAACCTTTTTAGGCAGCAGGTCAAGAGTGAGTCCCACGTTGGAATGACAGTTTTTTAATCATAAGTAGTTGATTTACAAGCCCTTTATACTTGGTAGAGTATTTCAAGCCACCACCTTGCAGTGGTCAAAAGCTTAGAATGTGCACCTGTCCATCTCTATCTACAGACTCTTTTCTTTTTTTTCTTTTTTTTTTTAATTTTATTTATTTGACAAGAGAGAGACACAGCGAGAGAGGGAACATAAGCAGGGGGAGTGGGAGAGGGAGAGCAGGCTTCCCGCTGAGCAGGGAGCCCGATGCGGGGCTCCATCCCAGGACCCTGGGATCACGACCTGAGCCGAAGGCAGACGCTGAACGACTGAGCCACCCAGGCGCCCCCAGTCTCTTTTCAATTTAGCTTCCTTCTATATTTCTTGATTGCAGGAATTCTTATCCTGCTCACATGCTGCTGTTCCCTTTAGTTCCACTTTTAACTGTGAGAGTAGAAAAGGTAGCTATTTTTAGTCATTGTAGAATTTGTAGTTTATCTTAAGTATGTGGCTGAATAATTTAATATGATGTGAAAATGGTTGTGTGTGTGTGTGTAAGAGATTGTGGAGAATTGATACCATTTCTTCCTTAAATGTTTAGTAGAGTTCCTCAGTGAAACCATATGGATTTGATACTTTCTTTTTTGGAAGGTCATTAATTACTGATTCAATTTCTTTAATAGATACAGGTTAGTTCTAGTTATATGTTTCTCCTTCTAGGAGTTTTGCTAGTTCGTATTTTTCAAGAAATTGTTACATTTCATCTAAGTTATCAAATTTGTGGGCATAGAGCTAGTCCTACTATTCCTTTATCATCCTTTTAAAGTCCATGGGATCAGGAGTAATAATCCTCTTTCTTTGCTGAATGCATTTTTTTTTTCATTGTTCTGAGCATTGTCACATTTTCTTGCTGCTAGAGCCTAGCATTCCAACAGTCTTATGGAAGTTGTGGAGATTTAAGATAACTTAGACATCTAAATGTCAGTAATGCAACAAATAGAACAGCAAAGAAGTACTTAGTATGAAACTTGTTCAGGCCCTGTTTTGTTTCCATAAGTGCTTTGAGCATACTGAACCTGTTGATAATTGATGGGAGCAGGTGACAGCATGGTGTTGTGGGAAAGTATTCAGCTGGGATGCAGGAATGTTGGTCCTGTTTACAACTCAGCTGCTGGTCTTTGCTGCCTTTAAAAATCTGGTCGTATGGGGGCGCCTGGGTGGCTCAGTTGGTTAAGCGACTGCCTTCAGCTCAGGTCATGATCCCGGGGTCCTGGGATCGAGTCCCGCATCGGGCTCCCGGCTCAGCGGGGAGCCTGCTTCTCCCTCTGACCCTCTCCCCTCTCATGCTGTTTCTCTCCTGCTCACTCTCTAATAAATAAATAAATAAATAATCTTAAAAAAAAAAAATCTGGTCGTATGTTGGAGGCCAATGTTGATAGTTACATAGAAATGAGAGTTATACTCGTTTCTGCCTAGGTCTTTACTGCTCTCAGACCTCAGTGAACATCTTTGAGCATTCTGCTGTGTTTGATAAAGCTTGGCCTAAATTCTTATAATCTAACTGAAGAGCTTACTAAGTAAACACACACAAAACAGTTCAAGAACAACTTGGAGTGTGTACTAATGGAGTTCGAGTGGCAGATGTCAAGTGCAGGCCGTCAGAATGAGACTCATGATGCAGGTCTTCTTGGATACGAAAGCCTCAAGCCAGGCTTGACCAAGTGGCCGCACCTATTGATAAGATTGTTAAAAGCATTCTCGGGGCGCCTGGGTGGCTCAGTTGGTTAAGCGACTGCCTTCAGCTCAGGTCATGATCTCAGGGTCCTGGGATCAAGCCCCGCATCGGGCTCCCTGCTCGGCGGGAAGCCTGCTTCTCTCTTTCCCACTCCCTCTGCTTGTGTTCCTTCTCTCGCTGTGTCTCTCTCTGTCAAATAAATAAATAAAATCTTAAAAAAAAAAAAAAAAGCATTCTCTGTGTAGACAACAACATAAACAGTACACTTAATTCTTAGTTAACAGAATTAAGCAAGTTTGAGCTATGTAAGAGCCCTTTGCAATTAGGAACTAGAGAGGCTTTCATCTTACACTGGAAGTTCTAGGGAACTTAAATCTGAGGTCAGGATCAGCATGGACCACGAATCCCAGGACTAGTCTCTCTGTTCACTTGCCAGAAGGATCTCTCCTGCTATACTTTAAATGGGAACAAACTCCACAGCCCAGTGAAATATGACCCTTAAAGTGGGCATAACATACATAAATTGTTTGATAATTATAGAACTGCTTTTGCCGGGCGCCTGGGTGGCTCAGTTGGTTAAGCGACTGCCTTCGGCTCAGGTCATGATCCTGGAGTCCCGGGATCGAGTCCCGCATCGGGCTCTCTGCTCGGCAGGGAGTCTGCTTCTCCCTCTGACCCTCCCCCTCTCATGCTCTCTCTCTCTCATTCTCTCTAATAAATAAATAAAATCTTAAAAAAAAAAAAAAAAGAACTGCTTTTGCCGTGTTTGTGTATCTGACATTTACTTATATAAAATGTCATCTGTGTGTATTAGTAAATGTAATTAGGAATTTAGCTCTAAGTGTACCTTTGACACAGAGCTTCATGAAAATATCTATTCAAAAAGCTTCATTTATAGATGCAATTCATTTTTTATCTTAATTTGTAATGGGATAGGTTCTCAAAGAGAAAGAGTAGTTAGATACAAAGTTGAGTGAATATTTAGGACTTTTTTCCTAAATGATCTGCAGTTGTTGAAATGCCTTTTTGTTTGTTCTCCTATGCAGGTTTACATGTATTATTAAGCAAAAGTGAAGTCGCATATAAATTTCCAGAGCTCCTTCCTCTAGTAAGTAATCCTAACATTTAAAAGTAAATGCCTAGGGGCACCTGGGTGGCTCAGTCGTTAAGCACCTGCCTTGATCAGGTCATGATCCCAGGGTCCTGGGATCGAGCCCCACATCGGGCTCCCTGCTCAGTGGGGAGCCTGCTTCTCCCTCTCCCACTCCCCCTGCTTGTGTTCCCTCTCTCACTGTGTCTCTCTCTGTCAAATAAATAAATAAAATCTTTTTAAAAAAATAAATTAAAAGTAAATGCCTAAAAAAATAATAATAAGTTAAAAGTAAATGCCTAGGGGCACCTGGGTGGCTCAGTCAGTTGAGCGTCTGCCTTTATAGCTCGGGTCATGATCTCTGAGTCCTGGGATCGAGCCCCGCATCGGGCTCCCCACTCAGCTGGAAGCCTGCTTCTCCCACTTCTCTCTGCTTCTGCTCTCTCTCGCTATCTCTGTCACTATCTCTGTCTCTCTCTCAAATAAATAAAATATTTTTTAAAAAAAGTAAATGCATATTTATTATGTTCCATGTACTTGAAATCACTTTGAAACAAACTTTATTAATCAGGGTTCTGCAGAAAAACAGAACCAATAGAAGATTGTGTGCACATGCATGTGCACATGGGTATGTAAAGTATGGAGAGAGAAAAAGAGAAAAAATTGATTTATTGTAAGAAATTGGCTTATGCAGTTATGGGGCCTGGCAAGTCTGCAATATGCCTGCATGGTAGTCCAGCAGGCTGGAGACCCAAGGAAGAGTTGATATTGTAGTCTAAGGTCCAGAGGCATTCTGGAAACAGAATTTCTTCGTCCCTGGTTGGGGGGACCTCAGTGTTTCTTTTAAGGCCTTGAACTAATAGGATGAAGTCCACCTACATTACAGAGAGTAATGTGCTTAACTCAGAGTGTACTGATTTAAATGCTGATCACATCTACAAAATACTTTTCACAGCAACATGTGGACTGGCGTTAATCAAAAACTGGGTACCATGGCCTAGCCAAGTTAACACAAAATTGACCATCACATAAACATACTTTAATTTTAACTACTGTTTGATACAGTTTCCATCCCTATGACCCTTCTTTATAGAGTTGAGATTTTTATGGATTTTTTTTTTTTTTATACAGAGTGAACTTAGCCCACCCATGTTGATAGAACACCCTCTTAGATGCCTTGTTTTATGTGCCCAAGTACATGCAGGCATGTGGAGAAGAAATGGGTTCTCTCTAGTAAACCAGGTAAGTGTTTTTTAGTTTATGAAGACTTTTCATTCCATCTCTTCCTTTGGCTTCTCTGAAGGTTGTAATTTTCAATATACTTAAGTCATTGAAAGTTGAGTTATCTATATTAAAATTGTTCAAGAAGATTAATGTTAAACCAAGAAGTTTCTTAGAACTTTTATTCATACTTTGTCAAGAAACAATATCAAAAGTAGAAATGAACTTAATTTTCTTGATTTTTAACTTGAGATCATTTTTAGAACAGTTTTACAAAACATAATAAAAATCCAGATTTCATCTATTTAAATAAAATTGTGGAAAAGTTGAAAGTTCTCTTAGAAACTGATGGTTGCCGGAGGGTAAGGGGTAGGGGGATGGGTAAAATGGGTGAAGCATAGTGGGAGGTACAAGTTTCCGATTATGGAATGAGTAAGTCACGAAGATGAAAGGCACAGCATAGGGAATATAGTCAGTGTTAAACAGTGTTAAATGTTAAACAGTGTTAAATGGTGACAGATGGGAGTTACACTTGTGGTGAGCAGAACATAACATATAGACTTGTCCAATCACTATGTTGTACATCTGAAACTAATGGAACATTGTGTGTCAACTATACTTCAATCAAAAAAAAGTTCTATTACTGTAGCTCTGAAATTGAGGTTTTATTTTTAGACCTTATCAAGGCTTGGTATAGGTTTTGGTTTTGTTTTGTTTTCATTTTTCATAGCCATAAACCTTACAGCAAAGTAGCTTTGTTGGGGAAACCCAGAAGGTTGGCTGCAAAATGTGTACTATAGCATAAACACTGAAATCTGGAAATTTCTAATTAATTAATCTCTGCTAATATAGTATTAACTGTTGAGAGAACTACATTGTGTGTGTGTGTACACGTGTGTGCACGTGTATTCGTGCATGTGCACCCACGTTCACACTTGCATCAAACCCATGTGCTCTTGGGGATTGGGGAGAGGAGGGAGCTGCACAAATAAAAACCTATTTACCAATATAATTAATTTTTTTTTAGATTTATTACTACCATAATGTGAAATGCAGACGTGAAATGTTTGACAAGGATATAGTAATGCTTCAGGTAATGAATTAAAAGCATTAAACTTACAGGTTGTAGGGAACGTTTTTCTTCTTGTCATTTCCACAGAACCCAGTCACTTACGATTACTCTCAAATCTCTAACTCTAGCCTAGCCCTGTCTGCTGAGCTCCAAACTCATATGGCTAGCAGCCTATAGAACATTTCCGTCTAGATTTCCTGGACACATCTCAGATTTAACATATTCAAACTAATTCCTCTTATTCCCTCCATACCTTCCTCCTGTCTTGGGTTTCCTACCTTGGTGTATTGTTTAACTAACAGTCTATACAGTTGTGTAGTTGGGTCAGAAACCTGAAAGCCATCCTTTTTTCGTTGTCCTCTGGTTAAAGACCCAAACCCCTTAAACTGATTTCCAAGGCTTATGAAACTTAACTATGTTAAAATTCCCTGAATTGCCATGCTCTCTCTTAAGTCTTAAATTCTGCACATTTATTTCTTTTGCTCCCTAGTTTGCCTACCCTACTCCCTTCCTTTTCTGTTCACCTTGTAACTTGTTTTCCTGTATGTCTTAGTGTTTAGTGTCCCTTTCTCCGGAAAGCCTTCCCTGACACACAAAAATGTAGCTAAGTATCCCATTTGGGAAGGCCCAGAGCGTGGTACTCATCCCCACCATAGCATTCATAGCTCTGGATCGTGGTTGCCTATTTACTTTTTGTCCCTCCACTAAACCATGGCAATTATATCTTAGTCCCTTTTTGTCCATTGTGCATAGCACAATGTTTATCACATAGTGGTTTTTCCATATTATTGCTGAATGGATTTAAAAATTATAGAAAAGGTTATGAAATGTATATTTCAAAAATGATTGGCTCAAAATAAAATCCAAGTTGATTTAGAATTTATACAAATGGAATTAGAGGAGAATTAAAACTAATATTTAAAAGCTATTGTTTCAGTTAGTTTGGTTTTTATCACCAAAAATTAATTTGAGAGTTCTTGATAAGAGCTTAATATTAGGTAAATAAAAAGTACTAGAAGCTTAATTGCCATAGCACATTTCTCTCAGAGTCCATACACTACTAGACAGTGATAAGAGAGCCCTGAGATAAAATTTCAGAGCTGAATTCATAGGGTTGCAGTCAATTCAGAGAATTAAAAGGCAAGAGAACGTGTTACTCTTGATACGTAGGGTTAGGGGTTTTTTTTTTGTTTTGTCTATGCTTTGTTTTTTTTACCAGCTTAGATTCTTGTCCACGCTTGTAGCTTCCACAGGTAGGGAATTGACTAAGTGGGTGTTCATCTTTTATAGGGATTGGTGAATAAGTAAGCTATTTTCACTTAATTCAACCCAAAATATCTTTCACTAATTGTTTAGTAGCCCTTTTGACCTCTCTCTTTTCCTTTATCTCAAACATTAAAAAAAAAAAAAAAGACAGGTGTCTCCATGATGGATCCAAATCATTTCCTGATGATAATGCTCAGCCGCTTTGAACTTTATCAGATTTTCAGTACTCCAGACTATGGAAAAAGATTTAGCTCTGAGATTACCCATAAGGTAAGAGCATGTTTAAAAGACCGTAATACATCATTAAAGAAGTATCTTTCTTTTTTGGGGGGATATGTTAATCATCTGAGATAATACAGTGTTTGTATTTGTATCCCTCAACTTTCTCTCCGCTCCACTTGTTACAGGATGTAGTTCAGCAAAACAACACTCTAATAGAAGAAATGCTCTACCTCATTATAATGCTTGTTGGTAGGTATGGATTGTTTGTGACATTTATCAATTACATTGGCTTTCGTGATAACAAATAGTTGTGAATTTCTAAGCTATGTTTCCTTTGTTTAAGCAGTTCTTCAGCTTCAGGGGAAGATTAGAGCATCCGTCTCTTTCTCCCTTCTGGTTACTGTAGCACTGAGAGTGATAGTGCCATGGTGCTTTAGAACAAGAGAATACAAGTTCTGAAGCAGAATAATCTGAAAGGCTCTTTGGGGAGAAAAAAATAGGACAGAAGAGTTTAGCAAGTAAGAATAGGATATTTAGGAGCTATTTACTGTTACTTTATATCTTAGGTATGTTTCTTTCTGTGCTTTTGTGTTGCAGAACTGTCATCTTGGCTTTATATATGATTAAAAAAAATAAGTTAATAGAGACCTGTGGCTAGTAGATGCAGATTTCTTCTCTTATTTCCTGTATTTTCAGTCCTGTCACCTCCATCTTTCCTATTCTTTTATTCTTTACCTTCTCTACCTCCTCTGCTATTTTTGACTCTGTAGTCCACAGAGCAGAGATTCCTGGCTACTGTCAGGAGGTGATACTAACGAAGGTCTCAGAAGGTGAGATTTTATTTGCCACTAGATAGAAGGTGAAAGGAAGCCTCTCCCTCCCTGCTACCATGTGGCAGATAGCATGAAAGCAGTTTCCTAGTCCTCTGGTTACAACTACTGCTCTACCAGTTTTTGACTACATCCAGTCCCTTCCTGCCTTCTGATCCCACTCTTTCAAAATAGTATCCAGAGTTTTCTCTCTCTGCTACCCAAAGCCTGCACTCACCTGTTGTGTCTGAGCCTCAGAAGTGTGGTTAGGAGCTGCTCTCACCCTAGTTTGCTGCCAAACCAATTATTTACTTTCCCACTGCACAGAAAGAAAAATATATTGTGTTGCTTAAGTATTGTGATTATCTTAAATGTGTGTATATGTACTTTTGCATTGACAGGAGAGAGATTTAGTCCTGGAGTTGGACAGGTAAATGCTACAGATGAAATTAAGCGAGAGATTATCCATCAATTAAGCATCAAACCTATGGCTCATAGTGAATTGGTGAAGTCTTTACCTGAAGATGTAAGTACCTACATCTTACAAAAAAAAATTATGGAAATTCTCCCCTTCCTGTCAGGCTAGTATGTTTAGATTTACTTCTGTATACCTTTTTCACGGTGGTAAAGACCACAATTCTAGGACACCTATAATTCCTAGTCACTCTTATTAGACGTAATTAGAGGGGCACGTGGCTGGCTCAGTCAGTAGAGCATGAGACTCTTTGATCTTACGTGGGTTCAAGCCCCACACTGGACATAGAGGTTACTTTAAATTTTTTTTTTTTTTTTAATGCTGGGGGGAAAAAAAAGAATACTAGTGATTGGGAATAGAAAGCAGCATAGAAGTAGAATCTTTCACAGTGAATTCTTAGAAGAGATAAGGATACTGAATAAAAGTAAACCTGGGCAACTGGATGGCTCAATTGGTTAAGCGACTGCCTTCGGCTCAGGTCATGATCCTGGAGTCCCTGGATCGAGTCCCACATCGGGCTCCCTGCTCAGCAGGGAGTCCGCTTCTCCCTCTGACCCTCCCCCCTCTCATGCTCTCTCTCTCTCTCATTCTGTCTCTCAAATAAATAATCTTTAAAAAATAAATAAATAAAAGTAAACCTGATCTTGGGGCACCTGGGTGGCTCAGTCATTATGTGTCTGCCTTCGGCTCAGGTCATGATCCCAGGATTCTGGGATCGAGCCCCGCATCGGGCTCCCTGCTCAGCGGGAAGCCTGCTTCTCCCTCTCCCATTCCCCCTCCTTACGTTCCCTCTCTCACTGTGTCTCTCTCTGTCAAATAAATAAATAAAATCTTTAAAAAAAGAAGTAAACCTGATCTTGAAAACTGAATTTGTGTATTCAGTAGACAAGGCTTATTGAGTCCTTACTACAAAGTTGCCATGGGTGGAGATAGTGCTTTAAAACTTAATATATTGGAGAAGGAAGTGAGAAACATCTGCTCATCTGTGTTGAGGGTACTAAAGCTTTTCAGAGCTTTTTCCTTCTGAAGCATCCAAAAACTCTCCCTTAGGGAGCCATCTCTTTCATTTTAGTGAATGTAAAGTAATGTTCACATTGGCATTCATAGGCTGATTGTTAACCTTTTCTCGTCCCAGGATCTCAAGTTCCCTGGCCACCTGTTTTTCAGCCACAGGGCTTTTCAGATAAATACCAAATACTTGTAGTTAGGAGAGATCCTTATTTCCTTGATGCTTTTCAAAATGTTTCCCCAGATTTGAAACATAGATCAAAACTTTCAACCTTAATGTTCATTCTTCTGGGATTTTTTTTTTTTTTTAATTTTTTTTTTTTTTTTGCAAGAGAGAGAATGAGAGACAGAGAGCATGAGAGGGAGGAGGGTCAGAGGGAGAAGCAGACTCCCTGCCGAGCAGGGAGCCCGATGCAGGACTCGATCCCGGGACTCCGGGATCATGACCTGAGCCGAAGGCAGTCGCTTAACCAACTGAGCCACCCAGGCGCCCATTCTTCTGGGATTTAAACCTGTATTTGTTGCAGAGTAATACTTCCTTTAAACTTTATATTATGAAAAGTTTCAAATATCTATGGAAATAGAAAACATAGTGTAACAGAACCCATCACCAGTTTCAACCAGTCTTGTTTTATCTATACCCCAACCACAAATCTCTGCCCCTCCCCCCCACTGGATTATTTTGTTAAGAATACCAGGTTTACCCACAGATGACACATGATCTCTACCACCCAACCAAAAACCACAAAATGAGTTTGCCACAGGGGAGGAAAAAAGAACCAAAACTTCCAAGGCCCTGCTTTTTTTCTTAGAAGTACCTTAAAAAGGAAATTTTTGTTTCTCTTTTTTATTTACATTTTATATTTTTTTTGTACACATTGGTAGTGGTCAGTCATTTTAATGATCTCGGATGACCAAACCGGCCTTCAGAGCATTCTCTGTCCTACTTCTGACTTTACTTGTGATGTGACCATGTTCATTATCATTTCAAAGGAGGAAAAAAAAATCTTGTTTAAAAAAAAAGTCTTATTCCAAGCATTCTGGTAACTTTTTTTGTGTATGTGCTTAGCTATAATATAAGTAGTTGGTTTATATGAGATGGTTAAGGCCAGAGATGAAAGATTTCTTTTTTTTTTCCTTTTTTATATGAAATTGCTGGGGAGTTTTTTGACCTGTTTGATAGATATGTGAAGCAATGTTGTGCAACAGTAAGCCAGAATTTTATTTTGCTGAGTTGTTGTAACCAAAAAACGAGAATACGAGGCTTACCATTTCATCTATAAATAGAACTGTATATATGTTAAAACAGTGGTTCTCAGCCAGGGACAATTTGGCAGTGTCACTGCTCGGGGCAGGGTTGTGTAGTGCTCCTGGCATCCCGTGAGCAGAGGCCAGAGATACAGCTGACCATCCCACAATGCGTAGGACAGACCCCCCACAACAAAGATTTATCTGATCCAGCAGACAAGTGCCAAGGTTGAAAAACTGGTCTACGAGGACTTTTCGAAAAACCTATCTATCCGTATGCCATAATAAAAGAACAATAATTAATAATTTCTTAATATCACTAAATATCTAGTCAGGCTAAAAATTACTTGTACTTTTTAATACAGGAAATGAATCCTGAGTTGTTAGATGAGGAAGCAATTACAGTTTCACTTAGACTTTAGAATAAAGAAGAGTCTAATTTGGGGGTGGGAGGAGAGGCAGAGGGAAAGAGAGAATCTCAAGCAAGCTCCATGTCCAGCACAGAGCCCAACACGGGGCTCGATCCCAGGACCCTGATATCATACCCTGAGCCGAAATCAAGAGTCAGACACTTAACTGAGCCACCCTGGCGCCCCAAGAAGATTATAATCTGAAACAGCATTTTAAAGTACACCTTGTACAAAGTGATGGCAACTATATTTACCAAACATCTTTGACCAGAGAATTCTTTAATCAGAATACCTGTTAACATCTTTTTATGAATGGGATATGATTTAGGAAATGCTGTTTTACTAAAAATATATAAGGAATCAGTGTAACTTTCATAAAAATAGTATAAATATCCTACATAAATTTTGTTTAAATGTTACGTTGTTATGTGTACTTTGTGTTTTTAACTTAATTCCTTTGAAAGCTGTCACCTTGAATCCATATGGTAGTGACTTATTCTTAATCATATGAGTCTGAATGCATGTTAGCTTACAAAATAAGTTTCCCTGGTTGTATATTAATAATTATGTTTACTGTGGAATCCTCATCTGTAAAAATTGGGATAATAGTATATCTGCTTCATAGGGTTGCCGTGTAAGGCCTAAGGAGAGAAAAGCACAATGTTCAAGGTGCTAGCAGATACTGTTAACATGAAACACACTTACTTGTTTCTCGTACTTTAGGAGAACAAGGAGACTGGCATGGAAAGTGTAATTGAAGCAGTTGCCCATTTCAGGTGAGTTTACTTCCTGTTCAATTTTTTTACATATTAATTTTTCTTAGTGTTTCCTTTGATGGAACTGAGAATGAAATCGTTGCTTTCAGAGAGTGACAGACATTTTCAGATACATAGTTCTGTACTAGATTTCTGTCATTTCACTCTTCTGATACAGCTCTGCACTCAGCAACCTAAATTGGTTTATGAGAATTTTCACTGTGCTCAGAACTGGTGTTCCTGATAGTTTCATATAATTGACATTAACCTGAGCAGGTGACGTAAGTCGATGCATTGAGTTTTCCCAAAACTGCTTTCTTTGTTTCCATCTGAATGTGCCTCCTAAGTTGTGAGATGGCCTCTCAGTACTGCCTTCACTCTCTAGTGGCCAGTGTGTTGCCCAGTAGGTAAACTAGTTGATCCCCCTGAGCCTGTTGAGGCAGTTCCTCAATCCTGCTTTTTCCTTGCTCCCACCCCAACAGTAATGTCTTTGTTTTTGTTGATTATAAAGATACAGTACATGCTTTTAGAGAAAATACAGGAAAATATATATATATATATATAATTCCCTAAACCTTAAAATTGTACCTACTTTTTCCACTTGGTAGAACTTATCAGACATCTTTATATGTCAAAATTTAGAAATTATTACCGCTTTTCATGATGTTCAACTGTGTGGAGGTGTCGTAATGTGTGTAACCTATTCCCTGTTGTTAGACTTTGAATCATCACAATGACCATCACATTCACCTGTCCTGTTAGGATAAATTCAAAGTGGATGCGTCAGATAAGATGATACATGTAGAGCGTTGAATGTAGATTACCAAATTAACCCAGAGAAAATAGTACCAGTTTACGTTCATCAGCAGTAAATGAGAACTCGGCTTTTTTATTCTGTTATCTAAGACTGTCTCATAAATTAGGGTATGACTTTAATAATAATATTTTAAGGACTCTTTTTTCCATAGAAAACCTGGATTAACAGGACGAGGCATGTACGAACTGAAACCAGAGTGTGCCAAAGATTTCAATTTGTATTTCTATCACTTTTCAAGGGCAGAGCAGTCCAAGGTAAATGGGAAAATAAAAAGTATACTGGGGAAGAGCTGTGTTTGTTTGTTGATTTGGTTTGTTTTTCCTAAACAACTTTTACTGCTTTTCAGAGATTGAAAAAGGATACTTTTTATTGTAGGAAATTTGAAAAAATAGAAAAAGGTATAATGAAGAAAGTATAGATTACCTAAAATATCACCACCTAACATTTTTGGGTTCCCCCCCGCCATGTATGCTACATACATACATAAGATCTATATAATTATATACATAAACCTTACATATATAATTGTATTTTATTGGCTTTTGAAGACAAATTGTCAACCTGTATAATCAGTTAAACTATTTTATACTCATTTCAGAGTTGCTACTACTTAACATTATGCTTTTCCATACTAATTTATGGAATTTTCCGCATGATTCTTGGCTAAGTTTTGTCTTATAGCAGTCTACTTTTTTTTTTTTTTAAGATTTATTTATTATTTGAGAGAGAGGTAGACTGCACATACACGTGGGGGGGAGGGGAAAAGGGAGAGGGAGAGAATCTCAAGCAGACTCCCCACTGAGCACAGAGCCTGACATGGGGCTCAATCTCATGATCCTGAGATCATGACCTGAGCTGAAATCAAGAGCCTGACACTTAACCGACTGAGCCACCCAGGTGCTCCAGCAGTCTACCCTTCAAATACTTTTTTGTAAATGGCATTAATTAAACTTAAACATGAAGCTTTGTTTAGATGCATGTCATAGAGCTTAAGCCTAAATAACCTTTTGGTTTGGTTTGTACATGTTTCCCCTGCATTTTAAAATAAGAAAGAACTCCTTGGGGCTTGGTGGGGGTGAGTAGTGGGGAAAAAAAATAACCTTGATGTATCATTTGGAGGCTGGGGGGAGGCACTATAAAACTAAGGGTAAATATCTTCTAAAATCAGAAGATAATATGACAAAGATTAACTTAGTGTTTTGGATATTAGGTTGTTGTATATTACTAATTCCCTGTCCCAAATTTCTTTTTTATTAGGCAGAGGAAGCTCAACGGAAATTGAAAAGACACAACAGGGAAGATACAGGTATTTTTAATCTTTCTAAAAATCTCTTGTCTCTTCTACTTGTTAAATGCTGTTTTCTATTGACTATGATGATTATCCTTGGCGAAGTGGAAGATTTAAATGTATGCTTTCCCAGTGAACATTCAAAAGACTAATAAATATGCAAATATAGAAATAGGCTGTACTGAGTCACCTCTGGGTTAATGGATTTATCTCAGATCCTAGGACATTTCTAGGGAAAAGAAAGACTTTCCTTTGTACTGCTGCTATTAGTGTAGCTGTTTTTATGCATTTGACTTTGAGAAGGTAAAATATAGCTTCAAGATATGTGTTAATGAATATTCTTTGAGTGAAGACTATCAAAAGATAGGGTTGTTGTTTTTTTTTTAAGCATGTTCTACAAGAGAAACCAGTAATAACCTTATTTTCAGCACTTCCACCTCCAGTTTTGCCTCCATTCTGCCCTCTATTTGCAAGTCTGGTAAACATTTTGCAGTCAGATGTGATGTTGTGCATCATGAGGACAGTCCTGCAGTGGGCTGTAGAACATAACGGATATGCCTGGTCTGAGTCCATGCTGCAAAGGGTAGGTTTGAAAACATTTATTATTTATATTTTAGTGCCTTTTTAGTAAAAGCCAAAATATTCTTGTCAATATCTATACATAAACAACTTAGCACAAAATGTAGTGTTAGCTTAATTTGAAATGTAATATTGTTACTGCTTTTGTGACTGACAATGAAAATGATAGCCAGGCAGATGTTTTTTAATACCACTTGGTTGTGATTACCTTGGTTTTGTTGACCAGTCTTCCTCTCATTGATTGTTCATAATATGTCTCTGTTTATGTAGTACTCTGATATTTGTATAATGTGTTATCTCTAACATTTTTTTTATTTAATCCCCTCAAAAAACCTGTGGGTTCATCAGTATCTATATTTTATAATTGAAGAAATTGAAACTCAGAGACTGTAGCTAATTAAGTGGCATGTCTAGAACCTTGTTTGTATTTTAGTTTATAGCTTTGATGTGAGTTATTCTTGAACTGTTTATTTCATTGAATTCACACAACACCCGTTTGGGTAGATACAACTTTTTCCATTATGTAGATGAGGAAGTCAGGTTTCAGTGAGATTCAATTAACTTGCCCATGTTACTCAACTAGTAAGTAACATAATAGTATTTATTCAGTTAATGGAATTAGCCTACTCCCTGCCTTAATCTGTGGTAAGTACTTTTACATACATATAATATTTGCAATTCTCAAAACTCTAAAGGGAAGCTGTTTTTTTCCATTTTAAAGATGAAATTGGGCTCAGACAGATTCCCTGAAGGCATGTTAGCTTGAAAGCTGTGAAGCCAGGATGCAAATGAAAGCAAGCATTCCCTGAAACAAATAATACATTATATGTTAATAAAAAAAAAAAAGAAGGCATTCTTCCAGAGCCTTCTTCCAAAGCTATTTTTCTTTCCATTGTCTTAGCAGGCTCAGGTGTCTCATTGGCTAAGATATGTGTACACTTACACTCCCCTCCCATTTATAAACAGACACTTAAAATGTAAAAGCATGGAGCTGTGGTTTACTAGAGACTATCAGTATTATGTGAGCAAAAGATCTGTGGGAAATGATGGAGAAAAAAAGGAGTGAACAGCATTTACCTTTTGTGTGTACATTTGTTTCGTGTCCTTCAAGCTAACTTAGTTCATCCAAGTCTCTGACAGCCACAGTAGCTCTTTGTGTGGGGAAACATACAACACACAGGTATCTCCTTCCAGAATTTGGGGAGCAGGATAAGGGCAATAAAAATGCAAATAAAAATCATTTTATATTTCCTTAGAAGTAAGGAATTTTTTGTGAGATATAAGGAATAACTGTAAACATCTTCATAAATTATGTGGCATTAGATACATACTGAGATGATTAAGATTTTTAATCCTTAGAGAAATTTAACTAGAGATCATTACATGGTAGATGCTTTCAGCTCTAATTATTTGGCCACCGATTCTTAGAAGATTTTTTTTAAAGACTGTAGTGTAGGGATGTATATGAACTTATCCTAAGAATATGTAGTTGAATTTTCTTTGTAGCTGACATGGAAATTTTTGTTTCCTTACTGAGAATTTTTTATTAGAAAATGAAATTTAGAGTTTGAACTTAATAAAAATTAGTACTTCAGATTGTTTTTTCTTGCACTTTTTAGTGGTTTGCTTTATCTTTTTTCAATGGTGAATTCTTTTTTGTGTTTGCTTATAAAAATATGTACTTGGTTTTTGATTTACTAAAAGTTATAAAACATCTTATCCAAGGTGTTACATTTAATTGGAATGGCACTACAAGAAGAAAAACAGCATTTAGACAGTGTCACGGAAGAGCATGTAGTAACATTTACCTTCACTCAGAAGATATCAAGTATGTATACACTTTTTACTAAATTAATTCAAGATACTCGTGATTTTAAATATGTAATATAACCTCTTATTTGCTCATATAGATTCTAAATAAATTTTAATAAATCCAGATTTCTGAAGTTATATGTATTCATCTGTCTTAAAGGTACTATATGAGATCCTGATGTATTTTCATAAAAATACTTAGGGACTACACATACTTAAAATTCATAAACTGAGAACATTAATGAGGTGCCCTTAGCTTGAAATCAGTATAGCACATACATTTAAATTCTCAGATACGCTCTAAAAACACAAAGTATGCTATCAGAATTTCACTTTTAAATTATTGCTGTTATCTTATAAAAACATATTGAAAATAGGAGAATTAGCTATAGGGGTACCTGGGTGGCTCAGTTGGTTAAGCATCTGCCTTCGGCTCAGGTCATGATCCTGGAGTCCCTGGATCGAGTCCCGCATCGGGCTCCCTCCCTGTTTGGCGGGGAGTCTGCTTCTCCTTCTGACCCTTCCCCCTCTCATGTGCTCTCATTCTCTCTTTCTCAAAATAAATAAATAAATAAAAATCTTTAAAAAAAAAAGAAAATTAGCTATAGAGGATTAAATTATCATTTTTCATATAAAGTAATGTGACTTTTTTTAGACGGCCAGGAGACTTTTCCCAGCTTTTTTTATTAAAAATTTTAAACATACAGGCAAGAGTTGATACAGTAAACATCCATATACCTACCACCTAGATTCAGTAGTTAGTATTTTGCTGTATTTGCTTTAATATTTGCATACTTTTTTAAACCATTTGTTTTAGCCATATTTCATCTATAAAGAAAAGCTTTTTCTGTACTGATTTTCACAACAAGCAGTTGGTCTAATAGTTGCTTTCAGTGGTGACAACTGTGAATCTTTTTTGTTTGCTTAGGATTGTTGTGCTTTGTTTTTAATATTACTCTTGGGTTTTTATTCTGTGTTTTATAGTCACATATGATCAAGTTTCCTTAAAAAAAAAAAGATTCTTTTTGATGCTCAAACTGCCAATTTTGGTCAGTGGGAGTCTGTTCAATTTGCTTCACTGCCCTTTTGACCCAAGCCCATTAGTATTTGAGCACCACCTTGCTTTCTTTTTTTTAAAAGATTTTTATTTATTTATTTGACAGAGAGAGCAGGGACACAAGCAGGGGGAGTGGGAGAGGGAGAAGCAGGCTTCCTGCCGTGCAGGGAGCCCGATGTGGGACTCGATCCCAGGACCCTGGGATCATGACCTCAGCCAAAGGCAGATGCTTAACGACTGAGCCACCCAGGCGCCCACCACCTTGCTTTCTGGCACAAAAGACACCACAGGCTCATCTTACACTTGCCCTGCCCCAGACCTGCAATCAACCATTTGCTGAGATATTTAAATGAGTTGATGGTGGTGTACTAGGAGTTACAGCAGTCGGTATAATGTGTAGTATGATCCATTATAGGTGGTATAATGGATAATATGGTCGTGTTTGCTGCTAGATCTCTATTCTTCCCCTTTTTATCCTCACCCAGGAAAGTGGGAGGAAGAGGGGAACTGCCTTTCCCCACTGAAAACCGTGTTCTTAGGTGCCAGCCTTTCCCTATTCTTTTCTCCGGCAGTAGTTCTTCCTGTGGGTTAGCGTTGTCTCTTTTGCCGCCTTCATCTCCAGCGCTTTTACTTCAGGATAACCAACCCGAAAACTCCCTGATTTCATCCACTCATCACTACACAATCCCAGATTCGTTGTCTCTCTCTCTTTCTTTCAACAATCATCATTTTCTCTAGACATTCTTCATATTTCTCTTTAAACATTTTATATAATTAAAACACACTGTTTAGGGTCAGATCCCTAAACTATAGCCACAGAACTTGAGATCTGAAAGAATATTAACGATCACATAGTTCAGTCTCTTCCCCCTTAGGAATATTTTGCCCAAATGACAGCACTTAAACCAAGAAAATCAATAACTGGACATTTCCGACTATAAAACTAAATTAGCTAACATTAGATTAAGTGTACTCTCGAGACTCTGGACTTGTATGTATTTTCCTCCAAGAAATAACTTACAGAGGAAGAAATGCATTTTTTTTTAATTTTTATAAAGATTTTATTTATTTAAGAGAGACAGAGATAGTGACAGAGAGTGAGAGAGAGCACAAGCGGGGAGGAGAGGGAGAAGCAGGCTCCCTGCCAAGCAGGGAGCCCGACGTGGGGCTCGATCCCAGGACCCTAGGATCATGACTTGAGCTGAAGGCAGACTCTCAACTGACTGAGCCACCCAGGCACCCCAAAATGGAATCTAGGTTTTGTTAAAAGGAAAACAAGTTGATATATTTTTACACATACGTCCCCTGTAAATCCAGTTCGTTTCTTAGACTTTGTAAAATCTCAGGTAGACATTTTAGCTGGGTTTTTATTTAATAGCTAAAGGCTATGTTAAATTAATCATTTGGTGTAAGATGTTCGTTTTGAATGATTAAAGCATTCTAGTTGTTAACAACTTGTTTGTAAAGTACAGATACATCACATTCTCAAGAAGTATTGAAAAACCTCTAATAAGTAGAACTATAATTAAATCATGGGCAGATGATGTTATAAGCAACCTTATCTTCTTGTGCATAGTAATAAGCACTATGAAATGTTAGCTGTTGTTATTGTGCCTTTTATTTTTTTCTGCCTTAGAACCTGGTGAAGCACCAAACAACTCCCCTAGCATACTAGCTATGCTGGAAACACTACAGAACGCTCCCTACCTAGATGTCCACAAAGATATGATTAGGTGGATATTAAAGGTACAATTTCCAGCATCACTCTGCTTTTTGTGAGAAACACTCAATGTTTGTTATCTTTAAATTTTGATAATATTTCATAGCTTCCAAATAACTGATATTTTTTGTAGACTTTTAACACTATTAAGAAGATAAGAGAGAGTTCATCCGCCAGTCCCGTGGCAGAGACTGAAGGAACCATAATGGAAGAGGTACAAGAAGCAAAGTGTGGTCCTACTGAAGGATTGTAGCAAGTTCACTACAAACATTTGAATTTATCTGTAATAAGTCAGTAGTCTATATTATTCACAAAAAATGTGAATTCCAAAAAATGTGCCACTATTTATCTTTATTTGTTGTAGCAGATTTTTTTTGCTCTGCCTGTTCTTTTAAAAAAAAAAAAAAAAACAGATTTAAAAAACCTTTTGTTTAGATAAGTGAGATTATAAAATAGTTTTTAATTAGTATTTACATTAAAGGTAGTTCTGCTTTGGGGGAAGAAATGTGCATTTGGCATCTAATGGTCTAATTAAATGAAGCATACTTTTAGAGTTCAAGAGACAAAGACAAAGCTGAGAGGAAGAGAAAAGCTGAGATTGCCAGACTGCGCAGAGAAAAGATCATGGCCCAGATGTCTGAGATGCAGCGGCACTTTATTGATGAGAACAAAGAACTCTTTCAGCAGACGTTAGAACTGGATGCCTCTACCTCTGCTGTTCTTGATAATAGGTAAAAAAAATAATCAACATTTTTTTAATCTCTTACGCATTGGTTCTCAACTGGAAAGATGTTGCTTTTTTTCCTTATAAGTACACTTTTAATCTTAAAGTGATTTAGAAGGGTTGGTAGGTAAATTTTACAACCTCCAATTAGAGGAATTATTCTTAGAATTTGAGTTTATTAGTATATGTTTATGAGTATATCTCTGACTGTAAATGAGATACCATGTGTACACTCAAAATGAGATAGTATGTGTACGCTCACACAGAACACCCTTGACATTCATAAAAGAATGAGTGCACAAGGGCACCTGGGTAGCTCAGTTCATTGAGCATCCAACTCTTGATTTTGGCTCAGATCATGATCTCAGGGTCGTGAGATCCAGCCTTGTGTCAGGCTCCGTGCTCAGCGGGTAGTCTGCTTGAGATTCTCTCCCACTCACTCACTTGCTCTCTCTTTTTCTTTTTTTTTTTTTTAAAGATTTTATTTATTTGACAGAGAGAGGGAACACAAGCAGGGAGAGTGGGAGAGGGAGAAGCAGGCTTCCCGCCAAGCAGGGAGCCTGGTGTGGGGCTCGATCCCAGGACCCTGGGATCATGACCTGAGCCGAAGGCAGACACTTAACGACTGAGCCACCCAGGCGCCCCTGCTCTCTCTTTTTCAAATAAATAAATCTTAAAAAAGAAAAATAAAGAATGAGTGCACTAGGCTCAGTTACCTGAGTGTCTGGCTTCTGTGTTGCATATTGGATTGCTGTGAGGATTACAGGAGATGGTTTGATATATATGAATGCCAGTTCAAATCATCAAAACCACATGTGTTGAATATGTACATACCTAAAGTCTGCTGTTTTATGATTTAAATGGAAACTTCTTAGGCTCATTAATAAAACTTGTACCCTTTTATTGCAGTCCAGTGGTTTCAGATATGGCACTTACAGCATTGGGCCCAGCACAAACTCAGGTCCCTGAACAGAGACAGTTTGTTACCTGTATATTGTGTCAAGAGGAGCAAGAGGTGAAGGTGGAGAGCAAGGCAATGGTTCTGGCAGCATTTGTTCAAAGATCAACTGTATTATCAAAAAACAGGAGTAAATTCATTCAGGATCCAGGTAAGTCATAGCTAGATCCTCTCCTCCCTCTTAATGACTGCCACTCAGTGTGGCACAGAAGTTTTATTAAGCTAGTAATAACTCCGGAGGGTTATTAGGCAGCTGTCTTAGACAGAATTTTCCAGTTGACAGATGTGGAAACACTCCAGAAAGTTAAGTATCAGTCATGAATTCAATAGCTGGTAAATAACAGGGATTCAAAAGAAAGCTTTTCTTTGTGATACAGCATTAATGTACTTGATGCTTAACAATCTTTCCCATTCTTCAATACACTTGTGAAGTCCTAATAATTAGTTGGCACACTGAAATAATAATAATTTTGTCTCCTGGATAGATCCAAAGTGGGATCTCTTGGGAACAGTTGTGTGAGTTACCTATGTGAGAAGTAGTCCTTGAGCCAGATTCTGATACAAAGTAGTGATAATATCACTGATATGGTTCCCCAGAAAGCAGACTCTTAAAATAGAGATTACCATGCAGGACATTTATTTGGGAGAGCCTTGGAATCAACATCTGTGGAATGGAGAGGAAGGGAGCAGGTGTGGGCAAAGGGAGAAGTTGAGCTTTAATGCAATCCCCCAAAGGCTTCATTGCACCCCATCGGAACTCTGGAGCTAGATGGCCCTTCGGAGGTATCCTGAGTTAGAGCAAGGGGAATTGGGTCTTTACACCCCAACACTGATCCGTGACTGGCTGTGGGCCACCCCTGCAAAGAGGTGTGACTTTGAGCGAAGCAGTTGCCACTTCAAGAAGAATAACGGTGAAGCGTGCCCTCTTCCAGCTGCTAAGGAGGGGGAGTGAATCATTATTCCTCCAGGGGCATCTAAGCTACACATTATTGTTTCCACCACAGACACTTTTATATCTCTACTCTTAGACTTGTTTATGTGTGCATATGCCTCAACAATTCCAGTAAACTTCTTGAGAGTGGGAACTGTGTCTTAATTTCCAAAGCACTTATTTAGCAAGTACCTTTTACATCGTAGAATTGAAAACCCACAGGTAGGATAGCCTTTTCTCCATAAGGAAAGTCTTCACAGTGTGGCTCTCAAGCACCTAGTTGAGAAAGATTGGTCTGCTTCATCTTAAAAAATGATCATTTGAACTCAGCAATTTATAAATTTCATTCCAGGCCAAAGATTAAAGTTATCAATTTTATTTAGTTATTTTGGCCATAAGAAGGTTTTCCAAATGCTCTCACAGCTTATATCTGGAAAGATTTTCTTTATGCTATGACATTTGCACTGTTGTATATAAAGCAAATTGAAACGAGTAATTCTTTATAAAATGTTATGAATTTCTAAGATCATACTAATTTATGTAGAGAATTCAAAAAATTCTAAAAAGCCAGGCACCCATCTTAATTTGTCTTCATGTTTTCATCTCCTTTGAATATAAAAAATTAGCACCAGAACAGAAGAGTGTCCAAATTAATTATTTTTTCCCATCTGGGCTGCTGTCCTGGACATTTTGCTCCCACTTTGGTTCTGGTACAGTGATTGTGACTGTTCTTTGCATGAGTGTCTTTAGGCAGAATCTTCTTTAGGGGGCGCCCCGTTATTGCCAAAACACCTTTTTTATTGCAGATATTATGACCCAGCTGCCCTAAAGTATTAAAGGCAGCCCCATGAAGAATATCCCTCTTAACAAGCTTGGGGCTTTTGGAGGGAATGGGAGTCTCTCAGTGCCCTGAAAGCGTGGAATGTTCAAAAGAGTAGATATACATAATACAGAATTCCAGTTTCAGTTAACAATTCAGGGATGTTTCATTTGCTCAGGATAGTAAAAATTAGAGAGTCTTGCTTTCTAAATAATCCAGGGTCTTGCATAAATTACTGGTATCTTGAAGGAATAAACTAGCCTTTCATTTCAAGTTTACAACTCCTTATCAAGGATTTCACAATTTAAAGTTGTGCATTTATTATAGGAAGATTAAATGCTTGGTTTTTTGTTTTGTTTTGTTTTTTGTTTGTTTGTTTTGTAATGCAGAAAAATATGATCCATTATTCATGCACCCTGATCTGTCTTGCGGAACACACACTGGTAGCTGTGGGCACATTATGCATGCCCATTGTTGGCAAAGGTAATTTATATTCTTAATATTAGTCAAGAGAAGCTTATCCAAAGGTTCAAAATTAACTTTTTAAATAAAGGACATTTCAGTCTAGAAAAAGAGAGAAAGAACTAGAGATGCTGAAGAAAAACCTGCATATCACTTGCTAATAACAATTAAAATTGAGCTGCTTTGTCATACATGTTAATGGAGTAATTTAGAAACTTCATAGTATATCAGATATATCTTTTAATGTGGGGATCTGTATTAGCTAACAAATTGAACGAAGAAAAAGATTTTTACGGTGGCATAAACCCTAGATGAGTGATGTCTTTCCAGGGTGTTCACTCTTGACTCTAAAGGTATTAGCACTTGCCTTGTTACTTCCTGAGATTGTCCTGGCTCCCCGACCTAAGATGGGATAACCTCAAATTTGTTCTACTTTGGTGCTTTCTATTCTCCTGCAAAACCAACAAATCAATGCTATTATCTTAGCACTATGCTCATTCAGTGATCACGCACTTCTGCTAGCAAATAGCCACTGACCTTGGGAAAGTGACAAGACAGCACTGGGACCAAGAAATGTGAAGATTTTATTTCTTGTATTGTGGAAACAAATTAGTTAAAACGTTGAAGCTTGTGGCTCTCATTGAGAAAAATTACCGTTGTTTTTGATACCTCATGTTCTCTAATTGTAAAGGTATTTTGATTCCGTTCAAGCTAAAGAACAGCGAAGGCAACAGAGATTGCGCTTACATACCAGCTACGATGTGGAAAATGGAGAATTCCTTTGTCCCCTCTGTGAGTGCTTGAGTAATACTGTAATTCCTCTACTGCTTCCTCCACGAAATATTTTTAACAGGTAAGTTTGGGCCCATAAAACCTTTGTATTTAAGCAGTAGTTTTCCTTTGAAGATAATGAGATGATAAACCAGAGAGGGGAGAAATCACTCTAGATAATCACATTTATGTTTTCCAGTTACTTTTTTTCATGTAATCATTTCTTCTGGTAGACCTGTGAAATACAATTTTGGTTCTTAGAAAGGAACAGGCCAAAATTTAATAGTTTCTTGGTCATCTGTATACATTATAGAAGGTGTAAAATTCCTGTGTGTTTATGAAAACGATCTCCTTTAGTCCTAGGACTCTACTTTAAATATCTTCCTCATACTTTACAAGGTATGTTCAGTAAATTGATAGGGGATGGAGGAGCTACTTCAGCTGAATTTATTGAATATTCTAACAAATATAATTTTTTACAATTTACTGGCTGGTAATACCTTCAGGAGTTGGGCCAAAAAATGAAAATCTGTTGTTTTTAAAATGGAAGATTTTTGTTATTTTTATGTTATTTCAAATTTCTAGAATGCTTCTAGTTAATAGAACTATTGGACATTCTCATTTCAAATATGAATTTGATACTGTTGCTATTCAAAGCTGGTTTTTATATCTCAGTTTAGAATTACGCTATCTACCTTACATGCACAAATACTAATTTAAGTTTTGTGAATATAAATCATCTATTAATTTCTGTGCTATTTGGATTCAACTCAAAGCAAAGTTCTTTTCAGTTTTAGGAATTCAAACTATGGTGTCTTAGTTTATGCTACCACAAAATCTTCTTAAAACACTAGGAGATTTGAGTGTAAGCTCATGCTTTTTAATCATGGTGACTTACATCTGCATTTGAACTGATAAATTAATCATTGTTAGATTAAGGATTCACTGCGTATAAGAAGAAAAAAAATTACCTTTGTTGTGTTTCATACATCACTTTTGTTTTTGTTTTTCCCATGAAGGTCAATTACATCGTAGTCATGAAGAAACAGGTTTTTTTGGAGTCTGATATAACTGGGTTTGAATGCCAGATCTGTCCTTTTATGTAGTCTTAGTCAAGTTACATAGCTCTAAACCTCAGTCTCCTCATCTGTAAAATGGGGAAAATAATGTAACCTATTACATAAGAGTATTTTGAGGATTAAGTCTAGTACTGTAAAATGCTTTTACTAAGTGTTTGTCACATAATAATAAATATTAGTGGTGGTGCTGTGATTGTCTAAGAAATATTATTTCTTAGAATTTTAATATTATTAAAATTCCAGTACTGTGAAAAAAGTGAAATTTTTGACAAATAATACTAGCATCATAGTAACAAATATCTTTTCATTTCCATTGGCAAATACCTATTATTTTTATAAGGTGCCAGATTTTCCCCTAGCTTTTTTTTTTTAATATTTGAAGTATGTTTAAATTATTATGCCCATGAGCATTTAAAGAGTCTTTTTGTATCTTAAACTAAGCAGCCGCAACAGAATACTAAACAGTCTCTATAATCTTCTCTAGCAGGTTAAATATTTCAGACCAACCAAAACTGACTCAGTGGATTAGAACAATCTCTCAGCAAATAAAAGCATTACAGGTTCTTAGGAAAGAAGAAAGTACTCCTAGTAAGTTCTCATAAGTTCATTTTTCCCCTAAAGTCTGAGATCATTGGAAAATGTAGCTCCAGAAGAAGTTATTTAAGACTATTTTAAAAGTGAAACCTCTCATTTTAAAATTTGACTTACTCTAATTTTCTTTGTCTTAATGAACTAATTTTGACTTTACTACAGTATTCCTTATTCCTTGAAAAACATACAAGCTCATGTGAAGTTTATAATAAATACTTCTCACTTAATTCCCCCATTTTATTGAAGAGCTTCTGGGGGTGGGGGAATGTAACTGAATGTTGCAGAGCCAGCTTTAGTTTGTGGTGGGCTGACTCACTTTATTGTTGGCATTACCATAGACTTCTCAAGTTTCATAAATATGTACTGCACTTAACGACCTCGCAGGAAAGCAGTCTGAGCAGAATTTATATCATTGGTTTTTATTAAAACAAAATAGCATACTCTCCTTACCTTCCCTAGCTGTGTTCTAGTGGCTATACTATTAGGAAAAGCATAGTCGACTGCAAAAGGTGCCTTGGTCAATCAGCAGTAGTATTTCTCATGCTTCGAATGTACCTTAGGACGGTTGTTATTAATGGGAATCTTTCCTGTCATTTTTTAATTTCTTTGACCTACCTATATTTAGAATGAAATTTATGACTGAAATGTACAGAACTACTGTCGACTGATGAATAATAATATAAAATGCTTATTTCTTTAGATACTGCTTCTTCAAAGAATTCAGAAAATATGGATGAATTGCAGCTCCCTGAAGGGTTTAGGCCTGATTTTCATCCTAAGTGAGTATATTATTTGATTTCTTTCAAACTTGTTCTACTTGAAATGAAAAATGAGGTGGTTAGAATATGATTTGTCAAACTAGGGAGCAAAATATTATAAGACATTGATCTTGAAATCTGAGGTTTAAGGATTACATGATGGTATTTATTGCGGGTATATTGATAAAAACCAAAGAACCATGTGACATGCTTTACTGTCACCAACCTCTCCTAGTCTGCATTGCTGACTCCCTGCTCTACCCTTCACCTGGCTCTCCCCAGCAACAACTAATCAGTACATCTAATTCTAAACTGTTCAGCTTCCCCACCAAGTCCTGTGCTTTCCTTCCGACTTTCATATTTCTGGCGATGGCTCTACCAGTGTCTTAGTAACCCAGGATCAAAACCAGAATATTTTCAGCACTGTTTTAAGTAAATTAATTATAACGTGTAGTATAGATTCTAGAGCCAAACTGCAACTGCTTGATTCAATCCCCAGCACCACTACTTACTAGCTGTGCGACTCTTTTCAAATTGCTTGACCTCTCTGTACCTCAGTTTCCTCATGTGTAAAGTGAGAGTACTGATACTTACCTTGTCAGTGTTGTGAAGATAAAGTAACATGACGTATGTAAAGCCACTTGGATGCCATGCCTGGCATATACTAAGTAACTCAAGAAAACCCTCGGTCCTTTGCCTCCCACATCCCCTACCTCCCTCCCCATGGAGGAGTCCTATGATACTGTTTATTTCTTCTGCCTTCCATATTTCTAATTAAAATGCTTAGTTGATTGTCTCTTGATTTATCATTTTTAAACCATTCTCTTTCTGTTGACTGGCAATTTAAAATTCAACCCTTAACCTCTGCGCTATCCACTGCTCCTCACCAGTGTCCAAGTAATTTCAGTTTTTAGTTAAATTGGTTGGCAATTTTTACATTATGATTGTCTCTACTGATAGAAGTTATGTGTTATGATATTATTTCCTTATATTATTTTGTCTTTTTGGTGGTTAATAATCACCTTATATCTTTCATGTACTTGGTTTTCTATGTGTGTATTACTTCCCCCCACAGACACCCATGGTGTAATAGATCTGTCAGATGTCTAGCAGTAGCTTTTCTAAAGTGCTCAGATACATCAGATGATCTGTTCTGGATCCTCCAGCAACCTGTGTCCTCCTGTACTGATCAGGACAAGGCACAGTTGTCACCCCGAGACTTCTCCTGGCCATACCCCTCATATTGCCGTGCATCTCATATCGTGCTCTTTCTTGATTTACTCCCTTGTTTTGCACAGGTGCACCCTTCAGCAGATTCCTAAGGAAGGGTGCCTGGGTGTTAAATTTTCATGTCTGAAAATACATTTGTTCATTTGTTTGGTTGATGGCCTGGGTATAGAATTGTAGGTTAGAAGTAGTTTTTCATCTAGATTTTGAAAGTAGCATCTGTTGAGAAATTAACTCTATTCTGATTCCTATTCCTTTGTAGCTATTACTTCTGGAAACTGTTGGGATCTTCCCTTTAATTCCCAGTGTACTAAAAATTTCTCTATGATGTTCCTTGGTATATGGATCTTTTCCTCATCCATTTTGCTACATTTTCAGTAGACTCTTTGAAGATTCATGTCCTTCAGTTGTGAAAATCGTTTTCTGTTTCTTAGACAATCTTCTTTGAGATAGTCTTACTGTTAGCTCAGTGTTGGCCCTCTTGGACTGATCCTCTAAATTTCTCACAAGTTTGCTGGTTTCTGTACTGTCTCTGTTTTCCCTGTATTCTTTTTTTCTGCCAGTTTGTTTGGGTTTATCTCTTTGATGTTTGATTCTTTCCTTAAATGTTTACCGTTCCTCGGGTGGCTATTCAAGAATAAGTCACTCAGAAGCTCCTTGGATACCTGGTGGGCAAGCTGGAGCTTGCTGACCTGTGAACTTCATGGGGAAATGATCAGGCCCCCACTGGTCTTTTACTTGGGATCCCCAAATGCCAGTGTGTAAAATGGCTTACCCCTGAGGATTCTTCCCTGGAGAAACTAAAATGTATGGCAGTGGGTATACATTGCCAGTATTCTTAAGATGGAGAAAGAGGTCAAGGGTCCTTTGTTATGTAGGCTTCCACCAGATAGCTTGTTTTCAGCCTTGGGCCTCACCCCCGCCCACCAAAATAAAGTATAACTCCTCTCAGGCAGAGACAGTTTGCATGTCTTTAATTCCCGCTTTGCACACTCTATTTTTAAATAGTTTCAGTGGTTCAATTCCAACATAGCAAATGGCTGTTAAGAAACTGAACCATTTGATTAACATGAGCGTATTGTTTTGAGCTAATTCTGTACATGTTCACTTCAGGAACCCTTATTCTGAGAGCATAAAAGAAATGCTAACAACATTTGGAACTGCTACTTATAAGGTGGGACTAAAGGTTCATCCCAATGAGGAGGATCCCCGTGTGCCTATAATGTGTTGGGGTAGTTGTGCATACACCATCCAAAGCGTAGGTAAGAGATTTACAATTGTGTCTCTCTTTAAGTCACAAGCATGTGCTAACATGAATTTTGTGTGGAAGCCTGTATTTTCAAATGAGATGTTTAAAGTGGCAATAATCTGAAGAAATAAAGACTTTGAAGCAGGAAGTATATACTGACAAAATATTAGATTGACAGTTTATAAATTAAGCACAGCAACAGAGAACTCATTTTGGTAGTGCTTATAGCTTCTTGTCAGTTGAGAGGATGTGTTTTCAATTTTACTTTTCATTCAGAGTTAATTCTTGTGAAATGACTTAAAGATTTCAAAACCTGACAATATTGTGCTTTCAGATATACATAATATCCAGTGTATTTATCATCTTAACCATTTTTAATCTGCAGAAAGAATTTTAAGTGATGAAGATAAACCATTATTTGGTCCTTTGCCTTGCAGACTGGTAAGTTGTCCGTTTACTCAGTTCACGGAATGGTGGAATAGAAATCCAGTGGTTTTTTTTTTAATCTTAAAAACCTGAAATGGTTATGTAAGCAGATGTTCATCACTCCTTTCATAGTAAAACCCATTTTCTGTAATAATAGTGAAGAAGTAATGTTTGTTGTTTAATTTTTCATGATTTTCTTTTAAATAGGTTTGAGTTCTTCTCATCCAGAGATCTTGATTAAACACATGAAAAGTGGAAAAAAACTAAAAACAGTTCTTGTTCTTGAATTTTTAATGCTAGAATTAGAAGTATAAAACAGAACATACCCTCTACCACATTTGACTACCTTTTATGAGCAATATGTAAATAAGTACAGATTAATGTCAAAATAGTACATTTACTACTGAGAAGAATGAAGAAAGAATATACAAAGCTTGCTAATTTTTACTGTAGTTAGTGTCAGTGTGATACACTGCCTGCTCTGCAAGTTGAAAATCATAAAAGTGCACTTAAGAGCAAAATCATGTAATTTCATTCATGTAGAATCACATGGGGAGTTTAAAAAATGCCTGGGCTCTCCATGGGTCAGTTAAATTAGTCTCTGGAGCTAGGCCCCGGGCATTAATATTTTGTAAAACACTTCTTAGGTGGGGATGCCTGGGTGGCTCAGTTGGTTAAGCAGCTGCCTTCCGCTCAGGTCATGATCTCAGGATCCTGGGATCGAGTCCGGCATCGGGCTCCCCGCTCAGCAGGGAGCCTGCTTCTCCCTCTGCCTGCTGCTCCTCCTGCTTGTGCTCTCTAATAAAATCTTAAAAAAACAAAAAAACAAAAAAAAACAACTTCTTAGGCGCCAAGATTGACAACACAGATGTAAGAGCCTAACCAAGAAACAACCAGTATAGAAAATACAGTTCAGTATGATCACTCAACAACTAGTTAATTTGTTGACTTTTGTTTTCATTGCAAACACTAGAGTCTCAGGACCCTTTTTTTATGGTTTAAAGAATATAGTTTGTGTATCAGAGGTACTCAACTAGGGGTTGTGCATTAAAATCCTCTTTGGAACTTTTTAAAAATAGAAATAACCTAAACCACTTTGGACTTGGAATATCTGGAAGTAAACCTGGTATTAAAACTGTCCTGAATTGTATCTTTATAGTAAATCAGCAGAATGGTAATTCTTAACTATAAGATATATGATATAATGTTATAATATATCAGAGTTGACTGTGATACTTTTTGCTACAGTAAATAAGAGTTGGTAATTTGTTGATTATTAAAAAGGCAATCTACATATCCATCCAGTTGGTCAGCAGAATTTGTTGAATTCCTCTCCTATATATTTGTCCTGTCCCTTTCATTTGTACTTCTACTTGTTTGGTTCATATCGTTTCTTGCCTAGATTATTATAGCAGTCTCTACCCTGAATCTTTTTCCTTATTAATACAGTATCAGAGGGTTCCTCCAAAAAGTAACAGTGACTATATCTCTTAAACCTTTTTTTTTTAAGTTTATTTATTTGTTTAAGTAATTTCTGTACCCAGTGTGGGGCTCAAACTGAAAACTCCAGGATCAAGAGTTACATACTGTACCGACTGAGCCAGCCAGGCGCCCCTATCTCTTAAACTTCTTAACTTGTTTCTCCATCATCACCTCCTACCAATCCCCACATCCATGGTCCAAGCTGGCAGAATCATTGCCAGTCCCCAAATGCTAATTCCCAGGCCTTCCTCTCTGTTAGAGTGCCCCGAACAGACTCCTCTTTATGATGGTTCTTCAATCTTTGCTTTCCCTGGGAAACCTCTGAGCCATGCCCTATGAGTGGGCTATCCCTTGTCTGTATTACTGTCTCCTTCAGTTGTCTCCTCCCCCTTTTCTTCCCTTCCCTCTCTGCTCACCCCAATCCGCCCCCCGCCAGCCAGGACTGTGAGCTTCTTGAGTGCAGGAGAAGTGGGGTGAGTTTTCATTTTAAGATCTTTAAAACCATATATTAGTAGTCCTCAATATCTGGTGAACCAAACAGTGTTACAGAAGATTTGGAAAATAGAGAATTACGCAAGAAGAAAAAAACTCATCAGTTCACCACCTGTCTTTTTTCATTAACATGTTAAAACTTGATGACAGTTGATATTTAGATGTAGTTTTGTTCCTGCTGTATTCTTCACTTTACATCAAGATTTTTCTCATTGTTGCTTACATAGTCCCCATAATAATTTTGATGGCTGCAGACACCCTGATTCGTTACATCCATCTTCTTGCCCATAGTTTCCCCAGTATTTGGAGGATTTCCCACATTTTAGAGCATCTCTTTAGAATAAATATAAAGAAATACTGCATCACCTTCTTGGGAGTCTTGGTTGTTTACAATTTGTCTTGATGCATGTATCCTTTTCCATAGCGAACCAGCAGCTTGGTTGCAAGGAGATAGCTTTGGTTTATTCTGCATACAATTAGATATTCTTCATTCCATTCATTCCATGTTAGAGACATGTCATTACAGATATGACGGATTCAGTTCCATACCACCTAGAAAGATCCAAGAGAGATATCATATGCATCCAGCTTTGCTTTGACTAGCTGTGCTTTGAACTAGGATTCCTGAAAGGATAGAACTACAGTTGACCCTTGAACAACATGGGTTTGAACTGAACGGGTTCACTTACACATGGGTGTGTGTGTGTGTGTGTGTGTACAGTGCCATAAATGTATTTTCTCTTCCCCATGATTTTCTTACTATTTTCTTTTTTCTAGCTTCTTTTATTGTAAGAATACAGTGTATAATAAATACATATACAAAAATGTGTTAATCAACTGTTTATGTTATCAGTAAGGCTTCTAGTCAGCAATAGACTATTAAGTTTTGGAGGAGTGAAAAGTTATATGCAGATTTTCAACTGTGGGTGGGGAGGGCCTCCACTCCCCCAACCCCCATGTTGTTCAAGGATCAAATGTACCTTTTATACATAAGCTGGCTTCTTTGTTCATTGCATCAGTCTCTTTATTTCAGGATGACTGTCTGAGGTCACTAACGAGATTTGCTGCAGCACATTGGACGGTGGCATCGCTTTCAGTGGTGCAAGGACACTTCCGTAAACTTTTTGCATGTGAGTGTGAACACGTTAGTACCATATATGGTAATTTCTCATCTTCTGTGATTTTGTTCTTAGTGGTGCAACTTCTCTCCATTAGGAAAAATATTTTGGTAATACTGTTGATGTGCAGCTTCTAGCTTAAAAATTAATATGTATCTTACAAAAAATACATTTAAACTAGGGTGTATGCATTTTTAAAGTAATTTAATACTTAGGTTGGCATATGAGATGTGCTAATGCATTTTTCTTTAACTATTTAGCATTAGTACCAGATGACAACCATGGAGACCTTCCATGCATATTAGATATTGACATGTTTCATTTGTTGGTGAGTATCTTGTGATTTGTGTTTGAAATTCTCTTTATCTTACTATATCTATATCTAATAACTATCTTAGAGTTGGTGAGTGTAAAGGCAAACAGGAGGAGTTGTCATCTGTTCTTAATACTTCTGAGTATAATTCTTTTCCCAAGAGCCTCAGAGAAGAAAATGTTAAGGAATATAGTCGAGAGGCTTGACCTCTCTTATTTTGCTTTGTGACTGAGGTCAGTAATTTAGCTTCTTTGCATTTTTTACCCATAAAGAAGTAGAAATAACATTAGTAATAAAAGGGCTGCTGCTGACCCATACAGTGCTTTGGGACAGATAGACCCTGTGGTCACCTTACTTAGCAACAGACAGCCCTTTTCTATGATTTAAGGAAAGGTTTGTCTTCTGAGCAGGTGCATTCTAGTGCCAGGACACAGCACTGGCCAGGCAGTGGGTGGCTAACCTTCAGCCACACATCAGCTGGGTCCCCTTACACGGGACACTGAGTGCACCACCACACATAGCAATCCCACATGCTGTCCCCTTAACCTCTTTGGGCATCGGATTCTGAACCTTTAAGTTGGTTAGTCCCTATCCCATATGATTGTGTCAGAATTCAGTGGAACAAGCAGTGTAAAGAGCTTAGAGCACCATATCCCTAGTAAATGTTAGCCATTGTTACTGATTCTGGGACTCCTATAAAGACCACCACCACTAGTCCCACTGGACAGGCAGCAGGAGGCTCACAAGCAAGCTTGCATTTATTGTGCACCTCACTGCTTTCGCATCCATTCTCAGTTAGCCCTTATATCCTTACTACACTGAGGTATGAAAAACATATATATATATTAGGTCTAGTTTACCAGCAGGAAAACTGAGGCTCAAAGGTGTTAACTTATCTAAAAAGCCCATAAAAGGAACTGGGATTCATACCTAGATTTTTGTGTGTCCAAAATCCATGGGTTTTTTTTTCCACTGCTCACTCCCTAGGAAGATTTCAAGTGTTATCTTTTATTACTAACAATAAGGTGTATTAGGGAGTCACTGGACATATGAAATGATAGTACTTATGCAGACTCCATTAGGCCGTAAGTCATTTCATTTAGCCAATCCCGGTGGAATTTCTAGCATGTGCCCTTTAAGAACAAAGATTTCTGAAGGGGAGGGGCTGAGCTCAGAAGGGGATCGTGTTAAGAAACTGGAAATGTCTTCAGCTGTGGAAGGAAAGGTGACCTGTCTGACCCTTGGCATTTGGTATCTAGGTGGGCTTGGTGCTCGCTTCCCCTGCGTTGCAGTGTCAGGATTTTTCTGGGATCAGCCTTGGCACTGGAGACCTTCACATTTTCCATCTGGTTACTATGGCACATGTCGTACAGATCTTACTTACCTCATGTACAGGTAACTCCTTTTTTTTCAGCTTTTTGAAGGGCGAAGTACTTGAGTTTTCTCTGTTTTAAAAAAAAAAAAGTAAGAGATGGGATGCTGGGTGGCTCAGTCGGTTAAGCGTCTGCCTTCGGCTCAGGTCATGATCCCAGGGTCCTGGGATCCAGCCCTACATCGGGCTTCTTGCTCAGCAGGGAGTCTGTTTCTCCCTCTGCCTACCGCTCCCCCTTGTGCTCTGTCTCTCTCTCTCTAATAAATAAAATCTTTAAAAAAAAAAAGAGGAAGAGGTGCCTAGACAAGAATAATGCATAAATTATAATTAGGCCACTTCTTTTTTCTGTTCATCCTCATGTGGAAAGTTTTGAAACCAATTTCTTCTAGTAAAATCCCCTAGCAATGTGAATGTTTTTACTTATTTTATATTTCATAAGTTCAATAATAGTTGAGTACCATAGAATATAAGTATATTTAGCTGATTTTCTTAAAGCCTGCTGGCTTCTTGTTATGATGGAGATTGGCACTGTGCTCACAGCTGGGGGTTAAAGTTCTTTGTATTTCGTGGGGATATTTTCAGATATGTGCAAATATAGGAATCTATTTGAGCACTTAAATGATGTGGTCATTAATCCAAAAGCAAATATGGGATACTAATATTTCCACATCTTTCAGAAGAGAATGGCATGGATCAAGAAAATCCTGCTGGTGAAGAAGAATTAGCAGTTCTTGCTTTGTATAAAACACTTCAGCAGTACACAGGAAGGTGAGATCATAATCTTTACATCATCACAGTTCCCCAAATATTAGTGGGTGATAGCATGAGAAAGGAATTCTTTTGTTGAAAAAGGGAAATTGCTGCCTGTTGACATGTTTAAAAGAGAAGATGAAGTAGTGATCCACAGGACTCCATTAATTTTAATATACTAACATGATTGGAAATCTGAGAAAGGAGTAATATATGGAGCTTCCCATGTGTATTTGGCCATGGAACCTTTATTTTGCTCAGAGGATTTGTCACGGACTAGTGAAAATACGGAACTTACTTTGAAAAGTACTGTTCTAGTGCTCACTTTGGCAGCACATAGACTAAAATTGAAAAGTACTATTCTAAAATATATGTTGTCTCGGGGCGCCTGAGTGGCTCAGTCGTTAAGCGTCTGCCTTCGGCTCAGGTCATGATCCCGGTGTCCTGGGATCAAGCCCCGCATCGGGCTCCCTGCTCAGAGGGAAGCCTGCTTCTCTCTCTGCCTCTCCCACTCACCCTGCTTGTGTTCCCTCTCTCGCTGTGTCTCTGTCAAAAAAAATAAATAAAATCTTTAAAAAATAAATTAATTAATTAAATATATGTTGTCTCACTAGGAATTTTAAAATGCAAATTAAGTCAGCATAATATATTTTTAAGGTAATATCCAGGACTGGATGGAGTGCAAGGAAGTTATTAGAATTCCACATATTGTTGGAGTCATTTCGATTTGGTACAGCAGTTTCACTTAGTTTTTTAACAGTGTACGTCAAGAACCATAATGTTTATTCTTTGAGTTATCCCATTTCTGAGAATGCACGCTAATAAAGTAATTCAACATATAGAAAAACCTACTGGCATAAAGATGTACACTGTGATATTGTTTATATTAGCAAAGAATTTAAACCAATCACAGTGTTTGCTTATAGGGGAATAATTTGCTGAATTATGATTGATGTATTCCAGAATATTACAGTTCTGATAAAACTTATGTTTTATGATGTTCTGAAAAACAATTTTATATTTCATATGTTAGAACTATAACTATGTAAGACATAGAGGAGTGTGAAATAGAAATAGCTAGAATAGTAGTGCTGATAAAAATTTCTAGAATAGTGGGAGTTTTTTATTTTCTGAATTTTTTCTTTATATAGCTATATTACTTTTATATATTTTAGTAACAGCATTGATGGCTATAGCACCATTTATGCCTGACATCCCATAATGGGGCTGCCCACTCCTTTTAAGCCTCGTGCGACTGATTCCAAATAGCAGTTGTCCCTGTTTTCACGCTGTGCTATAACTACAATGACCTTTCCTCATTAGATTTCCCAGTTATCATTTTTCTCTTTTTAGTTCCTTGAAAGAAACACCATCTGGCTGGCATCTGTGGAGGAATGTCAGAAATGGAATCATGCCTTTCCTGAAGTGTTCTGCTTTGTTTTTTCACTACTTAAATGGAGTTCCCTCCCCACCTGAAATTCAAGGTAATTTCTGATTTCTTTCAAAATGTAGGAAATGTATGTAGTCTTTCACTCCAGCAGTGTATAATTAAAGTGACTTGTAAAAATGAAAGCTTAGGGGGCACCTGGTTGGCTCAGTCGGTTAAGCATCCAACTTTGCATTTCGACTCAGGTCATGATCTCAGTGTCAGGAGATCAAACCCTGTGTCGAGCTTTGTGCTGGGTGTGGAGCCTGCTTAAGATTCTCTCTCCCTCTCTCTCTGCCCCTCCGCCCCCCCCCCAACATGGGCACACCCCCACCAAAAAAAAACTTAGAACATAGCTAATTGACTGTGGTGATGTACACAATTACAGAATAAAAATACATATTTATGTATATATGTCTGATTTTATTTGGCTCTCAGTAAATGTACTGCTTTTATGTACAAAAACATACTAGGTTTACTTTCAGAGTTAGAATGTTCAATTATATGTTATTCATAAACTGGGTTCTTCAGATAATAAAAGGTGAAAACTCACAAGGTCAGTTAACTTGAAATGTGTGGTATTCATGTTCAGAATACCAATAATTGCATATATATGATTTTAATGTAGGAATTCATTTGCTACTTAACAGTTATTTTCTATGTTCTGTTTCAACTCATTTCATAAAAGTGTAGTATCAAGGCAGACTTAAAGTTTACTGTCTCTGTACCTCATAGTGACTGGCACAGGGCAAGGGGTGCCCACAGGTGAGATTGCCCTCTCAAAGTCTTTTGACTGGCACCTTCATTCAGCTAATAGTCTAGACTTCCTAATCATTTGCAGTGATGAGTAAAGGTAGTGCTTAAATCCATCTCTCATGATAAAATCATCTTCTATTTCTGTACTGCTTTATACTTTTCCAGAGTACCCATGTTATTTTTGTCATGTATTTGTTCACACATAACCCCAGTGAAGGAGATTGGGCTGCTACACCATTTTTCAAATGGTAAAACTGAGACACAAAGAAATCGTGACCAGTTTGGTGTGGGAACTGCCTGGTTCTGCTCTCAGTTGTGCCATTTTCTGTGGACCCCTTCCACATGCCCTTTTGTGAACTTCCTACGAGTTACATATCGGGGCGCCTGGGTGGCTCAGTCGTTAAGCATCTGCCTTCGGCTCAGGTCATGATCCCAGGATCCTGGGATAGATCCCCGCGTCGGGCTCCTTGCTCTGCGGGGAGCCTGCTTCTCCCTCTCCCACTCCCACTGCTTGTGTTCCCTCTCTCACTGTCAAATAAATAAATAAAATCTTAAAAAAAAAAAAAAGTTACATATCTAGTAAATCCAGACTTTTTTCATCATGCTTTTAAGTTCTGCTATTGCTTACTGTCCTACAGGATGTACTCTTAGTTGTTACATGCATCACTCTTCTTTTCTCCGTTTGCAGTTTCTGGAACAAGCCATTTTGAACATTTGTGTAACTACCTTTCCCTGCCAAACAACCTCATTTGCCTTTTTCAAGAAAATAATGAGATAACAAAATTACTGATTGAAAGGTAATGATTATACACTTTTTTTCCATTATATTGTATATATTCCATTGTATTGAATAGTTCTGTAGAAGCAAACTTAGGTTTATCACATATTACGTAATTCTCAGATAGTGAGCCTGGCAGAATTCAATCTGTGTAATTCATCCTATAAGGATTAGACCTTCTTAGTTAAGAATTTACCTTTGTGGCAAAGTTTTTGCTAAGCTAGTGAATAGCATAAGCAGATTTGCTTGGAAGGAGCGTAGTGGTAGGAATGTTTATTTCCTCGTATTAACTTACTTGTTAAGGACTCTGTTCCATAAATTTTGGGGACTGAAAAACCTTGAGGGTTTTCTAGTCCAATACCATCACTTTATATTTGAGAAAATTGAAGTCTAGAGAAAGTTATTTGTCAGTCATATCAAGCTAGTTAAGATTAAAACTTGGCTCTTTTGCCCACAGAATGGGGGAAATAATTGCAAATCATGTATCTGATAAGGGATTAATATTCAGAATGTATAAATATATGGCCAGAATTCTTATATCTCAACAAAAAAGCAACCATCCATTTAAAAAGGAACAAAGGACTGGGCACCTGGGTGGCTCAGATGGTTAAGCGTCTGTCTTCGGCTCAGGTCATGATCCCAGGGTCCTGGGATCGAGTCCCACATCGGGCTCCCGGCTCAGCGGGGAGCCTGCTTCTCCCTCTGACCCTCTCCCTTCTCATGCTGTTTCTCTCTCGCTCGCTCTCTAAAAAATAAATAAAATCTAAAAAAAATAAATAAAAAAAAGGAACAAAGGACTTCTCCAAAGAAGATACACAGTGGCCAATAAGCACGTGAAAACATGCTCACATCACTAGTCGTTAAGAAAACACAAATAAGGGCGCCTGGGTGGCTCAGTTGGTTAAGCGACTGCCTTCGGTTCAGGTCATGATCCTGGAGTTCCGGGATCGAGTCCCGCATCGGGCTCCCTGCTCAGCGGGGGGTCTGCTTCTCCCTCTGCCCTCTTCCCTCTCGTGCTCTCTGTCTCTCATTCTCTCTCTCTCAAATAAATAAAATCTTTAAAAAAAAAAAAACAAGAACCACGGTGAGATACTACTTCACACCTATTAGGATGGCTGTAATCAAAAGACAGACAATAATAACATATGTTGGTGAGGATGTCAAGAAATTGAAATCTGTGTGCATTCTGGTAGGAACAGAAAATAGGGTAGTTGGTCTGGAAAATAGTATGGCAGTTCCTCAAAACCTTAAACAGAATTATCATAAGGTCCAGCAATTCAACTTCTAGGTATATATTGCAGAAGAGTTGAAATCAGGGACTCAAATAGATACTTGTACAACCATGTTCATAGCAGCATTAGTCATAATAGCCAAAAGGTGGAGCAACTTAACTGTCCAGCAACAGATGAGTAGATAAACAATATGTAGTATATACATACAGTGAAATACTATTCAGCCTTAAAAAGGAAGGAAGTTCTGACCCCTGCTACAACATGGATGAAGCTTGAAAACATGCTAAGTGAAAGAAGCCAGTCACAAAAGAATAAATATTACATGTTTCCATTTACATGAGGTATCTGGAGTAGTCAAATTCATAGAGACAGAAAATAGAATGATTGTCAGAGGCTGGGGGAAGTGAGGAATGGGTTAGTGTTTAATGAGTACAGAATTTCATTTGGATAAGTTGAAAAAGTTCTGGAGATGGATAGTAGGGAGGGTTGCCCAACAGTGTGAATGTACTTAAAGCCACAGAACTATACACTTAAAAATGGTTAAATGGGGGACTCCTGGGTTGCTCAGGTGGTTAAGTGCCAGCCTTCAGCTCAGGTCATGATCCCAGGGTCCTGGGGTTGAGGTCCGCATCGGGCTCCCTGCTCCGAGGAAGCCTGCTTCTCCCTCTCTCACTCCCCCTGCTTGTGTTCCCTCTCTCTCTGTCTCTCTCTGTCAAATAAAAAAAAAATATTTTAAAAAACAAAAAAGTTTTTTTATAATGAGTATTCTAGCTCTAAATAGTAAGATCTTGTCATTAATTCATACTGGTTTTTCCAGAGTGTCCAAATTAGTGGGGTAATAGTGTATGCTTTTAGGATTATTCTTCTGATTTAAAATTCTGATTTAAAAATTGTAGCAAAATATGTCTTGGTCCTCCTTTTGATGTGGTAAATATATTAAGCCAAGAAGATTTGTTTTTCTCTTACTAGGTAGAGAAATAGAGAGGAAAAAATTCTATTCTAACCCTTCAAAAGTTAAGTTTTGTTGGTTTTTTTTTCCTCCATTTACATTGAAGTTGGTGTCATAACATTGAAGTTAAAAGATATCTAGAAGGTGAAAGAGATGCTATAAGGTAAGTTAAAGATTATCAAAAATTTGGTTGGGCGGAGGGTAGGGAGGAAGTAGGATGTAAGTGTGCCATTCCTTTAAAATTGACTTCCCAGGCATTCAGTGATTCCAAGAGGAAGAACATCTTGCCTTCATACTTTTTTCTTAGTCTAACGATGAGAGTTTCTAAAGAATAAGCATTATGAATATAAGTATATACGTACATTATTCTTGGCAGAGGAGACAAATAACAAAATTATTGTGTTTTGGAAAGTTTGCTTTTTAAAAATGTAGGTTCTTTACCAGATTTTTCTTAGCTCTGTTTTTTTTCCTTCTATTATGGAAAATTTTAAACTATCCAAAAGTATGAAGAATCATATAATAAGGCTCCACGTTCCTGTTACTCAGTTTCAGTGATTATCAGATCATGGCCTTTTTTTTTTTTCTTCTTCTTTTTGACATTAGCTCTATTCTGATTCCATAGGAAAGTATGCTATCCTGGTGATAACAGATGTATTTCATTTGTTAAATCTCTCCTTGGTTCTGCTAAATACATCATCCATAAAACTCAGAAGGCTAGAGGAGATTATCTGTTCTATTTATTTGATTTTATACACATCCTGTCCCAAATCTAGAAATGATAGCACCCTAATTTTATTAAGTTGAACCATATGAAATTCCAGTTAATTTAAGTCAGAAGTGGTTGAATATCACCAGTTCCATATGGTTCAACTCTGCAGTCGGAAAACTCATGTGGAACAGTAGTTCTATACTTGAGGTCTACATCAGAATAATTTTGGAAACTTTTAAAAAATACTCAGGCCTAGGGGTGCCTGACTGGCTCAGTCAGTAGAACATGTGACTCTTAATCTTGATGTTGTGAGTTTGGGCCCCTCATTAGGTATAGAGATTACTTAAAAATAAAAAAATCTTAGGGACGCCTGGGTGGCTCAGTCAGTTAAGCATCTGCCTTCGGCTCAGGTCATGATCCCAGGGTCCTGGGATCAAGCCCCGTATCAGGCTCCTTGCTCAGTGGGAAGCCTGCTTCTCCCTCTGCCTTCTCTGCCTACTTGTGTTCTCTCTCTGTCAAATAAATAAATAAATAAAATCTCTAAAAAAAAAAATCTTAAAAAACAATACCAGGACTTACCTACCAAATCCTGTTTCTCACCTGGATGGCTCAGTCAGTTAAGTGTCTTACTCTTGATTTCAGCTCAGGTCATGATCTCAGGGTTGTGAGATCGAGCCCCCGGGTGGACTCACACACTGGGCGTTGTAGCCTACTTAGGATTCCCTTTCCCACTCCCTCTCTATCTTTAAAAAAAAAAAAAAAAAAAAAGATCTGCTGTCTTAGTCACTCCCCCTTGGCTGTGTGTCCCTGCCTCAGGGAAAGTAGGGACAGGCCACATCACACAGCCCATAGTGGGCATGTGTGAGCACTGAAAACAGATCCTCACATACCAGTTGAATTTGGATCTGCATTTTATATGAATTAACTTGTCACAGAATCAACATGGCCTGGTGTCTCTAATTAAAGAAAATCTGTCTGTTCTTCTACTGCCTTCTCTCCTCCCAACTCATTTCACCCTTAATAAGTGTATCTTTTCTGTCTTATCCTGAGTTGTGTGGTTGGACTCTCCATTACTGTACTGTTTTCCATAGAAGCCCAGGGAGGAATCTCCCCTTCTTCCCAGAGCTACCAGATTTTGACTTAAATGGGACAGATACTAAGTACTGTTTACTGTCTTGATAATGTATTCTGAGCTTTTCAAGTGAAAATGTAAGCCCTAGGGCCCTGTGTTATTTAAGAGTGCCTTTTTAGGGACGCCTGGCTGGCTCAGTGGGAGAACATGGGACTCTTGATCTTGGGGTTGTGAGTTTAAGCCCCATGTTGGGCGTAGAGCTTACCTAAAAAATTTTAAAATAATAAAGATAATGCATCTTAAAAAAAAAAAAAGTGCCTTTTTAATCTCTTACTGTGGCTTCTTTTACCACTGTGATAATACCCAGTCACTCAGATTCAGTCTTCCTTTATTTGTTTTAACTAAGAGTTACCTGTCATTTTTATAATATGACTTCTAACTAACTGGTTTTCTATGTGGTTTTTTGTTTGTTGGTTTGTTTTGTTTTGTTTTAGCTATCCAAGAGAATCCAACAAATTAATAGACCTTCCAGAGGATTACAGCAGCCTCATTAATCAAGCATCTAATTTCTCGTAAGTTCTGATATTCAAGTGTTGAGCATTTCTTACCCCTGGAAGCATTCACTGCTCTATACAGAATTGAAGGGACGTTGTTTTTGTTCCATTTTGTTTGGGTGGGGCAGTTAGAACTTCGATAGTGTTTTTCACTGCCCATCTTGTAACAGCACCATTCCAGCATGCTTCAGAATAAGGTATGGGAAACAGGCTGACGGGTGACAAATTTGACTCATTACAGGTTATCTAAATAACCATTTGCAGTTTAAAGTAATAAGAGCCCTTAGTAGTATTTGTAAATGTTTGACATAGAAACTGCGTAAGAATAATCGGTAGTGTAAAACCTGGAACCTTACCGAGGCAGTTGAGCTGCCCTGTGTACCTCTTCTCTGATGCGCCCTCCTCCTCCCCCTGCAGAGACCCTCTGCTCTACACAAACTATCAAACTTCCTCTGCATTTACACGTTAGCAACAAATGTTTTATTCCCAAGCAGCATATTTTGCCTGTTTTAAGCTTTAAAATGGCACTCTACTGCACATATTCTACAGTTTCTTGCACTCAGCACTGTTTGTCAGGGTTTTTTTTATACATTCACCATACGTAACTGTTAATTCATCAGTCTTCACCTTGTGTAGTATTTCACCACGTGAGAGCAGAATTTACTTTTTTTCTCCTATTGATTTTAATTTACCTCTTCTCCAGTTGTTGATTGAATATTTCCAGTATGGTGTTTGTGTGAGATGTTCCCAATTCTAGAAGTAAATTTGTCTGGGCCATAGGATGTAAGCATCTTCAACTCTACGTGATGTTGCAGAATTTTTTCCAGGGTGGCTCACCACCGTCAGCTCTTTTTAGAGCAATGACTTGACCTTTTTTTGTCCCGTGGAGGTGCCCCAAATCAGGTGGTGATAAGAGCAGAGCCCCCACTCTGTGCCTTGTGTGTGGAACTCTGCTGTGCTCGCAGAGCTACTGCTGTCAGACTGAACTGGAAGGGGAAGACGTGGGAGCCTGCACAGCTCACACCTACTCCTGTGGTTCTGGGGTGGGCATCTTCCTCAGGTAAGGCCCTGAACAGAGCTTTTTACTTTGCATCTGCCATGGTATATGCATGTTGAGGGATAGCACGAGAAACTACTATGTTGCAAAGAAATTTGAGACTGCTGTTCTCCTTTTATTCATTCAAGGAGCAGGGGACCCTTGTCTCCTCACATCTCACGTCTGGCTCATGCTGTCTCTTTTCTGCTTCTTCCATTGTCATCCTTCCCACCTCCGTGACAGTTCAGTTCTACTTTCTTTGTGCCTCATTCTAATGTGAAACTTCCAGTTGTCCTTGATTTTCTGCCCAGATCCAGTCAAAATTACTTCTTTTGTTGTATCCTTATGGTTTGGGATCCGTACATATCACTGGCTGATATGTATGCCGTTGACCCTTGAATAACACGGTTTGGAACCATATGCAAGTCCACTCATACGTAGATTTTTTTCAATAAATACAGTACTGCAAATGTATTTTCTCTTCCTTTTGAGTTTCTTAATAACACTTTTCTCTAGCTTGCTTTATTATAAGAATACAGTACATAATACATAAAACATGCGAAATGTGTGGTAATCAATTGTCTGTTATCGGTAAAACTTCCAGTCAACAGTGAGCTATTAGTAGTTAAATTTGGGGGAAGTCAGAAGTTATATGCAGATATTCAACAGCACAGGGGTGGTGGGGGAGATGGGCCAGCACCTCTAATTGCTGTGTTCTAGGGTCAACTATGGTTGTATATATATTGGACAGCATACCACAAATACTTAATAGTGACTGCTTTGAGAATACAGTAGTCAACAAAGTAGACAAAAATCTCTACCTTTGTGGAGCTCATTTTCTAGTGTGGGAGATTAAAAAACAAACAAGGCTGATAAGAATTTAGAAAGTGATACACCCAAAGGAGAAAAAATAAAGCAGGGAGAGGAGTATGAGATGGCAGATGGGGAGTTGGATTTTAGTTAGGGAACCAAGAAGGTGACTTTTGAATAAACACTGAAAGAAGTGGGGAGAACACTCTGGGCAGGGAACAGCAATTGTAAAATGTTCGAGAAACAGCAGTGAGGCTCATGTCACTGGAGTGGCGTGCACGAGGGGTTGTCCTGGGGCCTGCTATGTCCTGGTCACATCTCTGAGTGAGATAGAACTCAGTTCAGGGTTTGAAGGAGAGAAGTGATAGGAGTTTGAGCTCCCCTGAGGCATAAATTAGGTCTATATCTTAGGTACCTTAGTCCCCTGCACCTGACAATTTTCTTGTATATGACATGTTCTCAAGAAATGTTGAAATGAACCAAATTATTAATACCCAAAAAAGGTCAGGCAAACCTCTCAAAGGGATCAGGAGACACATTTTTAAATAGCCCTTAGGAGAAATAAAGCAGTTTCTCTTGTCTCACATATTTCAAAATCCTTTCAGTCATATACAGTGTTGCTTTGTGTTTCAAATCAACCTAATTCAGGATGTTTTTGTACATTTTTTTAAAATGAACAATTTCCTCATAATGGATAAAATATCAGTAACTATTTTATGTTTAGAAGTTAACTATTGGGGTGCCTGGATAGCTCAGATGGTTAAGTCTCTGCCTTCGGTTCAGGTCATGATCTCCAGTTCTGGGATCAAACCCCCCGTCGGTCTCCCAGCTCAGCGGGGAATCTGCTTTTCTCTCTCCCTCTGCCTCTCCCCCAGCTTCTCTGTCTCTGTCTCTCTCAAATGAATAAATCTTAAAAAAGTTAACTATCTCACACTTCATAATTTTTTAAATGCTAGTATTACATGAGCCATTGATTCCTAATCCAGAATGTTCCTCTTCCTCGCTATATTGATTTACAATGCAATCATTATTGGTTACAATTCAATCATTTTAGTTATTTTTAAAACTTGGGCAGATGTATTGATACTTGAAGTGTCTCTGCTATAAATGCTGTTTCTTCTAACACTGGTGTTTATTTTTTTATAAGACTTCAGACCATTAGGAACTGAACCCAAACATCAGTTACTAATCTATAATGTATAAATGGTCTCTCTACAGAGTGCGGGAATGTCAGGTGCTATTTTTAGCTGGCAAAACCAAAGGCTGTTTTTATTCTCCTCCTTACCTTGATGACTATGGGGAGACTGACCAAGGACTCAGGTAAGGGCCCATCCTGGGGGTGCTGGGTTGGCTGACCCTGGGCCTTCAGAGCTTTCAATACACAGTGAATATGATCAGCCTGAGTGAGGCCTACCTGCTAACAGCCTGGAGGCTGTAGAGCTTCTGTTGTGGCAGAGATGGACTCTTCCAAGAAGGGCACCCTGACTGCCTCGTTGGGCATTCTCTTTCCCAGCCCTCAGAATGTCATGAGTGGGGGCGCCTGGGTTGCTTAGTTGGTTAAGCATCTGACCTCTGCTCAGGTCATGATCTCAGGGTCCTGGGATCGAGCCCCGCTCAGCGGGGAGTCTGCTTGTCCTTCTGCCCCTCCGCCTGTTTGTAGTCTCTGTCTCTCTCTCCTCTCTCAAATAAATAAAATATTTTTTTAAAATGTCATGATGGGGGCGCCTGGGTGGCTCAGTTGTTAAGCATCTGCCTTCGGTTCAGGTCATGATCCCAGGGTCCTGGGATCGAGCCCCGCATTGGGCCCCCTGCTCAGCGGGAAGCCTGCTTCTCCAACTCTCCCACTCCCCCTGCTTGTGTTCCCTCTCTTGCTGTCTTCGCTGTCCGTCAAATAAATAAAATTTTAAAAAAAAAAATCTTTAAAAAAAAAGTCATGAGGGCCATCAGGACAGATAAGGGAAAGGAATTGGAGAGAGTGCAATTTTTTTTCCATTTATCACTCCAGAGAACCATTGAAATTGCCACGTGGCATCCACAGCATCAGAACACGGCAGGGATAGCCTGTTGTGATTTGTGTTGCTTTGTATGAGGAGACCCAGTGCTGTTCAGATGATGTAAAAGAGCAAATCTTAATTGATAAGAGATGTGCTTGGGGCGCCTGGCTGGCTCAGTCACTGGAGTATGCAGCTCTTGATCTACAGGATCGTGAGTTCAAGCCCCACATTGGGCATGGAGCCTACTTTAAAAAAAAGAGAGAGATGTGCTTACTTATTAAGAGTCTGGGAACAGAGATTTAGAACGTATAGAGCAATACAACAGTATTTGAGGCTTAATCACTTCTACTCTGCTTGCTTCTGTTATATCATGAGAAAATGCTAACAGCAGTTCCCTCAAGCACTGTTACTTCTTTTAGACCATCTCTTTGCCCAGAGGAGGTGAAAGTTTTAACCTAGATAGAAGCCTTGGGGAACAGAAAAAGAAGACCTGGAAACCAAGGCAGGATAAGTAGGGGGCTGCCCCAGGAGCTGGGCTGCAAGGTTACCCGCATATACCACCTGGTAATGGTTCTCCCATTGCCCTGAGGAGTTGTGGGCTCTTAGGAGGAAGAGCCCTGGTTAGAGACTAAGAGGATTGATGTGCTCTGAATCAAGAGCAAAGTCCACCAGCGTGAACTTACCAAAACCCCCTTTTTTTTCTTTTTTTATTAAATTAGACCCGGAAGTTGTTCACATTTGGCTGCTTTGCTTCTACTTTGTGGCTGAAAGACAGCACTCTGGGGAACATTTTTACCCCTGCAATTTTCCTTGCATCCTCTCCTCTGCCTCCTCCCTTCTTTCTTATATTTTACCAACGAAGTGAACAATGAATGGGTAGTTTTAACCTCTCCACCCAGGCCCTCCTCCTCAACCTTACCCTCTCTTCCCTCACCGCAGTCTGAGTAAGTGTAGCTCGTATACATTTTCCTCTTCTTTTCAGCACTTACTCCCTTCAGCTGCTCCTAGCCAGCCTTCAGAGCTAATGTGTTAATAGCTACGGTCTCGTGCCGAACAGGAATTTTGCAGAGGATCTTAAACCAGTCACTTGTAATTGTTCCTAAATCAGGAAAGGTTGGGGCATAATAGATGAATAAACAGAATGCATCCTGAGTGACATGCGTCTTCCTTCTAGACGGGGAAATCCTTTACATTTGTGCAAAGAGCGATTTAAGAAGATTCAGAAGCTTTGGCACCAGCACAGTATCACGGAGGAAATTGGACATGCACAGGAAGCAAATCAGACACTGGTTGGCATTGACTGGCAACATTTATAATTACTTCACTACCAAAAACATAAACTTGGATTTTTGTAACCCAGTTGGCTTTTCAAGAAAGAATAGGAAATAAATTCTCTATTTAAGCTTTTCTTCCCAGTTTTGTTTTCATAGTTTCTGGGGGACTCGTGAAAATCATCTCCCATCAGTGGATTTTCTTGCACCATTTGCTGTGCCCCTCAAACGTAACTGCTTGAGTTTTAGGATCCAGTGAGGAGCTTCTCTTCCCAGGCTGAGCACAGCCCCTTTGTGGGCATCTGACTATGTTTGACCGTTCCCAGTAGTCTGAGCCATGTTACGTACGTTACTGATCACAAGGAACTCCAGGCCTGAAGCCGATTCGACAGCAGCAGGAAACAGTGTCTGTGGTCTGCTGGAGTCACACTTCCTGGTCCCTTTCAATGACTCTCAACACTGGGACTGGGTTGCTGTCCCCTCTGCTGGCAGGACCCTACCTCTAAGAGCAAAGCAGTGGATTGTGAAAGCGGCTATCCCTAGTCTCCATTGGCTATGAGCGGGTTGGGGCACATGTGCAGGAGGAGCCTGCGGGATGAGGGGGAGAGCCTGGTTGCTTCATATGCTGGTGGTTTTCAGGGCTATAGAAGTTGGATTTTTATTTTTTTATTTTTTATTTTTTTTGCAAGACTTTTGGCTTTGAGGGAAAAACTCATTTTAAAGGGCTTTTTGAAAACTTTGAGTATCCTAGTTTTTCAAACAGTATATTCCCGTTTCTAAGACTAAACTGAGGAATGGTATGCATCTAATATCAAACACTAGCAGAAAAAATGAGAACTCGGTGTTTTGAGGTTCTCCTACCCCTTCCAGCATTTCCTGGACTAGATGAATGGCTGTTTACCTGCTGGCTCACTTAGTACATTCCTGGGACAGCCTGTGTGCCCAGGCTTTTTATTATTTTTAAACATTATTGTTCTTACTAAGAGGTGCCTTCCTAGAATGATAGCCGCTTAGTAAAATAGCTTTTAACTGTTACATACCACACAGTGATTGCAGATTTAGTGGAGGAATAAATTCTGAGCCTCTCTAAGGTGGGGCTAAGGGACAAATGAATAATAAGCTCTTGGATTTTTTTTAGCCAATGCGAGTAACCCTTTCACTCTGTTTTTTTGAACTGCATCTAAAAGTTCTCTTCCACTCAGCTTTGCATACACTGCAATAAACCCAGGAGGAAGGTCGGAAATCCAGACTTTAGGCTAAAATAAGTGGAAATGCAAAAGCCACATTCACTGCTGCTTCTCAAAGGTAGTGTGTGACAGGACCCCCCTCCTCTGAAAGGATGACCTTAGCCCTTCTTGCTCAGGACTGGCTCACCAGCTGAGAGGAGGACCAACAGGAAGAAAATTCAAATTAGAACCCAGCACTCTACCCCTTTTTCTGGCCTTTCTTCTATTCATAAGACCTGGGGCTGTTAATGGCATTATGATTTTAATGTTTATTTTGACCTTTGTCACATCCCCATTTCTTTAGCTTTTAAGCCAGCTTCTTTTGGCTTTTCTCCATATGTTCACCAAGCTTAAATTTAAAATAGGACCAGGTTTCTCCCTCTGTAAATGGATTATAAACATTTCCCCAAATCATAGCAATACTCTGGCTTTCAGGAATGACTTCATAGAAATCCATTGTTAGCAGAGGGTGTCCCTGGATTTCATTCTCTGAAAATGTCGGGGAATCTGAGAGAAGATGAACTTCTATGAAATAGCAACACACGTACCCCCTTTATCTTCTAGTGTGTGCATCATTAAGCTAATTGTCTTCCCTACCTAATGAATCATCTTAGTTTTTATGATTTGTTCCGCATGTATTTTTATTGTAGAAATGTTTATATAACATGCTTTCCATATCAGGGAAAATCATATCTGTTTAATAAATTGGCTATAACTTTAATATCTGTGGACAACTTGTATAATTTGGAATGTATCATATGTAAAAAGTTTAAAGATATCCAAATAAATGCTTTAGGTGTTGACATTACTTTGGGTCTGCCTACATTTTCTTTCCATTTTGTTTCACACATTTAAGTGCCATGGAAATGTTCCCCGTGTCACCTTGCTACAAGTAAAGTGGGACATCTGTATTAGCTTGAAAATTAAGATGCTTATATTATTAGTGTCAATTATGGCCATTAGCCAAACCATCTTGACCTTCCCAGAAATAGCTGGGTCATCATTTCAGCTGATTAATCTTCATATTCATTGGCTATGACAGCTCGTGACCTTCTGAACCATTTTGGACCTCAAATCACTGGGGTAACAGAGCACTCAAAGTCCCTCCCAGCAACAAGACCTGTCTCCAGGTTTATACTCTTGCTCTTTCTTCCCTGGTAATCTCCAGGTCCTTGTTCTTACACACTCCTCAGATACTCTGTGCTTATGAGAGACACATGTAGGAAGGAAACTATATCCTTTATTTACGGGAGAGTTATTGCCTATAAGAGCTCTGCTGTGCTTTTCAAAATCATCTTAAAATAGAAGGTATAAACTAAGAAAGCAAGGTTTCCATGTGCTTTCCCTATCTCCCGGCCTTTCATGCTACTCCCGGCTTACTCCCTTCCCTGGTCCTAATGTTAGCATTACACCTCTGACTCATTAAGCCCTCTGACACTTTCCTTGCTCTGTCCTTACTCTTGTTTTTTTAAGTCAAGTTTACTAAGGTTTATTTTACACATAGTAAAATTCACCCTAATTTTTACTGGACAGTTAACGCATTTTAACAAATGCATACAGTTGTTTAACAAACACTGCAATCAAATAGAACAGTCCTATCTCCCCACGAAGCTCCCTCAGTTCCCTTTGTGGTCCCCTTCTTCCCCCACCCTCACCCTGGGCAACCACTAATCTGTCCCTTTGTTTTGCCTCTTCCAGAATGTTGTATAAATATATATCACATGTAGCCTTTTGAGACTGGCTTCTCTCACTAAGAAGACTAATGCATTGGAGAATCATCCGTGTTCCTTTTGGTTGCTGAGCCGCGTTCCGTTGTGCAGATGTTTATGCAGTTACCAGGTGTGAAGGACATTTGGGTGGTTTTTGGTGATATGAAAAAAGTGCAAACATTAATGCACAGGTTTTTGTGTGGACCTACGTTTCCATTCCCCTTGGGTAAATAGCTGGGAGTTGCTCCTTTAATCTTAACCTACTGTATACCATCTTTGCACAACATTCTCTGACTTTGCTGTTTATACTCATCCATCGTTTGGGAGGACAAAGCATACCATCAGGAGTTAAGGACTGATGTTTCCTCCCTTCAAGCCAGCCTCTTGTCCACTGAGGACCTGGAAGGCATCCCCTCTCTCCCTGACTTATATACTGTCCCCACCCCCCACCGCCACATTCCTGTTCCTAACATACAGTGCTGCTGGCTGCACTGTCCTCAGGAGCCATGTTCTTATCCAGTAGTAGGTCAGAGGCCCTAATTGTCTTGGCCCCCCCGCCTCACCCCCAGCTCCTGGCTAAGCTGCAAACCTGCTGGCCTAGCATTAAAGATACCGGACAAGGAGGGGCAGGGGAGCCTGCAGAGCAAGCACTTAATCTTATTAACCTGTATTGAGGTTACTTGGGGTTTATTTGCTGGTGGCTCAGTCCTGGGCTTGAAAGTGTTGCAAAAAAAAAAAAAAAGAGGCTATGGGATCTTAAACTAAAGCCACAGATTCTAGGATACTTGTCTTCCTAAATGTTCAAAAATAAGCAGCTAGTACTTACCTTGTACCTGTTTTAAAAGGGTAAGAGGCCTAAGGTGCTGCCTTTACCTCTCCTACCCCAGGGCTGGGCCTGCCAGGCTTGAAAACCTGGCTGAGTCCCTTGGGAGAAGTGAATTTACACTGGTCCCAGGAAAGACTAAGTTTAGACACAAGGAAGTCCTGGTACAGAGTCTTGCCAGCAGCTACCTGAGAAGACCTGATAAATGCAACTCGCCCTAAGTCTGCTCTGAACCAACTGGGGATATTCACTGTAGGGTCAGTTCACCCTTGGTCCTCCCAGCAGCTCTCAGATTTACGTCTGCCCTATAACCTGGCCCCATAGAGACTCATATTTTCTTGTTTGGGAAGATAAGTTTTGACCAGAGCAGGAAAAAAGATGGTTTGGAATTTTTGCTTAAATCACTAAACTAAGATTCCACATATTAAAATATTAAATGAATTCAGCTCTGGTCTAAACTAGCAAATGTTAAGATTATTATCATCACTGTTCTTACAGACAGGAGATGGTAAGAGGGAGAGAAGTAACACCCATCTTGTTGAAACATAGCTACCCTGACTGATAGCCATGCTTCGTTTTAGGGTCAAGTGCAATTTGGTTTTGTTAACAAATACTAGCTAGAGTTGGGGATGCTGTGATAACGTACTGTCAAGTCGGCTAAGATAGGCATTTAACACAAGTGATTTTCACACAATGTAATTTTTAATGTCTATCGTACAGCTGTTAACAGCACAGTTACACATGGGCCTAGAGCAGCACTTTCACGATGCTTCTCAGTACTCCTCAGGGGAGAGAGTTCCAGGACCCTCATCAGAGGTGGCTGACTCCCTCAGCATTTTCACTGTGGACCATTCTTTGGTCTCAAGGAGACTCAGAAGTCTAATTAAATTAAACCTGGGACCAAAGTCTGACAGTGTCCCAATATCTTTGATCTGATTTTACGCCCGGGAGAATTAGAGCCCCAGAATATGCCCCAGGCAGCACCAGAAGTCTTTATTTTCTCCCCACTGAACACTTGTAGAACAGTAATGAAACCATTCTCTCCTTCCCCTAAAGGCTTCCTTTTTTTCTCTTTTGGGAGAGAAGTTAAAATTTCTCTTGCCATCACTAGCTCGGGAAGATGCACTGTCTCAAGGAATCTTCTTTAATACAGAGGCATTCCAGAAATATTGCTTTGCAGGATGGGTGTCTGGGGAAAGAAACAGGAAGAAGTTCCCAGAGGACGCTTTGCCTTCCACTGTAGACCATTGGTGTTGTCCATGGAGGCTGTCATGGCCACCTGTGTGGGTGTTCCTGGGCCCTCCAAGAGGTGAGGTCTGGTCTCCAAAGGTTGGCCTCTTAGCTGATTGTTGCTCCTCTTCCAGTAAAGGGCAGCCACCTAACCTAGTGCTTCCACAGACAGGCCAAAGGGGGTCAGCTGGCACTTGGGTGGGATGTTGCCGGAACGTGCCAACAACCTGACTTCCTCAGCCCGTGGCTCACTCCAGGCTAAGTGAGGGCATGGGAATGTGATACGAAAGTAGCCTTTAACTACATTTTTGGTGAGGAAAATAATCCCCTGTCTTTAAGTTATTTTGCCCCATGATTGAAGAATTCCTCTTGTGAAGCCCTCAGTGCTTTGGAGAGGGCATTACTCTTAGAAAAGTACAATGTCCCCCTCCTTCCACAATTATACAAGTAAGATGGCTGACCTGTTGATATTGGCATTTAAAAAAAAAATGACAGCATGGCCAGTACATTTTTAGACTCCTATGCTTATGCACCAAGTGACGCTTTAGATATAGAATAAAGCAGCTTGGAACTTGTAATGGCAGACTCTTAAAAGGGGACCTGCCCTCAGGTGTGGCCAGTAGCTTTGGGATGGAACCTAATTCATGTGTTACGAAGAGTGATTCACTGAGAGGCCCCCTGAGTCCCCCATGAGGGTATATCCAAAAGTAGTGGGCCTTAGCAGGGGCTCATTCACTGTGTAGGGGCTCATTCGTTTTTAAGTCTGTCATTTAACAAATGTTTGCCAGATGCTTTTAGGGTTCCTAAACTTTAAATCCCACCATCAAGAAGAGTCTCTCTAAGATGGCCGCCCTCCTTGGGAGATTCAGATTGGATGAGGGGGGTATCCGCTTTCTTGGAGTCCACTACTTCTCAGTGTTCAGGAGGGGAGGGGGCCCCAGGGCCATCAGCCAGCCTCTGGGGCCTGGCCTGCGTCTGCACCCTCGGCTTCCACCTGGTTACTCTTGCCCAACTTCTTCAGGCTCTCCAAAAAGGCCTTCCAAGTCTCCAACACGCTCTTTTCCAGAAGCCAGCCCTCACTCTCACACTCAGGGTCTTCAGGGTTAGACACACCTTCCAGTGCTGTGTGTAGGTAGCGCAGGCCAATTGTGATGGTCACCTGGCGGGGAGAAGAGACTTAGAGGAGGTCTGGGAGAAGGAGCTGGGGGCTGGAGCTATTAGGAAACCGTGCAAGCCACCAGCCTCCTCATCCCCGGGGCCTTTAAGTGTGGCAGGATCTGTTGAGTCTGGCTTGGTGAGAACCTTCCCCCCCAGCCTGGCCTGGTACTCAAGATAGCTGCCTCATCTCCAGCCCCATTCTCCTCTCTGGCCACCTGGGCTTCTTAGGGTCCCATCCACGCTTTCTCTCCTCTGGTCTTTACCATTTGCTGGTTGCCTAGAACATTGTTCCTCTGCACATTCACTTGTTAATTCAGCTTCAGCCCTTGGTGAGGGCCCCTGCTACTCATTCTCCCTCTTCCTCTCAGGTCTCACCCCTTTTGGGGGCATTAGTCCTAGGCGGCTCCTCCTCATGCCCCTAGCCCCTTCCTAGCACAGTGTTTGGCACATATTGGGTGTTGGGCAACTATTTGCTAGACAAAATTAAAGTCACCCCCTTCTCAGCAAACAGTATCATTGTATGTGGTTTCCTCTACTTCTGTTGTTTTGATTAGTGTGGGGATGAGTGGGTGATTTGTTTAAACGGATTTGTTCACTAGCAGTCATTGCAGCAAGCTATGGTGCCAAAATGCCTGGGTTCAAACCCCAGCCCTGGCACTTAGCAAGCCATGTGACTAAGAAACCTCAGTTTACTCATATGGTTTACAAATTTTCAGATGGAGTGTCTCCTGCCTCATGTGCATGCTGTGACATGTCAGTAGGTATAGAGCACGGTACGTGGTGCAGAGAAAGGATGAATAGATGTGTCAGCCATAATTGGTTATTAATGTGGTAAGTACTGTTCTCACTGTTCTAATGTATTGTGTTACCCAATTGTTTCTACACAGATTCCTGGTTTACTCTCTCTTACACTTCTCCTTTTATGGTGTAGCAAACTCTGTGAGGTGGTGAGGCCTGCTAATAGAGAATGTCCACCCCCCTGATCCATCTTTTTTCATTCAGTCTCCCAGCCCCTAGAACAGCACCCCGTGGTGGTAGGGCCTCATTAAACATCTACTGAATCAGTGCTTGAGCAGCATTTTATAATTGCAGTAGTAGATGACATTAGTAACTAATAGTTTTAGGTTTTTGTTATTGTCATTGTCTATTGAAAGTTTAATAAAATATTTTTATGGTGGAAAAACTCCCCTCCAGGAAGTCCTCCTGGTGTGCATGCTCCTCTGATCCCCTCCTGCTTTCCTGAAGGAGGCTTACTGCTGCATTATGAATTTTGCACTTGGTAAGGTTCTCCCTTTGGTTCATGAGTTAGATGTCACCTCCTAACTGGATTGTGAGGCCCAGGAGAGCAAGGCTCAGGCCAGAGTCCTAGCATTAGTTCAGCCACCCTTGTGCCCATTACAGGCTCTGCTAACCGAAGGCCTCAACTAAAAGTCAAGGGCATTTACTCCCTGTTCCCCGTGAGCTGGTCCTCATCTCATGCAGTCACTAGCTTCCTAGAAACGTGAGCAAGCTGAGAGGCAACAAGTGGAATCCCATTTTCCCACTGACTTCTGTTATCCTTTCAGTCTTCTTTTCATGGGTTTTTGGGGAACATGACCTTCTGCCCTTCTAGCAGTAAGCTTCTCACCTGTCTCTACCCACTCATTCCCAAGACTGTGCCTCAAGGAGTCAATGACCAATAAAACGTCATTCATTTGCCTCGACATTAAAAGAGGCCCTCCCTTCCCTCCCAGCCCACCCCCGCCCCAGATTGTATAGTACCTCTACTGTGAGATGGTGAGTTAGAAGTAGTCATCTCAGCCAAGGGCACGTCTGAACTTCCATAGCACTAAGAGAGCAACTTACTTAAAGGAAACTTTCAGTGAATCTTCTCTAATGGACGAACTTTCCCCACCTAAGGTTTCTGGCTTTGTACTTCTGAATTTTGGGGTCTGGATTTTCTGCTGTCAGCTCAAAGCAGGAGCCCCTGAGTCACCCTCTGTATCCCCTTGGTTTACCACTCACTAACACTTGCTCTCGTTCAGCACCCAGGACAGCTCCTAGTACTGGTTAGGTGTTTAAGAACTAACTCTTCAATAAATGAACGAATGGCTACATCCCAAGCTCTGTACAGAGAGGAATTTAGCCTTACAGGTGAGATCAGATGAACCCACTAATAATTAGAATAACAGGTAAATTGCTACCAGAGTCTCCAGAGAAGCACAAATCCAAATAGTTCCCATTTCCTGAACACGATGTACGTATTATCTCCTTTTGCCCCCCAGGAGTCCCAAAGCTAAGTGCTGTCGGCCCCCTATAACAGAGAGATTAAATAACTTTCCAAGACCTCAGACTGAAAAAAATGAAGGCACAGGATGAACCTCTAAAACATGCAAAGTGAAGGAAGCCAAACAGAAAAAGTCACATATTATGGCATTTATATAAAATGTCCAGAATAGGCAAATCCACAAGGACAGAGCACAGATTAATGGTTGCCAGGGGCTGGGGGGAAAGAGGTGGGAAGTATGCTGCTTAATGGGTATGAGCTTCTCTTTGGGAGTGATGGAAATCTTTTAGAACTAGATAGAGGTGGTGGTTACACAACATTGTGAATGTACTAACTGCCACTGAATTGCTCACTTTAAAATGGTTAATTTGGGGCGCCTGGGTGGCTCAGTCGGTTAAGCGTCTGCCTTTGGCTCAGGTCATGGTCCCAGGGTCCTGGGATCGAGCCCCGCATCGGGCTCCCTGCTCGACGGGAAGCCTGCTTCTCCCTCTCCCACTCCCCCTGCTTGTGTTCCCTCTCTCGCTGTGTCTCTCTCTGTCAGATAAATAAATAAAATCTTTAAAAAATAAAAAAAATAAAATGGTTAATTTTAAGTTCTATGAATTTCACCTCAATAAACTATTTTTTGAGTGATAGGAAAGAAACAAAAAATAGTGGAGGTGCTCATATTCAAACTTAGGCCTGCCTAACACACAGCTAAGCTGAGGGCTGGTTCCGAGTAGAGAGACAAGCACTCCAGGCCAGGTCCCACCCATCAAATCCAAAAGGAGCAGGTGACTCCCACTTCCCTCGCCCCCACCTGGCCCAAAGCCTACCTCAAACAGCCAGACAAGGAGCGTGACAGCACCCATGGAGTTCATGAGGCTGCTGTAGTAGCTGAGCAGGGCGGCCCTGCAGCCGTTCACCCACAGGTTGAGCTCCTCTGTCTGGTGGTCATAGCTGTAGTGAGCCGAATTGTTGGTGAGCTGATACTGAATGCAGGGCCGTGGTGAGCTGGGGTTGCAGCAGCTAAAGGGAACACCATCCACCAGGTATCGCCCATCCACATTGCTCTTGATGCGACTGGAGGAGAAAGATGGCTTGAGAGGGACTTCTTGGATTTCTCACCAGGGCCCAGTTCCCCCCATCCCCCGCCTCTGAAAAGCTATAATATTCATTCATCCATTTGTTCATTCATTCATTCGTTCATTCTCGAGAAATATTTGTTGTGTGCCTACTATGTGCCAGCCACTGTTCTAGGAGCTGAAGATGGAGAAATGACCCTAGAGCACCAATGTCCCTGCCTTCCTAGAGCTTAGGTCCTAGAGGGTTGAGACAGATGATGAACCAAGAAGAAAGTCAATAAGAAATGTAGAAATGCATCCAACCACCCTGTGTACTGCCAGGCCCTGGCCTGCAGTGATTGTTTGGAGCCATGTCAGGCAGGTAGGAAGACGAGCAGGACAGGTGGTGACTGGGACAAGAGTGCCAGGCATTTGTGGCCAGCAGCCTTTGGCCCCCAGCCCCCTCTCCAACTTTCTGTCTCCCAATAACAAGTCACTAGGGACCAAGGCCCCTCTGGCCAGATCAGTTCTGTTCACGGATGTTTCCAGAAGTCCTGCCCTGACCCAGGGCCTGTGTGGGGGCAGAGAACTCTGCCACTAGCCAGGTGGGATCTCCTCACTCACCTGAAGGGTGCAGCCCACATTACTTTTGCACTTCCATATTTACTATGTATTTGGTTAGGACACACCATACATTCATGTGGGTTGAGAATTCAAAAGGGAGAGACATCTTTACAGTGAAGGCTCTCCCCATCCTCATCAGGCATCCGGGTATGTCCTGTCTGACCTGAGTGCGGTTACCCAGGTGTCTATGTGCCAGAGTTCATCAAGCTTTCACCCTTAAGATTTATGCATCTGAGTATATGCATGTTATCTTGAGTAAAAAGTTTTGTTTTGTTTTTTTTTAAAGATTTTATTTATTTATTTGAGAGAGAGAATTAGAGCACATGAGAGGGGGGAGGGTCAGAGGGAGAAGCAGACTCCCCGCCGAGCAGGGAGCCCGATGCGGGACTCGATCCCGGGACTCCAGGGTCATGACCTGAGCTGAAGGCAGTCGCCCAACCAACTGAGCCACCCAGGCGCCCGAGTAAAAAGTTTTTTTTAAGTTGAACATGAACAATGCATTACATAATAGATGCTTTTACAACATAAGAATAGAAAGCATGTAATTATTTAAAACAGAAATTATAATTCCACTTCTGGGTATTCAAAGAAAATGAGAACATTAACTTGAGGGGCACCTGGCTGGCTCAGTCGGAGGAGCATGTGACTCTTGATCTCAGGGTTGTGAGTTCAAGCCCCACATTGAGTGTAGAGATTACTTAAAAATAAAGTCTTGAAAGAAGAAAACATTAAGTCAAAAAGATATATGTATCCCTGTGTTCATTACAGCATTATTTATAAAAGCCAAGACCTGGGAACAACATAAGTGTCCATCAATGGGTGAATGGATAGAGAAACTTTGATACATACATACAATGGCATATTCTTCAGCTATTAAAAAAAAAAAGAAACCTTGCCATTTGCAACAACATGGATGGACCTTGAGGACATTATGCCAAGTGAAATAATAAAGACAAATACCATTTGATCTCACATATATGTGGAATCTAAAAACAAAACAAGTCAAAAAACCAAGTTTATAGATACAGAGAAAATTTGTGGTTGCCAGAGACAGGTGAAGTGGGTGGGTAAAATGGGTGAAGGTGACCAAAGTACCAGCTTCCAGTTATAAATAAATAAGTCCTGGGGATGTAGTATACAGCATGGCAATTATAGTTAATAATGCTGTATTGCCTATTTGAAAGCTGCCAAGAGAGTAAATCTCAAAGTTTCTTATCACAAGAAAAAAATTCTGTAACTATGTATGGTGATGGATGCTAACTAGATGTATTGTGGTGATCACTTTCCATTTTATGCAAACAGCAAATCATATATTGTTATCCTGAAACTAATACAATGTTGATGTCAACTATACCTCAATAATTAATTAATTAATTAATTAATTAATTAATTAATTAATTAAATTGTTTTCAAGGGGCACCTGGGTGGCTCAATCAGTCAAGCGTTTGCCTTCAGCTCAGGTCATGATCTCAGGGTCCTGGGATTGAGTCCTGCATGGGCTCCTGCTCAGCGGGGAGTCTGCTTCTCCCTCTCCCTTTCCCCCTCCCCCCACTTGTGCTCTCTCTTTCTCTCTCACACTCTCTCTCAAATAAATAAAATCTTTCAGAAAAAAAATTTTAAAGAAATTGTTTCAACAATGTTCATTGAAATGATAATTTCAATGGTTAGCTTCTAAATGTCCATGTTTAGTCTCCCACTCATTCTTGTCCCTTGACCTCCAGGTCCCCCCAACTGTAGCCAACTGTCTGTCCTTCTAAAAAGGCTGCATACATGATAAGCAAACACAGATTCTGCAAATATTCTTATTCTTCCTGTTTTTTACCCAAATGATAATGTACTGTCTTGAACCTTTATTTTTTTCCCTTAGCAATATCTTAGAGATCTTTTTATGTCTACCAGTGGAGAGTGTTCTTCAGGTTTTTAATGAGCTTCATGGTATCACCATTGTACAGATGGTCCATGGGGTACTAGTCAGTTCCCTACTGCTGGATATTTAGGGTTTTCCTGGTCTCCTGTCAATACAAACATTTTGGATATTGTGAATATATCTAGGAATTGTGTCAATTCCTAGAGGAGGTATCCCTGCATCAAAGGGTGGGTCCATCTGTGATTGCCCTAGATCCCTACCATATTTCTCCCCGGAGTTTGTACGATCACACCCCTAACAGACATGCATGAGACAACCTACCCTTCATGCCGTACCCACACAGGTTTGATTTTTGACCTTTGCCAACATGATGGATGGAAAATAGTATCTCAAGGTTGTTTTAATTTCCATTTTTCTCATTATGAATGAAATTGAGTATCTTCTGATATGTTGAAGTGTCATTTGTGGTTCCTTTTCTGTGAACTGTCTGTTGATCAGTTTGATTAAGACTTTAGGAAGGTTCTGCACAATGTGGCCTCCTTGGTTCCAGAACAGTCCTCACCTGGGTTATGGTGACCATATTTCCACATGCTCTGCAGTCCCTGACCTCTACTTCCTGGGCAGGACCCTTGCCCAGAGAATGGGTGGCCCTGGGTACACAGGGGATCCAGGACAGTGATAAGAGCAGAACCACCTAAACTTACTCCCAGTTCATTCCGCTGGACAGGTTCCTTCACCTCTCCAGGCCTCAGCTTCCTCATCTGTAAAATGGAGTTGACATGAGGATCATATGAAGGGATGCATGTAAAAAGTCTTAGAAGAGTGGCCGGTACACAGTAAGTGCACAATAAGCGTGGATTCATGGCCACGCCTGGGCGGGGTGATAGAGCCTTCACATGTGCTCTGTGTGCTCTCGGAAACAACTGTGACAGTGGAACAGACCACTCAACACCGCTGGGCAATAGTCACTTGTGAGCAGGCGGCAGGGTTTCTGCCAACTGTGAAGAAGAGAGTATGAGAGTCTTCTGTGAGGACAGCAGCCATGTCTGCGAGAGCAGAGCTCACCGCTGGCCTGAGGCAAGCCCTGCTAGACACTTTTCACTGACTGAAGTGGTTGCTACTGAAGTTCTTGCTTGAGCTCAACTGAGTGCGCCAAGAGCACAGTGGGAGCAGAAACCACTCTGCTCTCCCCCTGCAGCCCCCGCTCAGCACCTGGTGGTGGCACTGGGTGGTCCAAGGTGGGAGGACTGAAGCAGAAAGGCCATCAGTTTGGGATTCCTGTCCCCCTCTTGAACCTGCACGACTGAGCAGACAGTAGTCTCCCACCCCCAGTCTCCTTGAGGCTGAGCTCAAATGCTGTTTGTCCCTCTTCCTGACCTGCAGGCTGTCCCTTGAGCCTGCTCCCACCAGCACAACATCCCACCTGGACCATTCCCAGTGTCCCCATGAGAAGAGGGGGGATTGTAGAGGGAACCAGCCTTTGAGTCCCAAATCTGCATTTCTGATCTGTGGAATTTTATCTTCTGGACCTGTGTGAGGTGGGGATTACCCTCTTGGGAGCTGTGGGGAGCTCTAAATGAGGCAGGGTGTGGAGTGCACTTGACACAGGCCCTCAGAGAATGCCCACCTATGGCCACCTGGGAAGGACCTTGCAATCTAGCAGATTGTTCTACAGAGGAAGAAGTGGTGCCCAAGCAGGGCAGGGCCTCACCCAAAGCCAAACAACAAGTGGAAGACTAGCCCACAGCAGTTGCCCACTCCTCCCGTCAGAGATGCTTCAGAGTCTCTCAGGTCCTTCCTGTCCTTTGGCTCTTCTGCTTAAGTTTCCTGGGATAGCATGATCTCCTCCTTTGTTCCCTGTCCCAGAAGCCCTTTCTTGTCCACGATTCTCTCTCATTATGCACTCTCCAGGTGTACTAAGCTGGGGTAAAGCCTATGGACCTGCCTCATACATACTACAGTGTATCTGAAGTGAAGGCCAGGCCTGCAGTTTTGTGAGCTGAGGCCAGTAGAGGCTCTGAGCTACCCTCACTCTGCAGGCTGGCCTTCTGGAGAGCCCCTGTCTTCCCACGTCACCTAGCTCACTCCCCCAAGTGGAGAAGTCACCTTGCTAGCCTCATTAAGGCAAAGCTATGTCTTCCCTCAGACTGGGATTCCCTAGGTTAGGACTGTCTCTCCCCCTCAGCTGGGGCTCCCTGAGGGCAGGCTGTGTCTCCCCCTCAGACTGGGGTCCCTGGGGGAAGGGCTGTGTCCCCCTCAGACTGGGGCTCCCTGAGGACAGGGCTGTGTCTCCCCCTCAGCCTGGGGCTCCCTGAGGCAGGACTGTGTCTCACCCTCAGACTGGGATTCCCCGAGAGCAGGGCTGTGTCTCCCCCCTCAGACTGGGGCTCCCTGAGGGCAGGACTGTGTCTCGCCCTCAGACTGGGGCTCCCTGAGGGCAGGGCTGTGTCTCCCCCCTCAGACTGGGGCTCCCTGAGGGCAGGACTGTGTCTCGCTCTCAGACTGGGGCTCCCTGAGGGCAGGGCTGTGTCTCCCCCCTCAGACTGGGGCTCCCTGAGGGCAGGACTGTGTCTCGCCCTCAGACTGGGGCTCCCTGAAGGCAGGGCTGTGTCTCCCCCCTCAGACTGGGGCTCCCTGAGGGCAGGACTGTGTCTCGCCCTCAGACTGGGGCTCCCTGAGGGCAGGACTGTGTCTCGCCCTCAGACTGGGGCTCCCTGAGGGCAGGGCTGTGTCTCCCCCCTCAGACTGGGGCTCCCTGAGGGCAGGACTGTGTCTCGCCCTCAGACTGGGGCTCCCTGAGGGCAGGACTGTGTCTTGCCCTCAGACTGGGGCTCCCTGAGGCAGGGCGGTGCCTCCCCTCAGACTGGGGTCCCTGAGGGCAGGGCTGTGTCTCCCCCCTCAGACTGGGGCTCCCTGAGGGCAGGACTGTGTCTCCCCCTCAGACTGGGGCTCCCTGAGGGCAGGGCTGTGTCTCCCCCTCAGACTGGGGTCCCTGAGGCAGGGCTGTGTCTCCCCCTCAGACTGGGGCTCCCTGAGGGCAGGGCTGTGTCTCCCCCTCAGACTGGGGCTCCCTGAGGGTAGGGCTGTCTCTCCCCCTCAGACTGGGGCTCCCTGAGGGCAGGGCTGTGTCTCCCCCTCAGACTGGGGCTCCCTGAGGGCAGGGCTGGGGCTCCCCTCAGACTGGGGTCCCTGAGGGCAGGGCTGTGTCTCCCCCTCAGACTGGGGCTCCCTGAGGGCAGGACTGTGTCTCCCCCTCAGACTGGGGCTCCCTGAGGGCAGGGCTGTGTCTCCCCCTCAGACTGGGGCTCCCTGAGGACAGGGCTGTGTCTCCCCTCAGACTGGGGCTCCCTGAGGGCGGGGCTGTGTCTCCCCCTCAGACTGGGGCTCCCTGAGGGCGGGGCTGTGTCTCCCCTCAGACTTGGGCTCCATGAGGGCAGAGCTGTGTCTCCCCCTCAGACTGGGGCTCCCTGAGGGCAGGACTATGTCTCCCCCTCAGACTGGGGCTCCCTGAGGGCAGGGCTGTGTCTCCCCCTCACACTGGGGCTCCCTGAGGGCAGGGCTGTGTCTCCCCCTCAGACTGGGGTCCCTGAGGCAGGGCTGTGTCTCCTCCTCAGACTGGGGTCCCTGAAGCAGGACTGTGTCTCCCCTCAGACTGGGGCTCCCTGAGGGCAGGGCTGTGTCTCCCCTCAGACTGGGGTCCCTGAGGGCAGGGTTGTGTCTGCCCTCAGACTGGGGCTCCCTGAGGGCAGAGCTGTGTCTACCCCTCAGACTGGGGCTCCCTGAGGGCAGGGCTGTGTCTCCCCCTCAGACTGGGGCTCTCTGAGGACAGGACTGTGTCTCCCCTCAGACTGGGGCTCCCTGAGGGCAGGGCTCTGTCTCCCCCTCAGACTGGGGCTCCCTGAGGGCAGGGCTGTGTCTCCCCCTCAGACTGGGGCTCCCTGAGGGCAGGGCTGTGTCTCCCCCTCAGACTGGGGTCCCTGAGGCAGGGCTGTGTCTCCCCCTCAGACTGGGCTCCCTGAGGGCAGGGCTGTGTCTCCCCTCAGACTGGGGCTCCCTGAGGGCGGGGCTGTGTCTCCCCCTCAGACTGGGGCTCCCTGAGGGCAGGGCTGTGTCTCCCCTCAGACTTGGGCTCCCTGAGGGCAGAGCTGTGTCTCCCCCTCACACTGGGGCTCCCTGAGGACAGGGCCATGTCTCCCCTCACACTGGGGAGACAGTGACTTGGGAAAATCATCATGTCAGAGTTTTCCTGGAAAAACCAACATAATTTAGGAAGTAAATCAATAAAGCAACAAAGAAATCCATAGGGAAATAAACAGTGGAGGGGAGTGGGGAAGGCAGGGGTATAACTGATAATGAGTCAATCCCCAACTGGGGATTGTGTCTCCCCTGTCTTCCCTCACTCACCACCTGCAGTACTTTATATCCAGTAACTACTCAAAAAAAAAAAGAAAATCTTCAAGGAAATACTAATACTGTACTGCTGTATACCAACTGCTCTATGTGCATTAATCCACTTACTCTCTACCGCACCCCTGTCATGTCATTTCTCAGATGAGAAAACTGAGTCTGACAGAAGTCAAGTGAATTGCCAAGGTTCCACAAGTGTCACTCAGCTAGCATTCCAGTTGGGGATTGACTCATTATCAGTTATACCCCCTGCCTTCCCCACTCCCCTCCACTGTTTATTTCCATATGGATTTCTTTGTTGATTTATTGATTTACCTCCTGAATTATGTTGGTTTTTCCAGGAAAACTCTGACATGATCATTTTCCCAAGTCATACATGACTTGGCTATGGGAGAGTATGCTAGAAAACAGGTCTTATCGTAATCAAGACCCTTACAAGCCCTGGTGAGCCCTGAGCAGAGCAAGATTTGTAGCCTGCGAAATACTCTGATATAAATAGCCAGCTCACCATCTAAGGAGCTCTCCTCGCCTGGCTTTGTCTTAAGAGGGTGAGTGGGGCCTTAATCTGTGGTTGTAACCAGGACAAGCACTAAGTAAACAAGGTGATGCTTCTAGAGGAGAGGGAGGGCTAATTCCAGAGATGGGAGACCCCAACAGATCCCAGGCTGGGGGCCCAGGGGAGTCCCAGCCTCCATCAAGCCAGACCTGCCCCCCCACCCCCCGCCATGCTGCCCTGGGCCTTGTCCTCAGGAAGCGCCAGTCTGAGGGGGAGAAACCACACAGCCCTCAAGAAGCCCCAGTCTGAGCAGGGAGATACAGACCTGCCCCCAGGGAGTCCCAGTCTGAGAGGGAGACACAGCACAGCCCTCAAGGAACCCCAGTCTGATGGGAGACTCAGTCCTGCCCTCAGGGAGCTCCTAGGCATGGTCTAGTCTTCTTGAGATGTCTGTAAATTGTTCAGAAAGAGTGAACAGAAGCCTGTAGCCTGTGGATTCCCTGAGTGGGATGGGCAAGTGAGAGAGCTTGGTGCCCACTTCTCCTTCAGACTGAGGGCTTCAGGCGAAGCCCTCCTGTCTGACAGTTCCTCGTGCCAAGGCCTCTCACCCCAAGACACTAAAGCTCTGCTCATCCTGAAAGCAGGGCAAAGTTTTAAAGGAATTGTTATAAACTGGCTGAAAACTTCATCCCTCCTCATGTGATGCGTTAAGATACACAGAGCACCCTAGGAAGTGTTCTTGCTAAAACCAAACCTGAATCCAAGCACACCTCAGCCCTAACTACTGGCTTATGGGCAAATGCAGGGGACAGAAGAACAAGTTAGATGACACCACTTGGCTGCAATTGCCCAATTGAGAATGTGAGGAATTCTTCAGGACAAATAGCCCAGTTCCTTCAGTACACACATGGCATGACAGTAACTGTTATAGAG